GCCAGATAATGCCGTGCAGCTATCTGTAAGTAAGTACAGACAAGTATTATTACTAAGCTTTATCAAAATATATAGTTATTTAAAGATAATTAGATTAAGTATGAAGGATAGAACTAGCTAAGTATATGAAGAAGTGTTCTTATATATTCTAGTCTCTGTATACCATTCTATATACCATCAGGTCTGCTGTATATCCATGCGGTAGTTATAGATCATGATGGTATGCCGTATACTATATGCTTGTCTGTATACCATGCTCACGTGATGTGTGACACATGACGGCCCAGCTCAGGGTTCTACCCGATAAGAGTTGTCTTCCTTCCGGGCGTAGCCTTCTGCCTGACGTAACCGCCTCACTAGTCGTTTTAGCTAGCAGGGGTCTGTAACACATATACTTTCTGACTAATCTTTAATAACTAGTAGTAATAGTTTATATTATCTTATCTATATATTAGATAAACTTCTAGATAACAGGGACATTTTTGTAAATATTATTTCCAAGTCTTATTCTATAATTTTCAATATTTTAAATCCTAATATAGGTAATACTGTATGATCTCCTTAAGCTCTGGATACAATTATACTAGATTTTCTAAGATTTTCTTTAAAATATAGTTTAATTAATAAGTAATGTCTTTCTGATTATTTTTCTAGTTTTTTTTATCCTTGTCTTACTATGTTAGACTGGATTTACTAACTTTTGATAAGGGTTTTTCCAGGATATTAGACATCTTGTTAAGTCTCTTTTTACTGGGTTTAAGATCTTTAAGCTAAATATTATACTTTTTATTTAATAGATTGAATTTATCTTAAACTATACTAGGATAATTATTTCTTGGAACTAGCTTATTACTATTATTGATTTCTGTGGTCTAAGTTAATAATATAGATAACTATCAGTCTTCTTATTAACTTAATAATACTGTTGGCTCATCCATGATAATCTATTATCTTAACTAATTATAATATATCCTGTTTTCTAATAGTTAATCATGCTAAATAATATATAATTTCTTATTATCTAGTATTTATATCACAGGTTTTATCTAAACTTTATAGTGAATAGTAATAATATTATAGACTTCTCTGCTTTAATCTTGGTTTATAGTTCTTAACTACTTCTGAGACTGTTTCTGACTATAGTTCTTTAATTAATAATCTACTTTACTGCAGCTAAAGTATAAGTAGTCTTGTTTATACTATTCAAGTTTCTTCTTAGATACTTTACTCTGTTAAGTCTAATATTATACTATATCTAGCTTTATTAGTTTTGGTCTATAGAGATCTTTGTATCCCAAGCTTCTAGATTATACTGACCTTCTATTATTGACTTGGTAATCTGATTAGCTGTTTTATCAAGATATAGACTTACTAGTTTATTAATTCTCTTATTATTTTATATTATATTTGTATAACTTGTTATCAATCTTAACTACTGCTTCAATTATCTTAAGCAATGTGTTTGGTCATTCTTACTAGATGAGTTTCTCTTAAATCTCTATTTTAAGTTCTTCTTTAAATCGTGTAATATAGATGTTATCATCCTAATCTAAGTAACTAATGACTTGCAAAAACTCTAAAGCATATTTAAATATTAATCTAGTTTACTTAAGTCACTATAACTTTTACTTAGTATTTTATACTGTATTAATATCTCTAAATATCTGTTCAAGATACTGCTTAAATCTGGCATAATTAGTAAAGATTTACTTTATATTATTATCCTGGTTTTTTACTAACTTCTCTTGATACTTGCAGATATATGGTTTAAATTAATTAAATACTGCTCTGATTAGATAGATAGATATAAAAAGGATCTTATTAATCTTATTTTTAAGCTTTTCTCTATTTATTTTAAGATATAAGTCTAACTGGGTCAAGAAAGCCCTGAGCTTTGCTCGATTGCTGTTAAATAGCTCTAGTGATCGGACCTTAATAGATTTAATTATTAAGCAATCTTTAAGTAACTGGTTTTATTGTTTTAAGACGGTGATGCTTTCTTGTAACTGACTAACCATACTTATTAGCTCTTGCATTATTAGGCCCTGCTGCTATGAGGCGCGTGATGAGTTTAAAGTAGTTAATATAATAAATAATTATTACTAGGTAATACTCGTACTGACTAGTGCTTAATATATCAAATCCTAGGATCGCTTCTTCCTGTTCCTATTAGCTTAGCTCCTGTTCCAATACGTACCTTCGAACTAAATCGAGATAAATCAGACTAATAACTATCTAAGAATAACTAATCCTGAATAAGAAAAGAGAAGTAAGGCCAGATAGTGCCGCGCAGCTATCTGTAAGTAAGTACAGACAAGTATTATTATTAAGCTTTATTAAAATATATGGTTACTTAAAGATAGTTATATTAAGCATGAAGAACAGAACTAACTAAGTACATGAAAAAGTGTCCTTATATCCTATCCTTCATCATGGCGTCGCCATAGTATATCATGCCACTGATATGTTATTTCATATTACTGCCATGTTCTGTTATAGTACTGATATATTGTAATATATTAGTAATATATCTACTGTAGTCACGTGTTATATAACTACTCCGGTTATCGGTTACTCAGATCAGGATTCTACTCGGTAAGAGTCCTTGCTTTTCCGGGCGTGGCCTTCTGCCTAATAAGTCCGCCTCACTAGTTCATTCAGCTAGCAGGGGTCCGTAACATTGACCTTCAGAATAAGTAGATTTTGAGCGTTTTTGAAGCTTTTTTGGAGGCATGGTGGTGGTTTAAAGATAAGTTAAAAAAGCAGACGCGTACAAAACGCGTGGGTGGCCGGTCCGCTTGTGTGGCCGGTTCGCTTGTGGATTACGTTATTTCACGGGTCGACCGACCGCACGGGTCATCCGACCACCGCCCCGCTTTTCAACCACGCTCTACAACTTGAAGCCATTCGCAACAACGCAAAATTCATTATGTTTAATTTTCTTGATGTTGACAACGTATAGAACATTGAGCTCTTGTATGGCCCTGAATATGACAGAAAGAATACATTGATGGAGCTCATCTTGGCGTTTCTAAAGTTGAAGGTACAGGACCTGTAGAGGGTCCTACCTCTGTATTCAAATAAGTATTTCTCATTACTACAAGGTCTATACCCTCTTGTATCGTAAGGCCGCCTGTAGGAGTCATCTGTCACTTAGAACGTGCCTTCTTCTTCTTCTCTTTTTCATTTGCAGTGCGGAGTTCATGGTTTTCAAGTGCCAGTTATGCATAGTTATATAGAGAGATCTGGGCGCCTTTAATAATTTGCTGCAGGGCATGTTTTAAAGGCGTAGAGGGACTCCGCGATCCTCTTTCTAAAAGCTTTTTAAGCGACTCTGCCTGTCTCTGCAATTGCTTGACCGTATATGGCGGTGCAAGCGCGGAGGAGGTCGCAGACTGCCCCCCGCGGCTTGGGGGGGGGGGTGTTAGCGTATGCAATATAATATTAAGCTTCTCAAGGACTCTTTCAGGACAAAATAGGTGTATTCCGGCTGCAGCGAAGCCGCTTTGAATATTCTGAGGCTTAAAGGCCTCCCGGTGAGCGGTGGGATACTTAGATAGGAAGTCAAGCTTGTCAATATGATTATATAAAAGTCGCATTCTTGACTCAACAAGGCGGCCATACGCCCGCTTCAGTAATCCAAAACAGCCAACATCAAAAAGTTGCAGAAGGTGAGATGAGTGAGCAGGCATACAGACGGGAATAACTTCATTATCCTCGCAGAGCTTGTCAAATTCAGGCATTAAATGACTCCCATGGCTGTCAAGAACAAGAAGTCTATATCAGCCGACTTTTTAAATATTTATAGCAGGTAAGAAGACCTCTTTGAGCCACCGCAGGCCAATGTCATTATTTATCTATCTGTTTGCCGATAATTCAATACGCCAGTCACGTGGGAGATTATATTCACCGAACCATTCTTCTATATAGACTTTTCCCTTGAAAATTATAGTGGAGGGAATACTCCACCCTATTGAATTAATACACTTGATTGTTGTCACCTATTCGCGTTGGCCTGGCTGTATAAGATAAGGTTTACCAGACATGTTGGCTCTCGTTATGATCTTTATAGTTGTAATTATTTCTATTACAAAGCCCGTTTCGTCAAAGTTGAAGATATCCTCATCTAATATTCCAAACTCCGCCCGTATATCTTGTAAGGTTGTAAACCAGTCCTGTAGAAGCCTTAGATCCTCGCATTTAGCTCTCTTATAGGCATACTTTCTGGCAAATCGACAGCTGATCTCTTCACGGCGTTATATAAAGATGGTAACCCAGTTCTCGCCAACAGGGTTAAAGGAGAAGAGGTCTGCGGTTCGTAGGATTATATTTGCCATTTCTCATACTTAAGCAGGTTATAGAGCAACTCCACGCCGATCACGCGATAGAATCCACTGTATTAAAGTATCCTCTTAAATTTTAGAGAGTTTAAGGTTATGGTTGCGGCGTTCTAATTGAAATTAAATTCCCTGTACGCGGTCGCGGAGAGTTCCGTATGAGACATTGTAGGCGCGTGCCGTTGGACGAATTTTGCGTTTTTTTATCATCTTTTAAATATTTAATTGCAAGTTGGATCCGGCCCTCTTGCTCAATTAATTCTTGACGATTTTTCTTTCGATTTGGAGGCATGGTGGTTGGTTGAATATAGAGGTGCCGAACACGCGATGACTTTTTGACGTGGCGGTCGGGATGACCCGTGCGGTCGGTCGACCCGTGAAATACGTTAAGATAAGATGGTGACGTGAGTGGAGTGGGGATCGAATGAGATGAACTTGAATGAAGAGGCACTTGTTTTGATGACTTTCACTTGAAATAGATTAACTGTGGCCTCGATATGAATAATCTGAGACTGTAAGAGTACCAAATGATCCACCCAGATAGAAGCTCATCGGAATCCAATCCCTGCGCTATATGACCTCATCAGACGGAAGATATATTCCGCGACACGAGAAGATATAAAGAAGAGCGAACGATCATCAAGCAGCCACCAAATCCCTAAGAATTAAACCCACTCCACCTCACTCGAATCATACCCACACATTATTCTCGCCACAAGCTATCTCTCACCATGTCCCACCTCACATACTACAACTACGACGGCGTCGGCAAAAAAAACCAACAACAGTTCAAATACAGCCAAGCGGTGCGCATTGGCGATCGCATCGAATGCGCCGGCCAAGGTAACCCCATCCCACCAACACCCACTACCCTAACCTACAATTCGAACGAATTCTTACCCCCCACAGGCGGCTGGGACCCCGCTACCGGCGTGTTCTACAAAGAAATCAACGAGCAGATCGACCAAGCGTTCAAAAACGTCGAATTGAATCTGAAGGACGCAGGCGGAAAAGGCTGGGAACAGGTCTTCCGGGTCAACTCTTACCATGTACCCATTAATAACGAGGCGTTGGAGGCCATGGTGAGAAACTTTAAGAAATATATGCCGAACCATGAGCCGATTTGGACGTGTGTGGGTGTGACGAGGTTGGGGGAGGATGATATGAGGGTGGAGATTGAGGTGGTGGCGCATGATCCGAAATAGATGGATATTTGTTGTTGTTGCTGTTGGGGGGGGGGGGGGGGAAGGATTGGAGAATCTGGAATTGCTGTGTCTTCGGGGAGTATGTAAATAAGGGTGAGGGGAGGGGTGAGAGATATGATTATAGGATGGTGTGGAGATAGGGATTCTTGTCTTGCTCAGCTGTACTTGAGGTATATGTTGAATGCAGCTTCTTCAGAAAGTGTATGAGTCGCAGACCGCAGTTGTTTATTTTGCAGACTATATCTCAATCTGCTCGAGCTAGACTGGCAGATATTTCATCATCTATTGCTTATATAGTTGGATGGGTTGACTAGTATGTAGAGGGATGTCCGTGAAAATTGAACAAGAAGGCCCTTTCCGTAGTGGAAGATTACAAACAAGCCCTCAGTGCAGACACTCGAAGTGAATGGACAGGAAAATAAAATTCGGATGAACGGCAAGACTAAGATAAGATGGTGGAAAAAGATTGTCCAATCCAGGGCTGTCATGTTGACAAAGCTGCCTATGACCAGTACCGTACATTCTAGTCAGCAAACCTTCTGGCTGGTGTGCGCGCTTCAAACAAGGCATCTAGTCTAGCAAACGACTTGCCCTTTGTCTCAGGCAAACAGAAAAAGCAGACACTGCTGAGGATAAAACCAAACCCCAGGAAAATCAAGGCGGACTTGGACCCTAGGTTGGCATCTTCCTTGTTCACCAAGTATGGAATGGCGATTGACCACACCATATTGGTCAGGGAGCTGGAAAGGGCGGCAATGGAGGTCGTCTTGGCCCGCAGCCGGGACGAAGAGATCTCACCAACAATCGCCCAGCCCACAGCACCGACGGACGAATAGTAGAAAACGGCCCAGATAATGCAGAAGGCGGCCAAAGTGCGGTAGTTCCATACTTGGCCGACACCCTCGAAGCCCAGAATGGAAATAGTAAGGAGGCAGACAAGCATGCCGACACACCCAGTGAGCATCTGTCTCCGGCGCCCGACTCGTTCAATGAGAACAAAAGCAAAGAGAGAAGCAACTATGGAACAGACAACAGAGATGACTGTGATGAGGAATGAGTTGCTGAATCCTGAGAGAGAGAGAAAGTAAGATAGATAATTGCCGCACAGAGGGTACCCGATCAAGATTTGCATGACGACAGGCATACAAGCGAGAAGCGTCCGGCGAAGATTGGTCCCTTGGAAGCACTCGAGCAAAGATGGGGAGCTATCGCGGGCCTGGCGTTCATGAAGCAGAGTCGCTTGCATGTGGCCAAGCTCCTCGTCAAGATCGATGTTCTCACCGGCCCTTAGCCGTGCCAGTGCAGACCGTGCATCCTCCATTCTGTCCTTCGATACGAGATAGTACGGGGACTCGGTGCAGAAAGAGAGAAACATCACAAGGCAGAAAAGCGAAGGGCCGAACTGTGATACCACGGCCCCCTTCCAGGACCAGGAATCGCCAACGTGGCTGGTTCCTTCGAGCACACATGAAGCGATGAGCTGACCGAGAATGACCCAAAACTGGAAGAGCGAAAGTGCAAGGCCTCGTATCGATGTTGGGGTGATTTCAGAAACGTATGTTTGCGTAGTACACTGCATGGAACCCATTGCAGAACCCATGAAGATCTTCGCCACTATCCATATTTTCCAGTTTGAGGAGAATAACTCGACGAAAGTGCCACAGACAGCAAGTCTGGTATATGAAGAGAACGATCAGCCTCACCTTCAGGCATTCCCGGAGGAGGGGTGTTGTTGGGCGCTTACAGGACAGTCATCAGGAAGCAGACACGACGGCCGAAAATGTCATTCAGATAGCCCCCACAGATAGCAGTGACAATGGCAGACACATATTGAACAATACTCCAGACAAGCTGGTAGTTCGCCGGAAGTAACCAGGTTTGTAGACTATGATCGTAGACGCCAAATTGGCGGACGAACTCGGTATTGGCGATGATGGAGCCGATCAGCGTCAAATCGTATCCGATCAGGATTGGAGTGGTAGAGCAGGCAAACGCTTCCCATGACGGTCAGCATTCAGAGTTGGCAGTCGTAGTGAGATACTAACCGGCGAGGACTGCACGTTTGTGATACTTCACCGCTCTAAATTGATCTCCGAGGGAGGGCGAGGTAGTCACCGTCGTTGCCCCTTCGGTTACTTCTAGTTTTGCTGGCTCGAGGTCGACGTCATTCGTCAAATCTCGCTTGAGATCGATCGGCTTCTCCATTGATAAGAGGATTGAATTCTCTGAGGAGATGAGAAGAAATCACTGAGAATCAGACTTGAAGGGTCGTTGGTTCTTCTTCATCACCTTATACATGGACTGGGTTGACCTACCAGATAATGTGGAGCACCCCTGATAGCGTCCGGAATTCACGTTCCGCCCCTTATCTGCCACAGAAGGTTTTGACTGTCTCGAGTACATCTCTGATAAGAATGGTGGTTTGCTATAGGGAGGAAAGATAGGATCGATCCAAGAATAGCCCACGCGGCCCTCTTGAGGTGTTTTTGAGTTATGAAGGTGGCAAAACACGGGATCCTCCGTATGTGATAGCCATAGGCCAAACCGGATCACATTTGAGTAAAGCCTTTCGACAGGAAAACGGGTATGAATGGTCTAAAGTCCCTGATATCGATCCGGGCTACCAGACAGGTGATATCCATAGCAATGCTCGATATCTGCTGAATCGAGAGCACTATCCAATTAGCCGGAGTCATATCTGGTATCTGAAAGCAAATTTCACAATTAACCTTTCACATAGCGCCCCTATCTCATGTGGAGCATGTTCCTGATGGACAAATAATGTTCTGTATAGGACGTTTCTGAGAAGATAACATTGCGTAGCCTCGATTGTCAAACTTGACGACAGTAGAGGTTCCAGAACTGATGGTCTGATCCTCTTAAAGAGGAAGAGGAAGAGAAAGAGATATTCACTCAACTGACGAGAAGATGTGGCGGCGGAGGGTCACGGGATCACTGCCCCACCGCCAACGATGGGATTTGACAAAGTGTTCAGAATTATCTACCATGAAGAATATGTGATATTTAGAGACTAATTGACTATTCGGTTTGCGCGGGATTGTCCTGTAAGTGGGATCTTAACAACAGGCTCTACTCTATAATACTCTTCCTGGGCTGTATTTATCGGGTCCAAACTATCTCCCGATCTACCATCACACGCCACGCAGGAACTGCATTCGATGCTGTTGTTCCCAGCATAATCTCCAGCTCGGTATTGGCGTCAATGACCCACAGCTTTCTGCTGGGATCGAACATCCCAAATGCCTGATGGTCTACTTTGAGCTCCACCTCCTGTGTTTCACCAGGCAACAATGGTCGAGACTTGGCAAATGCGCAGATTTGCTTCTTTGGCCGCCTCAATCGACTTGATCCAGCCTGGGAGAACCACGCAATCACTGTCTCGCGGCCAGCCACATCACCTCCCCCCGTGTTGGTCACATGCACCGTCAGAGTCAAATTCGAGCCACTTTCAGTCACGATATGGGTACTGATCGAGCCCGGCACAACCTCAAAGGTGTTGTATGAGAGGCCGAACCCGAGCGGGAAAAGTGGCTTGGTAGCCAACAAATCCCACCAACGATAGCCAACAAATAAACCTTCGGTATAGTGAATCTCGTTCTGCTCTGCAGGAAATGACGAAAATGCAGGACAGTCTTCAATGCGTCGCGGAAAGGTGATGGGAAGTCGACCGGAAGGGTTCGCCCGACCACACAGAACAGCAGCGGCTGCGTTGCCCAGTTCCTGGCCCTGGTACCAGATGTAGAGAACGGCGTCTACGTCCTGAATCCAAGGTTCCATGTTCACTGGTGTTCCAGCTTGGACGAGCACGATTGTTCGCTTGCAAACAGCAGCCACGCTACGGATGAGACGCACCTCCTCGCCTGGCAGATCAAAGGACAGAATGTCTTGACCTTCAGTCTCCCACTCCTTATCTCGGCCAACAACAACAATTGCGGCGTCACAGTCTGCGGCCAGTCCGGCTGCCTCGGCAGGTCGGTCCAGTTGATCGGCTTCCCGGAAGCCAACTCGGATACCCTGGAACTGATCTTCCATCGGGTCGAGCATTTGAGAAAGTTTGGGATCGTGTTGGCGACCATGAGATTGGTAGTCAACCTGGAGCTCATAATCTTTTCCCACCACGAAGTCAAGAGACACTACTTTCTCCTCACTGCCGTACGTGAAGAACAGACTGCCCTTCTCCTCGTAATCCCCGGATTGCTCAAGGAACTGATTACCATCGAGGCTCAGCTTTGCCGGCCCAATGGAGGCTAGGGAGACTGCGTGGGAACCCGTTGTCCGGGGCTGGATTTTGGCACGGAGGCGGAATGAGAAGTTCGTGGCATCTTGAACTTCGGGTGGGACGGTGCCAAAAGACATGAAATATAAATCGTCGCTGCTCAGAAATAATTAGCACGACACTTGGACAGCATAGGGAAACAGACTAACACGTGGGTGATCGCTGCTATGTCGCCCTTGCAGTCGATGCTGTTGTACCAGTCGACAGCAGCACCTGGTCTATCGGTGTCCGGGTTCTTAGCCACTTCACAAACCGGGAGGTATCGGTTGACTTTTGCTCCTTCCGCAGTAACAATCTCCACCGGAGAGTCACGGAACTCATTCATTACCGAGTCTTGAACCGAAGTCCAGTAGGGAGCTTTGATATAGGAGCTTCCTCCTCCTCCGGCAACTACCCTCTGCGCATTGGGGCCAAAAATGCCAAGTTTGCGAAGGTTTTCGGTTGGTCTCAGAGGGAGGGCCTCGGAGTCGTTTTTCAGCATCACAATCCCCGCGGTAGCTGCGCGGAGCAGGAGATCTCTCTTCTCTGGTGTGTCATCGCACACCTCAGGGTCATCCCTCGGGTCAGCAAACCGGCCTGCCCGCTTGAGAAGACCGAGTATGCGGTCAGCAGACTCAGTTACGCGACTCAGGTCCACCAGACCTTCCTGGATGGGCTTTTCGAGTGCCTCCTTTGAGCGCTTGGTAGGAGGACCAGGCATTTCGAGGTCCAGTCCGTTGTTGATCGACGCAACCGTGGAAGTGGTTCCTCCCCAATCGCTCATGAAAACCCCGCGCCAGCCCCATTCTCCACGGGCTATATCGATCAATAGCTCGCGAGATGCATCACAATAATGGCCATTAACCTTGTTGTAGGCACTCATCATGCACCAGGGATCGGCATCACGGGCGATCATTTGGAAGGGCAACAGATAAACCTCCCGCAAGGCACGAGAAGCCACATTGACATTGTATTTGAATCTTTTCGTTTCCTGATCGTTGGCTGTAAATGTGGAATGTCAGCTCGTGGAATCAGCAGCATCGGTGGCGCGAGTTGCACTGGGGGATGCGTACCAACAAAATGCTTGGGCGTAGCCCCAATGCCGCGGGACTGGATGCCTCGAACATAGCCTACAGCCAGCTTGCCAGTGACATAAGGATCCTCACTGAACGCTTCAAAGTTGCGCCCGCCCAATGGGTGTCGCGGGATACAGATTGTGGGAGCGAGAAGCACCGACGCAGACTTTGTTTTGCACTGCTCTCCGTTAGACTCACCAATGTCGACGCTGTTCGGCCAAGGCAGACTGACCTCATCTCCCAGTAATTGTGCAACTTCGTACAGAAGATCCGGGTCCCATGTTGCCCCGAGACTCACGCCACAGGGCAGAAACGCCGCCGGAATGCCCTCTCCAAAGACTTCACCGCGAGCTCCAGATGGCCCGTCTGATACCTTATTATCGTCATGATCAGCCAGTATCTTCATATCAGTGAATTGAGGATTTACCTTAAGAGAAGGAATCCCAAGGCGGTCAATTGCCGCGGTTCGCCATTGAGATTCTCCCGCCAGCAATGCTAGTTTTTCATCCAGCGTCAAGCGTGCCAACAACGATGCCGTATCTGGTTCTGACATGGTGCTCACCACTTCAAAGCAGCGTGCTTGAAATGGCAGGACAGTGGTTCGAACGGCAATTTGAAGATAGCAAAATCCCGCGGGATGCCGATAACGGGGCGGAATGTGATTTCCGCCCGATAACGAGATTGCCCAAGGAATTCGTGTTCCTGTGAACTGAACTTCCTTGGACTAGATTGATAATTTGCAATTACGGTATCTCCTATCAGGAAGCAAGTGATGGCCATCAAGACGGCTGTACTTTGATACATAACCCCACTCTCCCTTTCCGTAGCCCTCATAATGGATGTTGAACACGTCCCCTTGATAAGCTCCAAGCCATGTCCTGCTTTCCGGCTTGAGCTCTGCAGTGGGGGGCTCGACATTCGAAAGTTAACAGGAGGCCCAGTCTCAAAAGACGTGTGGCGGGACAAGCGAGTGAGTGATAGGAACTTCTATTCCGCTGGCGGCAAGGTATTTAAAGCCTTCCTTACCCATTCAACATAATTAAATCACCGCCGGAATTGGAGTCATAGATCGACCATATCCCACCTCAAGTTCTACGTCTACAAAGACCACAAAGTCCGGCAACAGAAAGTCTTTCGGTACAGCCAGACAATCTATACAACGACCGGAAGGAACGTAGTCTCAAAAGAACATCAATCTATTAAGAACAATTGTAAGGAGGGATGCTATTAGATATATATGAGATCTGACGTTTAGCCACAACACAGCACACGTCACTCTATAATAACATAAAAAGAAAAGAAGAGAAATGAAAGAAGGCAAGGTATGTCACAGCCCCATCTACATAGAGTAAGCCATCTGCGGCGCCATCTGATACCCCGCCAGCTCCGGCCTCGTCCTTAATTCGACCTCTTTTTCCTCCTGCGTAGGTGCACAACACCCACACCAGAAGGCCGCGCAACAATCACCACAACAGGATCACCTGATGCCGTATTTCTGGCGCAGTTTTCCTCTTTGAATGGTTTGAAGAAGCCATTGGGTCCAGGTGAATGTCCGTAGAGTAAATATAGCACACTAGATGGTTTAGTATTCGAATGGCTATCCATGCTGGCAAGGAATTGTCATACCTCGCCGTTACAAGAACTGTAATTTTCTAGAGTCGGATTCCGAAGTCTAGCTTGCATTTTACCGAAGGTGAGACCGGGAATACAACAGCTGGTGAGACCTGATCACGGTTAGTTATCAGTCGATAGCCATGAAAGAAAGGCAAGGACATACATAATGACCCTGGCGAGCAGCAGTCGCAAAGAGAGTAATTCCAGTTCTTGTTGTAGGTGACGCTCCGGACCTCTTCGGAGCTGGTCGGATGATAGGTTGGGAGGTTACTTGGCCATGAGCGATAGCCTTTTTGTGTATCTGACATTTTGGATTTGGGATGAAAATCTCGGAAATAACTGAGGAAGCTTTTAATAGAATTAGAAGGGGAAAGAAAGATCTGTGGTGTTTTAAAGTATAAATGAATAGTCGTTGGATATGGAATCTTGATAATAGAGAGGGCAAAATACGCTAAACTGGAATGGGATATTCGCACTCGTACAGCCAGAGTGGGTCATCTTACCCAATAAACGTGAGTTTGCAGTCTCCGCTCCAGCCCAGTGGGTCTATAGCTTAAAAAATGAACATCGACCCCTGGTACCTACTACCCCTTAGACAAGGTCTCATGTTTTCGGAGGGAGCATAGCTTTATCTAGGGGAAAGTTTTATTTTCGAGTATGATAAACGGATGGATCGGGGGCATTGACAGAATGAAGAGGCTGCGTTGCCGATATCCGTTGCTAGAGTTTTCGCTATTTCGAGACCTAGCGAAGTGATAGTATGTTGTTTAACGGTAACACCAGTGTGCATGGATGTAATGCTTGTATGTAGCTTAGCTTTCTATATCAAGTGCAAGCCCTTTTACAACTTATGCGCATAAGCTACACATATAAAGAAAAAAGGCGTTATCAACGCTGAACTACATACTACTACTAGTGATGTTTATAACGTTCCACGCAATGATAAAAGAAATTGAACCAGTTAAAAAGTTTTGTATTTTCCATCTCCGGAGTCAACAACCAAAGCAAGTTATCTGATAAAACAATTGATGTCTAATCATCTCCACCACAGCAGCATTCAAAGCAAAGAAGACCACAACAACTAAAATCATAAGCCTCCTATCTCGCTGGTATAGAAGAAAGGGGACTTACACTCCACAGCAAACTTCTTCTCCTTCACCACCACCGCGTAGGCCTATATCTGTCGCGTCATGGACAACCTAAGACTATCAGCTTACTTCCACAACAAAGTAGCTATGACAGAAGCAATATTTCGACTCACCGAGGTACCATCACGACCGGAAACAAAACTAGGACTCTGGAGGGAAACTGGCTGTTGCATAGTCACAGTTTCAGGATCCCAGACACGTTCCTTTATTTCCGGAACAGGTGTTTTGCCAAAGGAAGAGAAAAGCCAATCAAACAAGGTCATTTTGCACAATATTTCAATCCACGGAAGGAAGAGATGTGGTGAAAAAGAGGTGTCTAACAGGGTAACTTTTTGCGCGAGTGATAGGGTACTTATAGCTTTGAGGCTGAGATTGATGACCCCTTTAGTTATAGATCTGCCAAATACGGGGTTCCACTACATTGGTAGCTGGGTGAGTACTACTCTTTCGGGAATAGGGAATAGTGGATTAAGTATCCGGATGAGGTGCCATCGCCGGTCATGACTGATTGATTTGGAAATTGCAGTTCGATTGGAGGTCTAAGAAAGGGAATGGTGGGAGAAAAGTTGGAGGTAGCTGAAATAGGCTTACTGCCTGATCCGACAGGCCAGGACATCTGGATCAATAACTAGGTCCTGGCCTGCGGGAAGTCCCCAGCCCAAGGCATTGCGAAGTGTCTTAGTAAGCAACATGTAACGTACTTTGACTGTATTTAAAGAGCTTTGTTAAGCGCATGTAAAGGGCTATTAAAGGGCTCCGTTGAGCGCTTCTAAAGAGCTTCGTTGAGTGTATTTAAAGGGCTATTAAAGGTCTTTGTCGAGCGCTACTAAAGGGCTCTATTAAGCGTTTTCAAATGGCTTTGTCGAGCGCATTCAAAGGGCTACTAAAGGCTTTTGTTGAGTGCTACTAAAGGGCTCCATCGAGCGTTACTAAAGGGCTCCGTTGAGTGCTTCTAAAGGGTTCAGTTAAGCACGGCTCAGTTAAATACTTAAAAATGCAGTATTTAATTCAGATGTATAGTCTGAATATAGACTGGGGGGCCTTCTCCTCTCCAGATTCCTTCCAAGACTTTTGTTGGGCTGAAGCGGTGAGTACTGGTAATATAGTTTAAATCATGTTACGAGTGAATTGAATAATTAATTAGGAAGCTGAAATTGTGCAAACTATCGGATTAATGAGAAGTCTTGGAGCTGGAAACTTCCTTAGCAGGACTGAACCTAGTATTGCTCAGTGCTAGCGCGCTTTGAAAATTACCCGAAAGACATTGCGGCTTTGTAATAAATTCAGGCGACCCATTCAGTCGCTATTAAGGCTCAAAGTCTAGAACAAGATCTCCACACTGGGTTCAACCATCCAACGCCTTTAGGGGTCCTCGGGAATTAAATGAGATAAATTGTCCTCTGCACACCTGGAGACTTTTTCACAGTATCCTGGCCATTTCCACCTCATCCTCATAGAGGCATAGTGAGGTACATATCACCATGGGATCATCAATAACACTATACACACGCAAGTTGTCGCGCAGAAGCCACCGCAAGACTCGTTCCGGCTGTCAGAATTGCAAAAGGCGAAAGATCAAGGTTAGTTCGTTGTTTTCTTGTCTCAAGCACCAAAGCTGACCGAGCCTGTCTTAGTGCAACGAGACAAAGCCAGAATGTGGCAATTGCATCCGCCACTCAATCGACTGTGACTTCAGTACCCAATCAGAAGATCCTTCTGCAGCGTCATCTGAAAGCAGTCCAACAGGCCCATCAACATCTGACACGCCTGATGGCGGCTATACCTACATCTCATCAACAACCTCAAACTTCAAGCCGCCTAAGCGAACACATGGTCTATCCTCCACCACCACCTTACCTCAGCCATCGCGGGATCAACCATCCCAAGAACTCGCGCAAAGACCATTTCAATTCACCGTCACTGATATGGCCTTGTTTCATCGTTTCTTGACCTCCAAGGAGCTCACTGGCTGGAGCCCTCGCGCGCAACAAGAACTCTGCCGCCTCGGCTTTGCTCATCACTACGTCCTACGATTACTTCTGGCCTTCTCCGGCTTCCATATCGCCCAAACACCAGGAGGCCTATCAACGACTCCTTACATGGGTGTGCACGCGGACTTTTTAGCCGAGGCCGGACTCCATCTGGACACCGCAGTACGGGAGATCAGCACACTTGTAACACAAATCAGTCCCCAGAATTCTGCCGCTATGTATAGCTCTGCGATCTTCATTTTCCTCTCTTCCCTAGCAAAGGGTCCGCAACCGGGAGAGTACCTGGCTTTTCGGGACGATGGGGCTCCCGGCCACCTGGCGCTATTTCTTGGGATCCGCTCCATATTCGAACTATGTCAGAATGACATCCATCCTAGCGTGTTTGCAATCCACGGCGGCGAGGATGAAGAAAAAGAAAAGGATAAACCGAACCCAGACCCAACACAAATGACCCCCTTGAAGATCCGTCGCACGCAGCCCATTATGCTGATCACTTGGTCACGTTTCGTGAGCTGCTTTCAACCCTCGTCCCCACCTCCGACCCTCGCGCGCCAAGCTATCAGCAATCTCTGAATCAACTCCATTTCAGCCTCCACGCAGCCCTGGGGTCGGACATAAATCCGTCGCTTTTTCCGCTGGTGTTTGCATGGCTGTATCAACTGCCTGATGCGGTGGTCTATGATCTGCAGTGTCGAGAGCCTCCGGCTCTCATCCTCTTTGCTTTCTTTACACTACTCTTGAATCAACTTACCCCTGTCTGGTTCATCCGTTTCTGGCCACGGCATATCATGTACGGCATCTATTGCAATCTGGATCCGTGCTATCAGCCATATATCCAGTGACTCATGAACTGAATTGTGATAGGACCTGCTCAACTATGTTTCGGTATTGATCACTCGGGATCATTCCATGTCAGTAAAATCTAGAGTATTGTGGGGCCTATGATATTGGTCACCTGCAACTCACGACTGAATGCGTGTCTATAGAACGAATAACTATCCTTGAGAGAGGAGAAAATAAAGAAAACAAAGACAACAAAGACAACAACCAGAAAGATGATAAAAGAGAAAATCAAAGTGACCACTTTAAACGCAGCGGAAGCTCTCAGCCGACGAGATATCACCGCCCATATACTTGGCCTGGGCACGATAAGGGCACAGAATGCGATGCATTACTCCATGACCACCCTCACGCCCCGCATATTCCACCGGTAGGGTATCCGGAGCCGTGCCATTCTCCACCCATTGCCTGAGCGCATCAAAAATTGTGGTCGGCTGGCCGCCTAGTCCACCCGAGCCATGCCCGAGCCCGGGCGATTCGAAATAGCGATAAAAGTCCTGAGCATCCGGGAATCGATCCTGAACCGACTGGTAGTAAAACCCTGTGCCCTTGGTGGGGATACTGGGATCCGCCTATGATTTTTGGTGAGAAGCTGTGAGCCATTCTGGGTGTGAAATCAACGAACCATGCCATGATAAGTGAGAAGCTTTCCGCCTGCATTGCGGAATGCCGTCAAATCCGGATCCGCCGCGTTGATTGTGTCGGCATATTCTTGGGTAGCGAGGTGGAAGAACTCCTGATACACCTCGGGACTCATTTGAAACGTGTCAAAACTGGCGTTCTTGGCCACGAACAGGTTGAACCAGATATCCGACTGCGAGGAATTGACGCCCGGTACCAAGCCGAACTGACTGATATCGGCCCCTGGGTTCACCCCATACCACAGTTGCTCACCGGTTGTGATGTGTGGTCCAGACCAGACAGCGTCATGGTTTTATTTGGGGCATTACAGACAAAAGTCTTGTTGACGGAAGTGTACGGGCTGTAGTCACACGCCGAGACATTGGAGATGAGTCCGTCTGCAATGCCATCCTTCGCATCACAGGCGGCAATAGCCTCGGCAGTGAGAAAGTTCAACTCGCACGCCAGCGGACTGACTCCATGCCACTGGCGCATCAACAAGCGATAATACAACGCGGACACGAACTTGGTCCAGGATTGGGCCGGGGCGGAGGCAGCGATGCCATCATATGCGGTGGGATAGCGCTGTGCGAGAATCAGACCTTGTCGACCGCCCTGAGAACAACCACTCCAGTAGGAGTAATCAGGTGCCCGGCCGTAGAAGCTACGGACCAGACTCTTGCCGATGATGGCTTGGTCATTCAAAGATCGGGAGCCCAGTTTATTGAATGCAACGTAGTCGATGTTGCCGGGGCTTTGCAGCGCCCACGAGCTGGGTCCTTCTCCATCCCCCAAACCAGCATCGGTGGTAGTGACCGCATATCCCTCGCCGATTGCCCCGGTCATGAAGAACTCGGACAGCACGAACCGACCGGCCTGCCAGCCGCCGCCTCCAGTGGCTTGTAGTCGGCCGTTCCATTGAGTTCGGGGCGGAAGCCAGGTCTCGACCGTGATTTGGTCGTTGTATGCAGGGTGCGTGTAGGTGATGGTGATGTTGCAGAACTGGGTATTTCGCACATCGATGTCGCCATGGTTGTAGTTGAACTCGGCTGGAACGTTGAGGATGTAGTTGGTCACCCATGAGGCTGATAGGGTCAGGATCACGGTTCCGAATAGGGAGGGTGTTTGGATCGCTGCAGGTGAGCAGGAGGTGAGGCTCATTTTGGGTAGAGGTGTCACTTTGTAGGAATTGATTACTGTCTTGATACCTTGGTTGAGCAGCAGATGCTCCTCTTTAAATAATGGATCCAGCTTGAAAGGTCTTGTTGCGCCCCGTTTGCATTGAGTCTAATACGAATGCGAGTTACCCTGACAGGCCTGTGAAGACGGTCTGTGGAGTAGTGAAGCTGGTATATTTCATATTAATTATAAGTAATTATTGCCACATCTTTATTAAAAAGAGAAGGGGTCAAGTGAGTATCAAGAGCCACTATCTGTTTCCCTTTTGGGCAGTTCGTGTTCGGATCAGATCTCCACCACGCAAACCCCATCGCTGCAGTAGAGCTATGAATTGGTTGGAGGACGGGAGTCTCGGTAATCAACTACACGTATCAATTAGACAGATGGCCGACGAAATAAAAGCAGAAGGGAACACGAGTAACGCGTGAAAAGCAAAAAGGATACAAACACGGCAGGAAATGATAAGTAACACTCCGATTGAGAAGTGATAGTGGAAGGGCTAGTTATGATATAGTATAAAATTATAAGCTTCTAGCTATACCGAGACCTCGGATATCTCGATGAGATACAAGAAGCCCGCAGCCTCAGGAAACAATACATGGCAGAGGGTCACGTGACCACAGCCAGGCAACCGCCGACATATCTGAGATATCAAACATTTCCGGGTAGTACTTGTATCACAATGTTCTAAAAACTTTGAGAAACTTGTACAACGTGCCCCTATTATAGGAACAAGTTCCGTATAGCGATGGGACTGAGCAACTTCTTCTTCCGGTTACATAGCAGGGATCTCCCACCATAGCTAGGGCTCTTACGTAGGCAATTTCCAACCAAGCATCAGCAGTGTCCAACAGTGTTCTTATTTTGTTCTTATGTGATAGCCACATCGACGTATGAAGGGGGATTCAGATATTGCCTCGCTGAGAAAAGATAGACGCCACGGAAAACTCCATGTAAAAACATGGCACTTTGAGTCGAATGGCTCTCAGGGAGGCCATACTTCACCAGACCTTGCTGGAAGACAAAGTGTTCAGTGCATATTTCTTATAAAGTACTGTCAACCATTGTTTTCCCCTAAAAGTTCAACAAAACCAACACCGTCCATACCATTCGTCAGAATGTCTGCCACCACATCTCCCCACATCGAATATCACCCTTCCAACCTACTGGAACTATACCGCGATGTGAGAATTACTCACCTAGAATTATATGCCACCTGGCGTATTAACACCAGACACGCCATTCCCGGAACAGGTTTCTACTGACAAACAAACCATTGGATACTCCGCATCCCGACCAATTATATTGGCATGGTAAATATCTTGATTTACCTTCAACGCGCCGGTGGAAGCGGGAACCAAATGCGACTGAAGGTTGTTGACCAGGAGTGCTACAACACTGGGGTTAAGCAAATCAACAAACGTGTGGAGATAGTAACTGTGGACCTCACAATTAACGATCTCATGAACATGATCGTTGATAATGGCTATGACAAATACACGTATGTGGACGATGGTTATCCTCAAAATGCCAGGTACTGGTTTATAACGGTGTTGGAGTACCTACTGTGGAGTGGGAAAATACAAGACGGAGGTTTCGAAGCAATCAATGCTTTGCGGTCGGTTTGGAAATCGCAGAATGACGAGATTGCGGCTGTGCAGATTGCGGAACCTTTACAGGGGATTTTCTATGCTCGTGATATTAACCGAACTCTTCAGATGAGCGGTTCGGCACATCCTGGCGGTGGGAATGTGGTTTAGCCCTTGGAGTTGATGGATTGCGTCTGTTTCCAAGAATGTCTTTCCTTTTGGTAGTTGAAATATGTGATTTGTCTTTTTGTCGTGGTTGGTTACTAGATTGCCAGAATGTCTTGAAATCGAAGTTGTGCATTTTGGAAAAGGCTTAGATTGGAAACCTAGAGTAGAGGCTCGTATTAGCATTGAATGAGGTAGTGGAATACCTAATATTGTCAACCCAGGTCAGTAATAACTCATGTAGGATGTCTTCACTACACCCACGCTCCCAAGTCCTCTAACCCAAGCCTGTTTGTATATATTAGGCTCGCGGACGGCAATAAAAACCACTACTATGTGAGATTGTGGAGCGAAGGAGGTATGTCGGTATCTTCAGATGAAGATAGTCCCTGTCAAGTAAATGAGTGAGTCAATGGATCATCATATATAGAAACCCAGCGTCTCACTTACACAAAGTCTCATTCGAGATAGCCTTGAGGCAACCGAAGGGCGAGGTTAAGACCTGCCGAGAGGGCAAATAATCAGCATTCCATCATTCCAGGCATCGGTGGTTCACTAAATGCTTGGCTGGCAACATGTTCATGGAAAAATGGCAGGTGCGATGGGCGCGCGGACGCAAAGTTGGGTAAGCTATAAGTTGGCTTTCTCGTCTTCCCGTCCCTCTTCATCTTCCCATCCTCATCCTCATCCTTATTCTCTCTTTCACGATCTCTTCCCATCAGAACCAGGTCATGACTATCTGCGGTCGGAAAGAAATTCCTCGACGATATTCCACGGCCATCCGCCAAATTATTCGTCGCCGGCCGGTCGTCTACCTCTCCATCGAAGAGATGGTAAGTCAAGTCGTCCAAGCGAGAGCAGACCACACGAGAAAGGAAGCTAACCAGAAGATTTGGGGTTTAGTTACAGGAAGAGCATCACTTCTACATAGAAATTCAACAGCACGAGGACGATATTAGACGGGAAAAAGGCCGCATCAATGACATAACCAGAGGGTTGCATGCACGTGGTGTAAGTGCAAGTACCATGGCCTATGTCCACTTTGGCTCATCGTATATGCTTTAGTTAATAATATTAATCGCCAACTTCTTCTGCATATCGCAAGCACCCATCGGCAGCTCATGTCGCCGGCTTCATAACACCCACAACCAATATAAATCACCTCAAATATATAATCTCCTCCCCCCTAATTAATATCGTAAGACACCTTACTAAAACCTTGCTTTCTAGTAATCTTACGGACCACAATCTCCCCAACATCCAACGTCATAGGTAAATGCGTCCCGCCACAAGGATAAGCACCAATCCCCTCAATATCCACCACCCGAATAACCCCATCATCAGGCATCGTGAAACCCTCCGGAAACGCAGTCCCAAAATCCTTCGCTTTCGCCTCATCCCACCAATGGATATTCACAGGCACATTCCTTCTCATCAGCTCATTGGCTCTCTCCTGAATCGCACCCTTATGCTCACCCCCAATCAACCCCCCAAACTCCACGAAAGCCATGCCCGGCGCATGATTCGCTTTCAGTTCCGTCACCGTTCCAATCGTCTCATGTAGCTGCTTCACCGCCAGCGAGACAATATGCCCCGCCGTGTGATACCGCGAATGAAAGTTACGTTTTTGACTATCAATCTGCTGTAGTATCGTCTGTCCGGGGGTGGGAGGGATTGCCCCGTCCGATAATTTTCCCAGATGGTAGATTTGGTTGTCTGGCAGCTTGCGCACAAATTTGACTTCGAATAGGGGGGTTTCTGCCCCGGGGTCTGATTTCATGATTCCTATGTCGCTGGGTTGACCGCCGCCTTGGGGATGGAAGATCGTGTCGGTGGTCGTTATGGCGTAGCTGTCTGCTTCGGCGCCCTTTAGGACGGATTGGTATGTTTCTGGGAGGGAAGCCACTGGTTGGCACGTGATGACTTTGGTGGTGAGCTCGTGGAGCGCGGCGTTCTTTTGATAGGTGGCCATTGTTTGGGCGAGTCGGAGCTGTAATGTGGGGGGAGTTATTAATCACATCGACTCGACTGATTACTGAAGACTAACCATGAGCCGTGGAAGAGTTGCGTTTATTGTACAGGGGAATTAGAGGTGTGAGGGAAAAGAGGATCAATAAGAATAATTGGTCTTGTCCAGATTTATATACCCAAGGTTTCGAGGTGTCATCGATAGGGCGTCGAAGGATTTCCGACGGATCTTTTCCGAGACCCGACGCCCGCAACGCGGTTTATTACCGAGGACTTTACCCGGTGCGGTACGAATACGAGATAATTTCTGGTTTGGAAATAGGTGAGCATAGGAGACGCGCGTTTCATACTCTGCATGTATTTGCTCTGTCTGTCTTTTATATCTACTTAGTATTTTGTTTCTTAACTGAATTGCCAACCTTTTTTATTTCTTTTTACTTTGATACACCCTTGCTGTTGCGAGCAGGTTTCCTAACACGTCTTATCAGCTGGGGAGATAAGCGCAGATAAGCACTCAACTCGGATATATCACGGACACGGCTACGCTATATTGACTACTAAGTACTAGTAAATTACTGTGTAACAGAATTAGAAAAATGTTGCTCAGTATCTCTAGATCTGTCCAAGAGAGCACGTCCATTAACTAGCCCGTGGTGGAGTGAGGATCTTACCCACTCTGGAGGTCAGTACATATCTTTCATTCTATTGGTCGATATCAATGATTTGGAAGCCTTCAAGTCAATGCACAATAAAGGTAGTACGTGATGCCTTCTAACACGATTTACTATGTTGTAAACTTGTACTACCCTCAAGCAGCCCCATCACGCCCAACACTACTCCTCGAAGCCTGATAAATCCCCTTATGCCCCTCTACCGTTACGCCCAACTCAAACACAATCTGCGCGAGCTTGGCATCTCGATACAACACAACCCCGTGGGGGTTCTTCACCTCCAACAAGGCTCCCATGGCACCTTCATACCCCGCGTCCACTACACCGGCCGAGATCCCCGCCCCGGATCGCCAGAGCGACGATCTGGGGAATACGCTTCCCATGCAATTCAAGGGAATTTGGACGGTTTCGTTGAAATCGACCAGGTAAGCGCCGGGATTGAGGGTGATGGCGTTGTTGGTCCGGTTGAACGCCAGAATGGAGGTTTTGGATGCCTGGCGCTTGGTATTGTCGAAGTCAATGGTGGCTGCAGAGGTCCAGGCGGAGACATGGCGGAGGGTAAGGTCGATGCCGCAGGGTTGTTGTTGTGTGATGTGTCGGAGGTTGAGCACTAATTGGCGGGCAAGGACTTCACGGCCGCTGAGGATCATGATGGGTTGGGGATTTTGGTTGAGAAGCTCTGATGGTGGAAATAGAAGGAAGGTGTTTTACTTCGGCTGGGCTCACCCCGATGGCCGATGGCAGATGGCGGGCTATAAAGGCCATCGGGCAAGTATGTGTCAATAATTTTAAAAGATTACCCACTCGCGGTAGTCTCCACAACTACGATGGGATTACATACCCTTGAATGACATCTTGGCTAGGGCAATTTGGATATCTCATAAAATTCCTGCTGAACGATCCCACATTACCTGATTTACCAGATCGAAGTATCCATAGTCGTCTGGCAATTGGCTCCACGGAGCGAGACCGCTGCCCAAAGCATCATGAACGTTCAGGACAGCCCTGTCGCTCGAAGCGTCCAGCATTTCAAATCTGTTCCGGATGGGGTTACCGACATCGAGTATTTCCGCAGCATCGGTACCTTCCGAGGGCGCACCAGTTGACACAAATGAGCAAAGCTTCATAAGGTTGTTCGCAATGTGTCGTGCCGGATGCCACGATGTCGCCAGTTCATCGAGTACAGTCAAGCACATGCTCAACTGATTGCGCTTCGAAGGAGAGTCCGGTTCATCTAGAACCACCCAAGCACACGACAGCGTGGAATGCATGGCTGAAATGGGGCTACGCTGAAAACTGCCGAACGTACGGCGGTATTTCTGAGCCACAAGACACATTGCCTTGGCAGAGTCCCTGCAAACAGACCGAGCCTGCTCCACAGTGTTGTCCTTTCCGACAGGCTTATCGCCACAGCCCGATCGTATGAGAAATGGCTTGGCCAGGAGAATTCTTGTTGTATGATAGATCATGTGCAGCGTGTATGCGTGAGGTACCTCGTTTGGTTGATCAATCCTGAGCCTCTGAGGAAGATCATAAAACCATGTCCTCAAAGCCAGGAGGCTGGACTCGAAAAACGCTGGTCGCTCAGGCTCCTTTACAAGAGGCCGAGGAGCCCACCTTGACCATTCAGAATGTCATCCCATCACACTCCACGGAGAACTTACATTGAAAGTAGTATTTTCTCTGTGATTTGGCAGATTTTGATCATAGATCTCTGAAGAGGTATTACGGCTTTCCGGATTGGAGTGATTGTTTTCGTGTTAACCTGCGATTCGTCGATATCTGAGGGCAGTTCGACGGCTCCTTGTTGCTCCTGCGTTGGTTAGCGCGGCCATAGCCATAACCATAACCATAGATACATACAAGCATTGAGCATATTCGCCCTGTGTAAGTAGCTGCAAGTTTATCATGGCAATACAAAGTCCAGTAAATCTGCCTTCTTAATTGCGCTTCCCTGGCGGATATTGCTACTGTTCCTTCAAAGCCTGCGGGATCCATATTTAACCCCATATCCAGACAGAGCCGACCGGCCATTCCATGATGCAGCCATCCTGCAGCATCTTTCCCTATTGCCTACCGTCTCACATTAGTATCGAGCAGTGTAGGATATGGTGATAGAGAACCCACAAAGTAAACTGTCCCGATAACGCCCAGCGCCTGAATGGTCACGAGAGTCGGATGTTCCATCTCCGAATGAAGCAGATCTTTGGCCTGTATGAGAAAACCCTGTCCCGCTGAATTAGGATCATCAGGGTCTGTTCGAACTTCCAAGCTATCCGAGAACCGAGAGCCCAGGGCGAGGACGGAATAGTGAAGTAATGGAGTCCAATATCGGCCTCGTGTGCTCATGCTCTCCCTAAACAAACTCTCATCCACAATAGGATACCATGGTTGATCCCATTTAAAGTAGAGATCGATGAGATGATTCTGGAGCGATGCAGGAATTTGGTTGCCAATATTTGGATTAGCAAAGGTGGAGCCGAGATAATCGTCAATGCTTTTGAACACCGGGTCCAACTCGGGAACAGTAAAGACAGTCCCTGGGCTCGGAACCTTTGACGAAGGGCCCTGAAAGCCGAGTCTTCCACTGGTTGGACCAAAATACCGCATCTCGCCGTCTTTGTCAAAGTTCAACGACTCGTCCAGTGAGAGCTGGCCCTTGAGAGTCTCACACAGAGAATCCATCGCAGAGCATGCGTCGTGTAGTTGACCATTCACCAATGTGCAATCCAAGCTGCTATCAGATGAACGGGACCTGTCTCTGCTATCGATGCCGTGTTGGTTTAGTAATTTCTCCAGGGATTCAATACGCTGCCGGAGAAGCAGGACATATGACTTGGGAGCCGGTCGACGGCCATCTTCCGTCACCGAATACTGGCATGATAGATTCCACTGAAGGCACCTGGAGCAAGAAGGTTTCGACCCATCACACTATTCGTATTAGCGATAACACGACGTCATGATTTTTTGCTACTCAGGTACGATGCTTTTATTACCTTAGCTCGCCGCCGACGACATTCTTCGCACGCTTTGGTAGTATACTTCCCGCGAGTTTTCGCCCTGCTCCTGCCGTCTTGAATTGGCTCCATTGTAAGACTAGTGGCTTTACATAGTATAATCGAAGATGGAGAAGGAACCGTCGTTGCGAGTGAGAGAGGCGATCGTGGGGAGGACCCGCAGATTTGTCAGCACGACGGCACTCTTGCCTGATCCGGTAATGATGGCTTGACGCGACGGCGGCGCGTCGGTGCAACGAGGCAAGCCATTCTTCTTCCATCTTGAAGCAGACTCTTTATTCCAGCTTTCACAGTCCCCTTATTCTAGCATCGCGAGATAATGTGAGATCCACGATATTATGGAAGAAACTGTGTTTTCACTCATCAAAAGCTCATCATCCACCATAAAACCTTAAAGCACAGAGATGCCATCTGGAGGTAGATACCCTTTGTCATTAGCTATTACACCGGGAGTGACTCTTGAAGTCTTACTCTATCTACTATAGGCACGTCTATCTCAAGTTTACCGCCCTCATCATGTACAATGGGACGGAAAAGATGCTGGTTTTGGAGATGTTCACACCCGTCTCCTTTAAAACCACAATGCAATCCGATCAACGCAAAAACCCACTCTGCCTCCAGTGCTCAATATAGCGACGCACCACCACATGATCGACAGCACCCAAGGCCCGCAACGACGCCGAATGCTGACGCGCGTGTGTCGTGTCCAATAACAAGCCCCCGCATGACATACGCTCGAAGTTGTCACCCAGCCAGTCCGCCATCACGCTGGCCGGGTTGTCTTCCCGAGTCCCAGGAAAGGCCTTCACGCGATGGACCCATTCTGGAAAGGGAATGACACTATCTGGTAAGATGGCCAACTCTTGCGCAATAACCTTAATCATATCAGGCCACGGTTGGCGAACTGCATTGTCGATATGATAGATTGAATGGGGATTCTCTGTGAGTATCAGGTCGGACAGGGTAGCTGCGACATCATCGACTGGGGTCCAGGATAGCACCCCATCCAAACCAGGCAAGACCTTTAATGTTTGCGCGGACTTTACCACCGCGGGAAAGTGCTCCGCAGCATTCCAGTACCCACTGGCAGAAGACCCAGCTATCTGCCCAGGTCGCACTATCATCGCGTTGAACCGGTTTGGATATTGAAACAAAGTCCCGTGGAGGATGTGCTCACAAACAAACTTTGCTTCAGAGTAGCCGTTTGCCAGAACCCAGTCGATCGTGCTGCAGACCTCTGGAACCATTCTCTCGCCAGTCAATAATGGCCGATGGCCAACCGTTCCGATTGATGAGATGAACTGGAATCCAATGCGGCTGTCAGTAGACCGCATCGAGGCAATATCACGGGCTAGGTCGACCAGTGTTCTCATCATGCGGAACTGAGATTCGAATGCGGATAGGCTTCGCATTCCGTTCATTGGCCAGGCGCTGTGAATGATGTGCGTCACGGTCCGGTTGAGGAGGTCATATTGCTGGCTCAAAAGACCAAGCCGTGGCTCCGCCCCTTCTCCTTCAATGACCATCAGTTTGCTCATCTCGTCTGTAGTCAAATTAATCCCGCGTTCAGCTAGAGCTTGCTTCTGTCGCTGTAGTGGTTCTACTGGCCCCCGTCGGTTCAGACAGACCACATGCTGGACTTCCTTTAGTCGAGCAAGGTGCGCTATGAGGTGGCTACCTAAACTCCCAGTGGCTCCAGTCACCAGAACACCCAAAGGTCCGGTCACATGCTTCAAAGAAGATACAGGCCCAATGAAACCTTCGGTAGTGCACATAATGTACTCGTCAGTTGCCCGCTGACGAGCAACATGATCGACTCCAGCAAGGGTATCTATGTCTGCTGGTTTTGGTCCCAGTGCCAGCCGTGGTCTTTGATCACCCCTAGCTGTAGCGAAAAGCACTCGTTGGACGCTTACTTCTGGCGAAAATCCATCTGTCCAGTCAACATGGCCATATCCAACAGCATGGAGATCTGCCTCCCAACGTTGCTCACTGGTAATGGCATGGGTGCGCCCGTCGTTAAATACCCACCAGCCACGAAAGAGTCCAAAGACAATGTCGATAGCAAACTGAGGCCGGGTCATCTCCAGCATCATGATGACACCGTCGGGACGTAACGCCTTTCGCATATAGCGCGTGGAGACCTGAAGATTTGGCGTAGCGTGCACAGCATTGCTAGCAATAATGATGTGCTGTGTCCCGACAAGTTCCTCTGCAGGATGCTTTTCGATATCATGCACTCGGTACTGTACAAAAGTATATTCCTTGAAGCGGCGACGAGCTTGAGCAAGAAAGGCGGCTGAGATATCGGTGAACGTGTATTCAACAGGAATTCCAAGTTTGGCGAGACCGGGAAGCAGCCATTTGGTTCCGCCACCGGTGCCAGCGCCCATCTCCAGGATTTTCAGCGGCCCTGACTGGCTGCCCAGCTTGTGCGCTAGGCGCTGGATGAAATCTAGCATCTGCTTGTATCCGGTCACATTGTGCGATTCATCGCCATACATCCAAGACACGAGCTCTTGTCCTTCCTTGGTCCCAAAGAGAAGCTGCAGACCGTCTTGCTCGCCACGCAGGACTGCAGCTAGCTTGCTACCTGTGTAGAATGCCAGTTTGCTAGCACCTGAGAATTCGGGGTAAGTACGGCCAATGTCTTCGAGGATGGTGGTACTGGACTTGCTGGTCCAAGTGATCCCTGTGCGAATTGCAACCGTCTCTTCCATATCTACTATGCGGGCTTCCTCCAGCCGTTGGTATAGGTAGTCAACTAACTCTTGATGCTGGGGATCGTAGGATATGCGGTCTAGGCGTTGGCCTGGCTTCGCCGTGCGAATGTATGAGCCCAGTATCTCGAATGCTTCCAATGCCAGCGTGACGCAAAGCTGCATCTGCAGCGGATTGAAGCTGTGGATACGCCCGCTGCAGTGGTTCTCAGACAAGAACCGGTCTGTCAAGGCTTTGGTCTCGCCAAAGGCTTGAAGGACCAGGTCCTCTGCCAATTGCAGCTCGGGCATGTCAGTACTGATGCTGGTGATTGACTCGGTTCTAGGCGTGTTGGCTGCAGACTCCTGGTCGCCGTCACTATCCGATCCGGTGCTGCTATCCAGCCGGTCTTGGGGGGCATCGATATACATGCCCATCGCGCTCTGCACTGCACGGACAAGGTCTCGAAACGTATCCGCCTCCATTAAATCAGTTGCCGACAGCGTACAGTTGAACGCTTCCTCCAGCTCGCGCGCTAGTTCCATAGCCATCAAGGAATCCACACCCGAATCTGCCATGTTGTTGTTGTCATGGATTTCACTGGGGTTTACGGCACAAAAGTCGGCCACTACTGACTTGATGCGTGCCGGAAGGTCTTGAATGCGGCTCACCCTTTCACCTGTATTTGGAGTCTGGTTTCTATTGCCCCCTGACGCCTGACCCGCTGGTGGTGCATCTGGTCGAGCTTGGGGAGCGCTCGGACCCAGCTTGCTGAGAATCTTGCAGAACATCGCTTTAGGCACGCGCGAATATTGCATTCCGATAAAAGCTTCGACAAGGCTTCCACTCTTTGGGTCAAAGACAAATATGTCACTGGTGTAAAAACCATCTGAGCGGTCATGTGTTGCTAGTACGTCCCAAACCTCGGAGCGTGGCGTTTCTGGGTCAGCATACAGCGGTGTGCGCATCCATTGCTCCATACCACTGGCGATATAGATATCGGCTGGTGATCGGTCCGTCATGCAGTTCACCCAGAAGCCGCCGACCTGACTAAAGGAGTCGCACAGATATGTGTCTGCCCAAGTCTCGGCGGAGTATTTCTTGACTACGCGTCCGGCTGATTCGTTCCCTTTGCCTACTAGTTTTCGCACCCCGCGGTAAAGCTCACTATAGTCGACAACCTCGGAGAAGTAACGGTAAATGTTGCGGCCTTGAAGAACATCGTCTACATTTAGGTCATTGAGGAGCTCGTGACACCGTCCGTGATGTACGAGGCGACTGTAGCGAGCGAATTCGCCAGCAAGTGTGGGATCATTCGGTGGGCACATCTTGATTCGGGCGGCACAATGGATGATTTGAGAGGAAGAGCCTTTTTGGCAATCTTCACTGGTATACTTCAGATCCCAGACAGCCTTCTCCGCGTTCTCCGCGTGCAACGTGATCAGGACGTCTCGATTGTCGAGACCGAGCGGTGCATCACTGGTGACATTTCTCACATGCGGAATCCTGCCTTTCCCTTCTGGTAGGCTCCGTAGGGCCTCGACAGCATTGTCTAGCATATGCGATGCTGGGGCAAGGGGAGCTGTTTGCGCACCTACGTGGCCCAATAGAGCTTCCTGGTACTTCGGATGCGCTGTGTTGACTCGGAACTTGGCGATGAGCTGGTGCCTGTCCTGGTACCCAAGGAACTCGAGTTTCTGATTATCTGGAGCACTACTTGGTTGGCGTTCAATTTTCGGTAGTGGCTTGTTGTCCATCCAATGCCTACTCTTCTCGAACTGGTATGGCGGCAGAAGCAGGACCCCATACTCTGGTGTCTGCGATGGATGGTGCGCCCAGTACGTCGTGGGTATACCCTCTTCCCAGAGGGCTATGGTGACATCTGTCAAGTTCCGGATTCCGTTATCCCCGGTGAGGTTGACAGCCTGGAAATGATGACGCGCGCCAGTCGCTTCCAGGGCGCGACTGGTCATTACCGTTATGGTCGAGCTGGAGCCTGCTTCTAGCCAGATGCATGAGCGGTGTCGCGCAGCAAGACGCTGGATGGCGTGGCTGAAATATACTGGCTGGCGTAGATGGTCGGCGACGATACTCGCAGGCGGGATCCCAGTGCACGGCTGCTCGGTCGCGCGCTCGAGGTGAATGGCTGGCTCGTTGAGTGTCAGGTCTTGCGTTATATCCTTCAGGTCAGCAGCCAGTGGCTCGACCAAGGCACTGTGAAATGCGTTGGTTACGTTTAATCGCTTCCACCGAAGATGTGCGAATGTTGGCTGGGTGATAAGAGTGTGCTGCACTGCATTGATAGCTACCATGGGACCGGCCAAAGTGAAGCTACGAGGGCCGTTGAAGCAAGCAATTTCCGCTGGGGCTGCACCGGTAAGAATGGTCTTGGTACACTCTAAAAGGTTATCGATCTCAAGACGGTCGCCGTCAACAGCTATCATGCCGCCAGAGTCTGTCCCCCAATTGTCCCGGATAAGCACAGCTCGGCGGGCTACCAAGGTCAAGGCGTCCTGGAGAGACAGCACACCAGACACGCACATGGCCGTCAGCTCGCCGAAACTATGACCGACAACCGCAGAAACGGGAACACCACAGTCAATCCAAGAACGAGCACATGCATACTGCAAAGAGAAAAGCTGTGTCTGCAGCTTGACCTGGTCTGCAATGGCAATGCGCTCAAAGATGCCGGGGAAAAGACTCGGGTACCCGAAAGACACGATCAGACGGTTGCATTCGTCGAGGTGATCGCGTAGCACATGCACGGACTTGTATACAGCGCGTTCTAATCCCACAAAGGTGGACATTTGCCCCCCGAAGCAGAGTACGACAGGTGCCACGGGCTTTTTTAAGCGGACAAAGTGGGTGTCACGCCCTTCAATAACACATGACAGCTTTCCATCGAGGTCAGCCATTGAGGCACAGCTGAAGACAAGTTGGCAGTCCAGAGTCGGATTTGACTGGCGCCCTGCGCTGAAGGAAATGTTGGCTAAGGAGGCATGTTGTGCAGACAGGGCTTTGCGATGAAGGAAATGTTGGAGTCGCCGTGCGTAGTCACGGAGACGGCTCTCATCCAGACCACATAGCCGGAATGGTAGGAAAAGGCCGGTATCGTGGATAGCAGAAGGTAGTCCTTTTGTCAGCGGGGCCTGAGTGACGACCATAGAGGCGTTCGACCCACACGCGCCATAGTTATTGATCAGGACGGCACGATACTCTGCTGTCCAAGGCTTAAGTTGAGTTGGAATTTCTATTTGATCATCCGATGTTGCTTGGATGTGCGGGTTGAGTGTCTGAAAGTTCGGCTGTGGCGGGATTTTGCCCTCTTGAATCATGAGCAGCACCTTGACCAAAGCGATCATGCCCGAAACGCCTTCAGTGTGTCCCACTAGCCCCTTGACCGATCCCAAGGCAAGAGGAGATGTCCGTTGCGGCCCGCCCATCACCTGGCGCACGCTGCTATACTCTGCCGGATCACCAGCCTGGGTGCCGGTACCATGAGCCTCTACGACTGAGATGTCGCGTGGGTGAATGCGCGCCTGTTGAGTTACTTTCCCGAACAGCGTGGCCAGGGATGGTGCATGGGGTACCACGACCGGGGTACAATTGTCGTTTTGTTCAACCGCGGTTGCGGCGATGGTGCCCAGGATTGGATCTCCGGCGGCAAGAGCATCGGACATTTTCTTGATGACGATCGCCGCAAAACCCTCGCCGCGGCAGTAGCCATCCGCCTTGGCATCGAACGGCTTGCAGGGGCCGGTCGGGGAGAGAAACGACGCCCCGTTGAGGTTATCGAAGCCCAGGGGACTGGTGATGGCATTGGCACCCCCGACCAGCGCGGCCTTGCAGTCTCCATTGAGTATTGACCGACACGCATGGTGCAGAGCGACTGTCGACCCTGAGCACGCCGTGTCGACGCATAGCGCTGGCCCATGCCATCCGAAATAATGGCTCAGCTTACCGGCGATGAAACTTCGCAGGAGGCCGGTGGCGGCATACGCGGTGGCCGGATGGCAGTTGACATTGTGCTCGTAGTCGACCGTGCAGCAGGCGACATAGCACCCAATGTCTTTGGTGGTGTTCCTGTGGAAGTACCCGGACTGTTCGAGTGCCTGGTAGGCGACCTGTAGGAGCAAGCGTTGTTGTGGATCTTGAGACATGACCTCCCGCGGAACTTTTTTGAAGAACTTGTGGTCAAAGGCATCGATGTCCCGGATGAAATTCCCAATCCACGGGCGAGTGGCATCTGGGCGCCAGGGTGTTTCATAATCCTTGTAACGCTCCGGTGGGATTTCTCGGTGTTGAGACTCCCCAGCGCAAAGAAGCTGCCAAAACTCGTCCAGGTCATCCGCGCCTGCGACCCGACAGGCCATGCCCACCACTGCAATATCTTCGTCATAGACGCGAGTCGAGTAGGCGGGCGTGATGCGCGAGAACGAGTCGAGCTCCAAGTCATCGTAATGGGCGACGCGGTTGCGCAGACTCGCCATGAACGACGGGGGCACACAGCGCTCCCGACCAAACTCGACCACGACGACGTCCGTGTTCTCCAGATGCGACCGGTGCACAGCAGAAAATGTCTGATACCACATGCACTGCTGGGAAAGGACCGAGCGGAGGACAAGCCGGTGCAGGGGGCCTTTGCAGACCGGCTCGCAGCTGATGTTGGTCCATGTGCGACGTAGCAGCTGAGAGGCGTCGGGGAGTTGAAGCGCCGGGTCCGCATCGCACATCTGATACAGCGCATCCAGTGTCTTCTGATGGCCTGTCCAGTGGTAGCGACCGTTGAAATCAATGTGGTACGCAGCGAAGCCGGCCGATCGGAGGGATTGTTGCAGAGGAAGCAGGGCGCTCCGGGGCGTCATGACGGTGACACGGTTTTCATCATAGCAGACGGTAATGTATGTCTGCACCTCGCACACTCGCACGCTCAGCACTGCCTACCGAATCAACAGGGTAACCCACCCACCTCAGGATACTGTTCCAACACGCGAGGCAGCTCTTGCTCCAGCCCAGGGTCCTTCCACACCGTCGAAATCGAAGTATACCTCTGATCCCTTTCTTGAGCATCACCCATAGCCCCCAACAGCGTTGCCAAGCGTATCCCGACCGCACCATACGTCGAGAGCTGGGCCTGGCCCGTCACCGACGCCGCCACCGCCGCGCTCAAAAAGCCAATACAAAAGCCAACAATTTCCACAACCGGGCCACCACCATCTAAGCTTAACCCCTCGGGGGGATAGGTCATGCGCAAGTAACTCGAGTACTGGGTGAGATGATGTATCATAAACAGGGGTGCATGTTGCAGGTAGGGCAGGGGGAAACTAGACTGGTCAGGGACATTCTCATCCCGGCACCGAAACCACCGACTCAGCTCGCGCAGCTGTCCCTCCGCCCCAGGAATGGCTTCCTGCAACCGGGGCACATATTTGGTCGCGGTCCGCCAGTAGACAGGCAACTCAGCCAAAACATCCAAGACCCAATGATGTTCGGGGCAGTCGAGGACGACGCGTCGGAGGCACCGGAAATGGTGGGCGTTGAAATCGAGTGATTGGCAGCCGAAGAGGAGGACGGTTTTGCGACTGGAGCCGCCGGATAGCAAAAGCTGGAGTTGTTGGGCAGCAGTGGGGGCCATGGCGGGCGATCACTGCGACTACTCACTAGGCAACGGGGCAACTGCCACTGACGAGGGAGCCAATGAGGGATGGGCGAGGGGCTTTTATGGGGACGCCACATTCTTGTTGGGCTGTCATATTGAAGGTCAGGGGGGGTTGCTTTTTCTTGTTTGTGGTCGAGGGACGGGCAGCGGCCGGAGTTTGTTGGTCGGGATATCTCCTCGGGCAGGGGAGGCAGTGGATGGATTTAAGCTGGAGCGGGTTGCACGAACAGAAGATCTGGGGACGGAGTTATTGGGGGGGCGAAGTAAGATGCAGAGGGGAGGAGAATAGGGGGGAAAGGGGGTAGGGTATATAAGAAGATTAGATTATGTTTTATGTAGAGCCCATGAACCAGCACGGATCATGTCAAAGTGTGATGTCTTCATCATCATCACTAATGACCGTCCCATCACATCCGATATCTCTGGGTGAGATAAGTGGTCATCACCAAGGATAGCCAACATTATAACCCAGAAAATTGAGACAAAAAGAAAATCCAACAAATCACCAAGATCCCAAACGAATGTGCCAAACCCCGATCCAATCCAATCCAATCGCCACTCCTTCCAACCATGAGAACCCAGACGACCCAAACCCAAAACCCCAATCCAAAAACGCGCCGAAGCAAACTCCACCCGCCATTGGCAGATTAGAACGATTATTGCACCGACAAGGTCGGACTCTGCACCGGATTCTTCACCCTTTCCAAATCCTGCAAACACTCGACCAAATCTTGCAACATGACATCAAACGAAGGATCCAGATAGCCATGCGCCGAGAAGAACTCGGAGCACATCATTAACGGAATCGGGGTGAGGGGATGTACCTGTTCAATCCATGTTAGCTTGTCTCATCCACCCACCCCACTCATTGGGACGATCGAGGGGATGTAACTTACTTTGAAATACCCTAAACTCCCCTGCATCTTTACCAACGCCACCACGTCATGGGCCGCCAGGACGCATACCCGCTCGAACTCAATGATGCCGAGTAGATGATCGCCGGTTTTCCAGGCGATGCTTTCTAGCACGCTGTGCAGGAACAGAACCATGCTTTGGGCTACGATGCGGGCGAACATGAGCATGGGGTCGACGTGTGGGTAGGTGTTGAGGATTTGGATGCGGTGGGTGAGGAGGTCGTGCAGGTAGGTGTGGCGGGTCCAGAAGATGTCGAGGCTTTGGGGGTGGAGTTGTTCGACGGCGAGGGTTTGGCGGTGGGTGAGGGCGCGACCGACTATGGTGGCCAGGAGGATGAGTTCGGTGAAGGAGGAGAGGGGGTCGGTGAGGCCGAGGGGGAGGGGGAAGGAGGGGGTGAGGGTGAGGGTGAGGGTGGGAGTGAGGATGGGGATGATGACGGGGAAAGGGGGAGGGCGTGGTGGTGGTGTTGGTGGGGAGGGTCATGAGTTCCGACAGATACGATGTGAGGATGGGCTGGCCCGATTGGAAGTCTTCTTCCGGGCTGGGGAGGCGAGTTGTGATCTAGACTTTATTGTTAGCACAGTGTTGACAGTAGGTTGTAGAGAAGGAGAAGTACCAATTGCTCATTTAAAGTAAACGGGAGCCCGTTGTGAAAACTGATGAAGCGATCCAGGCTGTAGGCCATCCAGAATGTCCGGCGCTGCTCCTCCAGCCCGATCCAATCCACCAGGACTGCTTCTTGCTCGCGTGCCATTGTCACGGGGCTGTTGGGATCGTCCAGCTCGTACAGCCGCATCCCCAGCACCAGTCGACAACACCGTCCCGTGCTCATCCACGCCTGCAGCGGGGACAGCTGCATGTACTCGTAGATGCACACCAGGACCCACGCCTGCGCCTGCTCGATGCCCGGCGCCTCGGTCTTCGGACCCTGCAGGTCCAGGGCGTCCAGCATGCGCCGCGTCTCCGAGTACAGGCGGTCGCGGAGCGACTGGAACTGGGCCGACAGACTGGCAGCGACCGTCCACATGGCGTACTGGAGACAGGTCTGTGCCTCGGTCTTCTTGGGCTGTTTGGCCCACACATGGTAGCGCCAGCGCTGCAGGATGGGGGCGAACGGGTGCACCCGGTCGAAGTAGAGTTGGTCCCTGCGTTGTTAGTCGAGGATCAGATCATCCGAGAGAGCCGACGGGAACGTACAGATCGGCTCGCATCAGATCCGAGACCAGCCCAGTGGGACGGTTGGGGGATCCGGGCGAACGCGGGGATCTCGAGCTGCGCTGGTCATCGGATGTGTCGGGCATCACTGGCAGCGAGTCGGGCAGCGATGGCAGGTCCCGCAGGGGATCCTCTTCACTGTCGCAGTCGATAATGGAGCCGTCGAAAAGACTGGCCATTTGGTGGTTGATTTCAGGATGTTGGTCAGCCAGACATCGTTCCAGAGCAGCTGTGGCAGTGGTCAGTAGCCGCATCTCTCACACGCAGCAACGAAGGAGCGACCTACCAATCCGCGTGCGGAGAGTGCGTAATTGTCCCTTACGGGGCCCGCGAGGCAGTCGAGTGGTGTTGATCTTGCACTCGATGCCCGTCTCGAAGCAGACCTGGCACTGCGGACGACGCCGGTCACAGCGGACCTTACGACGCCGGCATTCCTCGCAGGCGGATCCAGGACGCTGGCGGGAAATTGTGGGGGTAGAAACCATCGTGGGGATGGAGTCGGAGTCGGAAGACAGGCAGACAGACGGGGAGAGATGGATGGATGAACCAGAGACATTCACGAAGTGGACGCCGTCCTTATAGCCTGACAGCGGCTTATGTGATGCAGCAGTGGATGCAGCAGTGGATGCAGCAGTGGACGCAGTAGTGATAAGATCCAAAGAATGGGATCGACCCGCGATAGCGTGCTGGGAGGGGGGATTGCAGGAGGCAATGAACGAGTGGGTAGGGCCCGAGCAATCAAGACCCAGTGTGGCTTGCGCTGCTTTTGTCTATTAAGCTCATCGGCACGGTCAGAGGCCCGCCCGTGGGATCAGAGGATGATCTGCTGTGTGAACCGTGTGATACTGAGGGCGAACCTGCAGGGAGCAGGGCACCACAGCTGCAGCCTTCAACTCCCTCAACTTATCCCCCCCCCCGTCCCTCTCTCCGTTGCTATCCGGACGGGTTCCTACCGGTCAGAAAGGCACTGCAGCTCATCCTGGTTGGAACCGGGTGACAGGATGTACTGGGGCCAGATCGAGGCCAGATTGAGGCCAGATCGAGGTCATTCTTGATTTCTTCACATCCCAAAGGGGTAAAGAATCAGAGCCACCGACATCATGATGTCGCAGTGGACACTTTCTTCAAGCGAGTCCTTAGTGAACCCACCAGCAAGGCTTCTGGATGGCTGTCAGCCAGCCACCCACTCGACTCGATGGGTCCAGCACTAGATAGGTACACGATGCTACTACTACTCCTGCAGAGGGGCCGGTCGGGCCCATTGTTCCAGGCCTGGCCCATAGATAGGTTGCGCAGAAGCCAGCAGAAGGCCGGAGAAGCAAGCATGGGGGTGGGAGGGCAGCAGGGTGCAGGTGGTGCAGTGCAGCGGGCGTAGCAGCAGCAGTAGCAGCAGCAGTAGCAGCAGAAGAGCAAATGAACTGGAACCTGACGGTGGCAGAGACTGGCAGAGAGTGGCAGATGTCAGACGGGGACTGGCACCTGCAGTGCAGCAGCTGTGAGGGACGGTCCAACCTGAGGGAATGACCGTGCAACGACGGAAAATAAAAGGTTTGCTATGTGTGACGGTGGAGCGACGACAACTAGTGGTAGGATCCGCACTGATAGTTGGCTGTAAGCATAGGCCAGCTGGGGGGGGGAAATAGCAGGTAATTGGTGTCAAGGAGGGGGATCGAGATCTGGCCTGATGAGTCGGCTGGCATTAGTTGGAATTGACGAGGACAATTGGATGGAGTGGATGGAGTGGATGGAGGCGGTGGAGTCGACGGGATACGAACAGTGGAGCCCGGTGGAGCCCTCGGAAATAGTCGCCTAGTCGAGTTTTCTGCCTTGGTGGCATTATCTATTACCCACTGGCATTCTGCAATATGATAACACGATTATATTATTACTTCCCCAGCAAGGCCAGATCGATCGCCGTGAGGATCCACCAGCTGAAGATCCACGAGCCACTATTGATGCTTGCTTTTTCTGCTTTCGGGAGGGCCGACGCTGGCGCCAAAAAATGGAATAAAATAAAATGAATTCATCTCGTCTCATTCATCTATCGGAAACCGGCTGAGCTGCTGCTGGTTGACTCGCCCTGCAGAAGGTGCAGAGTGCAGCCATCGGGATTTGGACTGTTCCACTGGTGGTGAGACACAATCATTAGTTGCCAATTATCCCTCAGCGATATATAAGCGCCACCGGGAGGAGAGGGGAATAAGTAATCCACTCACTTACTTGCACTCGAATCATCATCATCATCATCATCAATGGCCCACCCAACTCAAGATCTCCTGGGCCAACTTCCCATTCTCCAATCCTACACTCACCTGTTGCTCTGTTTCCCGCTGCCCTCTCCCTCTCCCTCTTCCTCCTCCTCTGCCATTCTCTCCGCCCTTGAATCCGCCGTCCACCAACTCTTCACTCTGATCCCCATCTTGGCAGGCCAAGTCATCAACGATGGCGTCTCGGCCACCTCATCTGGCGCCTTCATGGTGACTCCCTTAGCCTCCCGCCCTTCCCCCATCATTCGCATTGTGGACCACACCCCCAACCCCAGCATCCCCAGCTACAATACCCTCCGCAATGCCCACTTCCCATCCCACATGCTGCCGGGGGCCATCTTCTCACCTCCGCGCCCCGCCTTCCCCATCCCCTATCCCGAAGACACCCACCCCGTTCCCGTCCTCGACATCCAAGCCAATTTGCTTCAAGGCGGATTGCTCCTCACCCTGGCCGCCCAACACAACATCATTGATGCTAGCGGTATCTTCCAAGTCGCCTCTCTCCTGGCCCGTCTCACCCGAGGGGAATCCATCCCCGAGGCCGAGATCAACGAAGCCAACCTCGACCGACGCCACCTGATTGCCGTGTATCCTGATGACGAACCCCTCCGCCACGACTACACCGACTACAAGCCCGCCATCATCCCCCGCGCCCCTCCCAATCTAACCGCCCTGTTCCCCACCTTCAAATGGGCCAATTTTCATTTCCCCAAACACAGCATAGAAGCCATCTACACCCTCGCCAAGACCCCCCCAGCTACCCCATCCACTTCCACCTCCACCTCCACCTCCACCTCCACCCAATCCCCAAAATCCAAAATCACCCCCAACGACGCCCTCACAGCCTTCATCTGGCAACGTCTCTCCCACATCCGTCTACACCCCCCATCTTCCCTCCCCCAAACCCTCTCTCAAACCCAAAACACCACAACCACCACCACCAAACTCACCCGCGCCCTGGACCTCCGCCGCACTCTCTCCCTCACCCCCTCCTACCTGGGCCACTCCATCCGCACCGCAACCCTCCGTCTGCCCCTCTCCGAAATCACCTCCCTCCCACTTTCCACCTTATCCTCTCTCCTCCGCGACCAACTCCTCTCTCTCCGAACATTAGACTCCGTCCGCGACTACGCTACTTTCTTATCCCGGGAACCGGATAAAAGAAAGATAGCCTACGCGGGAGGGGAATTCAACCCTCGAACGGATTTTAGTTGTTCGAGTGTGGCGCATGTCGATCTGAAACAGTTGGCGTTGGGTTGGGGGAAGGGGGAGGTGGAGGGAGTGGCGAGGTGTGAAGGGGTCAGAAGACCCGAGGCCGGGGTGTTGCCGGGAGGATGTTATTTGGCGGAGGCGGGGAGGTGGTATGTTGATGGTAAGGGAGAAGAGGAGGGGGAGGAAGAAGAAGAAGGGGGAGTCGAGGCGTTGATGTGTTTAGATGGATGGGAGATGGACGGGTTGATGAGGAATGAGGATTGGGTGAGGTGGGTTGAGTTTGTGGGTTGATTAGTACTAGTAGTACCGATTCCTTACTATATTTTATGAATAAGTTATGATGATAGGATTATGATGACTATAGCAATGACAATGACAACTTATGACAATGACCAACTAACTTGAAGTAGTATGCAAAATAGTAACAAACAACCGGTAATCAAATACTACTACCCCCCGTGATGAATATATACTGGCAGACCTTCTATAGTATCTGTGCCCAACAAACCCCCGTTACTCCCTTGTACTCCATTGATTCCCGTCGAGCCAAGGACCGAAAGATATATATAAAGATAGAAAGAACAATTACCATTCCTCTTCCAAGTAGGCTCATCGGGTTAGTCAACTAACCTTGGTCTACGACTGACTTTGGAGCTTTTCTACATTCATGACTACTAGTATATCGGTAGTAGTGTAGGAGGTTTCCTTTTAGAGACATCAATCCAAGCTATGATGCACAGGTACTCATATTCACTCCGATAAACCACCCACAAACTATCCACACCATTGAACATAGCAACCACGGGGCCATGAAACGCCCCCTTCCTTTGTCCACTACTCTCCATTCAACTGTCCCAAGGAATACTTCCTCACCCACACACTCAACCCCAGCCCCACCCCCGCCACTCCACACATTACCCCCCAAATCACCCTCAAACTCGCCGTGTAACACTCCCGTAACACCCTCGCCTCCCCCTCTCCCATTGTCTCCAAGAGCGTCACCAACGCTGCTGCATTCCGACTCACTTCGTCTGCTCTCGCCCCATCCCACCCATCGTATTTACCCAACTCCCTGCGCATCCGGTTCTGAAAGATAACACCTCCCACTGCAATTCCCACCGCTTGGCCAAATGCCCGGAAGAAGATGACCATTGCTACCGACAGTGTCAGGTTCTCGGGCGTCGCGGATGCTTGCACCGCGCACACGATCGCCGCGGTGAGAATTCCCAGTCCTAAACCCGCCGGGATGTTGAGGAAGATCCAGGTGACAGTGGGGGTGTCGACGTGGAGGAGACACAAAAGGCCGAGGCCCAGGGTGGAGAGTGTCCAGCCTAGATATAATCCCCAGCGGTAGCGGCCGGTGCGGGTAATAATTATGCCACAAAGGATGGCGGACGGGGCGACCGTGAAGGTCTCCGGGAAGAGGGCGACCCCGGCCAGTATGGGGGAGAAGGATTTCACGGCTTCATAGTATAGTGGCATGTAGTAGAGGGCACACCAGAGGATTAGGCCTTGGAGAAAGCTGGCGGTGAGGGCGATTACGGCGCTGCGGTTTTGGAAGATGGAGCGCGGGATCATCGGGGCGGAGGGAACGAGGGCTTCGTAGATGCAGAAAACGAGGAGCCCGGTGGCACCGAGACAAAGAGGCACGAGGGTTCGCCATGAGGTCCAGGTGTACATGATCCCGCCCCAGGAGAGGGGGATGAGGAAGGAGGAGAGGCTGCTGACGAAGAGGAAAGTACCGGTGTAGTCGATCTGGAGGAGTTTCTGGGGGAGGGAACCGGGAGGTGTGGGCAGCCGGAAGAAGAAGAGGATGCAGATGGTGGCGATGCCGATGAAGGGGAAGTTGATGTAGAAGATCCATCGCTGGGGATTGTTATTCTCTTTTGATCAAGGTGACAAAGGGAGAATACTCACCCAGGCCACATTCTCGGAGAAGCCACCGCCCAAGATAGGGCCCAGCACGCTCCCCAGACTGTACATCGCGCTGAGCACCCCGTAGTAATTGCCACGAAGCCGCAGCGGCACCAGGTCCGTCACCACCACTTCCGACAGCACCGCGATGCCTCCGCCCCCCACCCCTTGGATGCAGCGCCCCGTCAGGATGGTGGTGAATGACTGGGCCAGGCCGGCAATGAGCGAGCCAGCCAAAAAAAACCCGATCGACAGAAGGATGATCGGACGACGGCCGAAAATATCGCTCAGGGCGGCCGTGAAGGGTTGGAAGACTGCCCATTAGCTTGATCGCTGAGGGGGAGACAGACCATCGTACCTGTCGAGCAGAGCAGAAAGGATGTCCCGCTCCAGAAGGCCTCCATCGCGGAGCCGTTAAGCTCGCGTGCCATTTTCTCGACTCGTTAGCTGACATCTCCAAGTCGATCAGAAACGTACTGGCAACGCGACCGAGATGGACGTGCCATCCAAGGACACCATCAACGTCAACACCGCCAGCGTGAAGAAGATGACCCGTCCCAGCACCGACAGCTTGAAGTCTCCATGGCGAGGTGCTGAACATTCAGGATCTTCCTCCTTCTCGCCCCTGACTTGTTGCTCCACATGCTCGATCTCTGCCTGCTGGTCTTGCGCCTCTCTCACCCTCCCTACCTCTATCTGTCCTGGGTTTCCCCCGGTAATTCGACCATTAGTAACGTCCTGCATTTCGTTTTCCACGAATTCACTGCTTGGCCAGGCATTAACACACTCAGTGTCCGCACATGATGGCTCGAAGCAGTACCTCGTCAGAAGCCGTCTGACCGTCTGTTCGCCCAACAGAACAGGCCAGAGTCACAGCCCAACCGTACTACCCTCGGTCACACAACCCCTTGCTCGATATGCCGGAAAATTAACCCGTCCCTCTCGGTGCGGACCGGCCAGCCGCATCTCAGGAGTTGTGTAGCCCCTGACGAGAGTGGTACAAGACCGTTGGTCCCCAGACCAAGGATGATGAGAGGTTATCGTTGGTCGGAGAATCTTCACGCCTGTTAGCGCACTGCGAGAGGTGCCACCGCAGTTGCTGTCAAGACTGCCGTTTCAATCCAGGCGGAGGAAGAAAGCTTCCATTCGCCCCAGGAGATAGCCCTTCGCCGGGAAAAGTTCCCGAGAGGCTGGTGCGACACCGTGTAACCGTCCCTTTCCATCAGGTGAGTACAAGCAGAAGCTAAACATTCAAGCCCACCACTCACGCTGCAGTCTACTCCCTTCCGTCGGGACCCTGCTGGCCTGGCGCCAACTGCACAACAGTGATCGAATCAGGGGCCAATAGTCCCTCTTGGCATTCCTTGATCGGGTGATAGTGAGGCCTCGAACGATCCGATGGATTTGACGCCGCGCCAGGCTCTTACCTCAGACGTAGATAGAATAACAAGACAGACAGTACCAGAAACATAGTAATAGCACATCATCAACATGGCTCAATCTGACATCGATATCGCCATCATCGGCAGCGGCATCATCGGGACCATCCTCGCCCTGGGCCTCCTCAAATCCAACCAGGCTCCACCAAAAACGAAGCTCAACATCAGAGTATATGAGCAATCAGCCTTCCCTCGGGAAATTGGCGCCGGGATTGGCTTCACCGCCACAGCCCGAAAATGCATGGCCCTGATGGACGACCGCATCGCCGACTGCGTGGGGGTGGTGGCCACACTGAATGGCGAGCCCGAAAATCCCGACTACAGCATGCGCTTTGTGGATGGCTTTCGCACCTTCCCGATCTCCCCGGACGAGGGATACGGGGTCCATGTACGGAAAAACGAGGGTGAAGAAGAGGACGTATCCATCCACGGAAAAGTGTATAAGCTGTATGCCGGACCGCGGGGATTTGAGGGGTGCCACCGAGCACATTTTCTGGAGCAGATTTTGAAGCTCATGCCCGAAGGAATCGTGCAGTTCAAGAAGCGCGTGGAAGAATTCGAGTACCTGGAGACGGGCAAGGTTAGACTGGACTTCGCCGATGGAGAGCAGACAGAGTGTGACCTTGGTAGGTGCTACCTTCCCTGCATGCTACGCAACGATGTTTATATGTAGTCATCGCCTGTGATGGCATTAGATCTCGCATTCGCGAGCTGCTCTTCACGCCCGCATACAACGCGCAGTACACTCACCAGCTGGCGTTCCGCGGCCTTGTTCCAATGGATGCAGCGATCCAGAAACTCAGTCGATACCGCGCGCTAAGGCAGCACATGCACTGCGGTCCGAACGCACATGTTCTGCATTTCCCAGTTGCAAATCAGCAGCTCATGAACGTGGTTGCATTTGTCCCAGACCCGGATAAGTGGTTGAGCAAGAGTATGACTGCTCCAGCTCAGAAGAGCGAAGTCGTAGAGGCGTTCCGAGAATGGAGCCCGTTTGTGCGCGCAGTGATCGACCTACTCCCCGAGGAACTGGATAAATGGGCCGTTTTCGATACGTATGAGCGCCCCGTGCCAAAGTATGCTGAGCGCCGGGTTGCTCTGGCCGGCGATGCAGCCCATGCCTCATCGCCGCACCACGGGGCTGGCGCAGGAATAGGGGTCGAGGACGCGTTGGCATTGGTGGCTGCTTTGACGAGGGCGCGGGCGGATGTCGATCGGGGTGTGGCAATGGGAAAGACGCTGGAGGCAGCAATGAAAGCATACTCGAAGGTGCGATACGAACGATCGCAGTGGCTGGTGAAGAGCAGTCGCCAGGTGGGTTGGACGTACGAATGGATGAACGCCGACATCGGTGGGGACATGGATCGAGCGTTTGCGGATATCCGCGACAGAAGCCAAAAGGTATGGCATTTCGATGTCGAGGCTATGGTGGCGGAGGTGGAAAGAGAATATCGCCGGTTCCTGCAGTAAACATTGAAGAAGATCGGGATGATGATGACTCCAAATGAATCAAACAGAGCAACAGAAACATATTACCTGGCAGGGTCAGGTGATTTGCCAAACCAACCAGTGAAATTTATCTCTACTAGTTTATATGCCGATATTTACACCTCATGCACTCCCAGTATCTCTCCTAGTATAGGACTCTGCGTCCGCTCGTATGCTTCCTGGATATACGCCTCATCCACCGAGAAGGGCCTCGCCATCACATTCGGAATATACCGCCTCAGTGCTTCCAAGTCCACATTTCCCTCCAGAAACCCCGGCCTCAGCAGGCATTGACGGAACCGGGCCACGGTCGACCGCAGGTGGCTCGAGTGAAAAGGAACGTCGATACCTTCCAAGGGAATGGTGGCCTGCCCTCGCCGGAGCTGGATAGGTTGAGGGAGATTTTTCGCCTCGGAAAGGAGTTGGATGATGACTTCATCTTGTGGTGCCGTTGCTTTGCATACCTCCCTTCGATCCAATTGCGCAAGCTGGTCCATCAGTCGCCCAAGCACCCAGAGATTCGTTATCTGGAGACATCTTAGCTTATAAAGCTCAAGAAAAATCCGTGAACATACCGTTCCTGAACACACGTATTGCTCCCCCTCCACGTTGTAGTTGACAACCTCCAGCAGCTCTTGGCTGGCCAGGGAAATTGCGCGAACAAAGCCGCCCAGACGCGTTTCGTCAAGGGCTATCTAGTTAGCTTGAATCTACGCAGCAGTAGCGTCACTCACATCGGCCCACGCGCTTGGGATTAACCGCCACCATCCCATAAGCGACCCCCTGATCGCTTCGCGACACAGAGGCCTGCATCATTAGCCCCCGGTAAAATGCCAGCTCCGCCAGTGCACCCATCGGAATCGAGCTGGACAGTGCCGACAGAGCCCCAAACTCTCCTAGCGAATGGCCGGCATACATCGCATCCGGTGGAACATACCCTTTGTCGCGCAGGTCGGCTACTGCCGCCGCCTCGAACAGCAGAATAGCGGGCTGGGCGAATTGGGTAGAATATAGCAGGCCCCGTGAATCTGTGAATGTGTACGACGTCGAGCGCGGAGTGAGCCCCGAGAGAACAGGCACCTGCACACGTACACCATCAGACAGCACCGTCTCTGTGGTGATAGCAAGATAATTCTCCCTAATTTGGCGGCCTCGTTTGCCCCCAAAATGCACCGTAACTGACTTGGGGTTATTTCTGACAATATCAAGGACAGACCAGCCTATAATTATGAGCCATTGCCTCCCTCCCACACAAGGAATTACGTACCATACGACGCATACAGCTGCTCATCGATTCCATCCCACATGGATTTAGCAACCGGGCTTGACCTGTACAAGTCCATTCCCATTCCCCTGCTTTGGCTGCCTTGACCCGTGAAGAGATAGGCGGTTGCAGGCTGGTCAACAATCGCTTCCGCTACCAGCACCTTTTCGTGGTCTTCTTTCCGGACAACATCAACGGTAAACCGCATGCGCCCATCAACCATCCCAATGTGCTTCATCAGCACGACCAGCTTTTCCAGCGGCATGACCATACCAGTGAAATTGGCTGTGAAATATCGGAGACGCGAGCGATCGCCCTTAAGAGCCAAGTACTCCAACGCCGCCACGGCAATGGCTGAAGTACACATGCCATGACACACTGTCCCAGGAAGATCAGCCAAAGAGGCAAAAATGGTTGACACGTGAATCGGGTTGTAGTCGGTCGATATTTCGGCGTACGGCTGATTGCTGACTGGCATCTGGACTTCGATAGACGAGGGACCAGGCCACCCGGGATTCCGTAGGCTGGTTTGGTTGCGCAGAGGGCTTGCTTTGCGCTCGAGAAATTGCAATACCGGATTGCCAGCACACCATTCACATTCGAAGTTGACAGTTCCGACTTCCCGCCCACGACAACCCCGATCTTGGAAGCATACGGTGCCAGTAACACGAAGACTCTTAAAGCCTAGTTCTTTGTCCTCTGCATAGGTCTCCACACAGAAGACAAGACATTTGCCTACAAGGGAGATGGCATTATCGTGGATGTGAAACCAGCTGCGGTGTCGAAGGACAGTTTCGTCCAAGTCGGACTCCAGACTGAGAGTCCATTCCGATTTGGTCCGTCTAAACGTGGACCCTCCCTTGAACACACCGCGATACAAAAAGCTGGAGGTGACTGACATGACTGCTTTTCCGGAGCGGATGATCTGAGCTTCGACGACAATCACCTTGCCTGCATCCTCCACATATACAGCCTGGACTTGGGATTGACACCGCACACTATCTCCCACGCGCAACGCACTTGCACCGAGAGAGTACTCGAAAGCATTAGAACGGTGGACCAGACGCAGCAGGTCACCATCAAGGTCCCCGGCCACCAGAGGCCTGGTGATGACGTCCCACGCAACTATTATCCCTGTGCTGACTGGCAGCACATCTGAGATCGGTAGTACCAGTCGGGCATCCGGGAAGGCTGGGCCCACGGCTGCAGCCAGATCATCCAGCAGTTCGCGGGTGAGTTTCATTTTGCGACCATAGAAAGTGTCTTGAATACTAGAACAAGGGCCAGTGTTCTCCTGGAGCCAGATTTTATTGTAGAAGGACCTGACGCGTGCATTACGCTTTTTGGTAAGCTCACTCAAGCCAAACGGACCACTGCTGGAATCGAATCGGTACACCAATTGCAGTGGGTCGGAGACCTGAGGAGGATAGAGGTCCACCCGAATATCAACGCCATCCAGGCATGATATCTTCATAAGTGAGGTCGCTTTACATGGATCTTGGACGGTGACACAGACCTCCGACCGGTCGAAATCATATCGCATGATCGTGTCGGGATACAATGTGACAAACTGCTGGAAGGGGTTCTTTTCGCGGGATCGGCCCCGAAAGATCATCTTATCCCCAAAGACGGCGCGCACCCACGCTGGCCAGCTTGGACTTGTGCCGAGAACGGCGGCAGTCACCGACACTGTGCGATCATCGGTGGATTCCGAGACGGTCGTGGATGCAAGGGAGAAATCCTCGATGGCGATCTCTTTGACACCTGACACCGAGGACCAGGAGTCCGGAGTTATTAGTCCGCTGCCCGAACCAGGGGTTGAGTCTTCCGAGCGAACATCCTGCTGCATACGTTCAGCGAGGCCATGGGTGATCGTATCTAAGATCTCCCTTGCCGACTGGTCACACCCAAGCGAATACTGAGCTGCCACTGGACCGTGGAGAATGCATACTCGATCTGCATCTTGGTCCACAACAGCATCGGTATCCTCGGCTTGCCATAGCGAGTCTTTTTTGAAATAAAATTCGAAGTCCTCGTTCAAAACAGGTATGAAGTTGACGGGCTTCTGACCTGGCATTTGGCTTCTTGTCAGGAAATAGGAGACATCTTCCGGGTTCAGAATTTCGTCGGCAGCAGTAGGACACGCGACAGCAAATGCACTCAGGAATAACGCTGGGGCTTCGGAGAGGACTGATCGTGAAATATTTGCTTCCTGACCGGCAGCAGCACGAGGTAGGCGCTCCAATGCACGAGAAGCAACGGCCATTGTAAAGTCAACATACGTTGGGTCGATCCATCTTTTCTGGTGCTGAACATACATCAAGTCAACTAGACGAGCCAACACCTCGGTGTAAGTCATCTCCTCCAAGCCGACCACGTCACCCAGATCATTGCGGCCAAACCACGGCTTTGCAAAGTCCGAGTTCAGACGGTGTATAATTGAATGGTGATGTTTTGCCAAGTATGCAATGCGATCCTTCCGGGGCAGACTGAATACAGTCCGGTCCATGTCGGCCCATAGCCTGACGCCCCTGGTAGCGATTTTGTGAATCGGCTCACCCATTTCAGATTGAACCGTAATCACCCCGCCAGCAGGTCCATTGTATGTCTTCTCCCACTCAGCGTCCGGAACACCAGGAGTATTGGCAATGATATCTTTGACGGCTGATGAGGTATGAGCTTCTTGGGCGACCATCAGGCGGCTTCCTAGTAGCACTCCATCAAAAGGCATACACGGATACCCTAATGAGAGTGACCATTGTCCGGTTATATAAGGATAAATGCTATCGCTGTTCCCAAACCCACTTCCAACTACTAGATATATGTTAGGCTGTTGTCGGATGAGCCCGTAGGTGCTGAGCATGGGTGCGTAGAAGTCCTCAAAAGAGTGATGGCCACCTCCACGTCCACCCGTCCATTGTAAAATGATCGGAAAGTCGGGGTGTGCTTTAGCAATGTCGATCACCTGTCGTATGGTCGCCACCGAGCCTGGCTTGAAGCTAATATGACGCAATCCGAGCGTTCGGATATACTCAGATGCTATCTCCAAAGAAGGAACCCCGGCCCCGATCGTCAGTCCGTCGATGGGAACTCGGCTATGCGATAGGCGACGTAAGAGCGCAATTTGCCAGCACATAGCCCGGGGGTTGGCATAGATGAGGTTGCAAGTGATGCCTCGACCCCGGGCAATATTCGCGACAAGACTATCGATAGCCATCGCCATATCAGAGCTGTTGCGATAGCCGCCACCCGCCAGTTCTGCGTGGTACCCAGCATTCATTATGGCGGAGACAAAATCCCAATGAACGGTAGTCGGTGTCATTCCGGCCACCATTACCGGAGGGGTGCCTAATAAACTAGTAATCCGCGTCTCCAGGCCCGCCGGACCGGTTGTCAAACGAGGTTGGAACTGCTGGGCCCAGCTCTGAAGCCTTGTCGATGAATCTAGAAGACGCGGAGAAAACAGGTCTTGCATGGTACCCATCTCGGGATCGCGTGAGTTGAGATCGCTGCCCTGAATAATCCGGATCCCTTTACCTTCCTGGATCTTTTTCACCATTGGCCCGAGCCCACCACGATCGAAAACAATGATATGAGATAGGGACTTGGAGGTATCGTGAGGATGCTGGCCGGATAGTGCTGCAGGCCAGTCACATATTTCTCGGGCAATGGCGTCAAGCACTGCATGCAATATGTTCCCACCGACCTGCCGAAGGTCCTGTCCGGTGAGTGTGTGGTACACGGGGATTCTGAGCTGCTCTGCCACGATCTGTCGGTCAGAAAAACGCCTCTTGAGTATACCGACAGCCTCTTCAAGATATCGAGTATGAAACGGTGTACTGATTGGGAGGAAGCCGTAGTGGATGACTGGCTGTCGATTGCTGAAAGGAATCCGACTATGGTCTGTATCTGGGGTCGTAATGGTTGACAGATAGCTGTGCATATGTACCAAAGAGGTCACTGGGCCGGCCACCACGAACTGGTCCCGAGAATTGACCAAGGCCATCTGAACTTGCTCATCTGCCGATAAAGTTCCGTTCAGGCGAGCCAGAATAGAATCTAGCTGCTCTCTTGTCACTCCCCGTACAGTGAGCATATAAGCCGGCTCGGCATGGAGCCCGCCGCAGTCAGAAGCGCTGCTAACTAGTGAAGAGCTCCCAGGAGCACTTCGATGGCATTCCCACCCCAACCAAAACAGTGCCTCGATGGCCAGATAAGAGTTGGCATAGAAAGAGTCCCACGAGTCGGACATTGCTATGACAGTGGACACCATCAGACCCTGTGAGTGTCCGGTCGTAGAAGAGAGCAGCGCGCGCAGCTCGCCTGGATTTATATCCAAGATACGACAGGTAATCAGATATCGAGCCAAGCTCAGCACCCCGATGACTGGGACACTAATCGGAGACTGGGCTATGTCTTTGCAGTCCGGCATAGTTGATTTGTCGCTGATCCATGTCATCAAGTCTAACGAGCGCCCACGATTGTGGAACCAGGAGTTTGGCATTTTGGAAAGTCGACAGAGAAGTTCCGCTGCTTGCCCAAGGAAGAGCCGAAACATCGGCCTGTAAGTGGTGTACAGATCTGCCAGCTCTTGAACACACGTCCGACTTGCTTCTCCCTGGCCGCCAAAGACAGCCATCAAGTGAAACCCGCTAGTCTGCACGTGGTCGAATAGAGCACTCGTCCGGCTGCACGGATACCCGATTGAGCTTCCAGGAATTACATCCCCGCTGGCTTCAACGGCACGATAGTATATCTCCAGCCACTGTTGTTGTTCGCTGGGGACAGTCGTCAATTGAGCAACGAGGCAATGTATTTCCTTATCTCGATGCAGGAATCCAACATCGAACGCCCGTAAAACAGCCGCCAGTGCAGGTTTGGAGACACATTCTTGATTGACAAGGAACTCAATGAACGCTAAGCACAGAGCAGGAGGGGACTGAATTGCCCCCCTGTTTGAACTTGATGGCAAGGATGATATAAACGCTGCTTTTTGGGGTTGAAGCGACTGCGCATGGATGATGGGAATAGATAAATCAAGGCGGCTGTTCCCAACGTGGAAAGAAATGTCAACCATTAAAGGACATGGCGGAGAAGAAACCTGAGAAATTGGCTGCGAAGAGGGTGACGAAGTAGGGGTGGCATTTTGCGCACCAGATGATGCCACATTGATGGGGGAATTCTCCTCCAGGGCCATGCCGTCCTTGTCAATGAGCAACGAAGTCCTGCCGGGACAGAGTCATCGGTGGTCCATTGTGGGTGGTATTATGTCTCGACATCAATCTCCGAGGTGCAAAGGAGGGAAACCTAGTTCCTCTCCAGTGTGCATCCTCTTGCGTTGTCAGTAACGCTTCTGATTAGTCGGAAGATCCCACGCTGGGGATCAGATTCTCTCTTCGGCAATTTTCTCCATAAGCGTGCAGCTGCACGGCTGGTCTGGGGTAGCAGGGACAGGAAGCTGCTCAGATTCTTCTGCAAGCCTTACTGAGCAAACTTCTGCATGGTCGGAGTTCGGTCACAGGGGAGTGACCCCCCATCAACAGACTCACACCTGCGCCCGTCCGGAGTTTTACAGACGGAGTTTTATTGCCTACGCACCCGGGGGCCCCACTGCCTATCTTAAATGATCCATCTTCGGGGTATCGTTCATATGGGACCAAGCCTGAGAAGTATAACATTGTTAGATCTCAAGATCTCGACGATCAAAACGAGGCGCCCATACATAAGTCTCAGTCGTCCGGGATATCCTACCCCCGTTTTTTGCATGTGGACCGGCCGGTACAACGGTCATGAGCTGTGCAAGGAGTGGGGGACCATCAATGAAGGTCTGGCCAATATCCGCATCTTCCTCGCAAGTTTGACGTTAAGTCGGGTGTATCAGATACCATCCATTAGATCCCTAGGCAGCTGGTTGCATATACCTCAGTCCGCCCAAGGTTGTTCCCTATGGCTCTTTGGGATATCATGTCCCCCTCCATCGGCGATAAGCCAAGTATTGCGCATGACCAAAATGATTTGGCGTACAAATTGTTCATCGAGTTGCTTTCGTAGGTTTCCTGTGTGATCCATGTACAAAAGATGTGCACAAAGCTGACGGCGTAGGTATCAACTCGCATCTCCAGTGAGATGGTAAGCAGTCAATACCACACAGGTCGATGGAGCAGCTGTTGAGAGAGGCCAGGATCGAAACACAACAATCGCTGCTTCGAAAACAATCTCCAGTCCAGCGATTTATTGAGATTGGACCCCGCAGTACACTCGCAAGGATGGCTAAAAAGTCCGCCGCCATCTATCATGATCAGCATGCTCCATCACAGTGGTCCCATTTACAGTTTCTTTCGTATCAGGATGACCAGGACAAGATCCTATACGAGTATCCGGACCCCACGTTATCGGCATCAAAATCAAAAGAAACGAAATTACCGTGCAATCCCGCTCAACCGACCGGTACAATCCCTCGATCAAAGACCGAACATGAAGCAGCACCGACACCAGCACCAAGTACTCTGGGGGCTTTCGCACATGCACCGAGCGCTAGAGTTTCACTTTCTGCCCGCCATGTCCTGCTGGCCATGACGGCCCAGAAGCTCCGACGCCCCTTTGACCAAGTATCAATGGAAAAGACAATACGCGATCTATCAGGAGGTAGGATTTGACCAGGTTTATAGAGTTGCCACATGCTTACTGCTTCAGGCAAGTCAACTCTTCAGAATGAGTTGACAGGCGACTTGGTCGCAGAGTTTGGTCGGGTTCCAGAAGGAGTAGAGGATATACCCTTGGCGGTCCTAGCAGAGGCACTCCAGGGAGGGTTTCCAGGAAAGCCGGGCAAGCAGATGTCGGGATTGATCTCCAAGTTTATATCCAGCAAGATGCCTGCGGGCTTCAATCAAGTGTCCGCACAGGACTACCTAGAGTCAAGATGGGGCCTGTCGAAGCCTGAAACCAACGTTCCGATATGCCTCGCCATCACGACCCAGCCGCTAACCCGCCTACCGAATGCAGATGCCGCGCAGGTATATCTCGACGACATCGTTGGCCAGTATGCAACATTTGAAGGAATCTCTATGGTACCAACGGCAACAGAATCTGTGACAAAAGATCCACTGGGCCGGTCTATAATGGTAGATTCGGCGGCGCTCGATACTCTTCGAAAGGAACAGCGAGGTCTCCATCACAAGCAGCTCGAGTTGCTTGCAAAACATTTGCGCATCAATCCCGATACCTTTACAGATAATTTTGCCCGTTCGCGCGACGGGCATACAGCGTTGCAAGAGAGAATAGAGCAATGGAATGCGGAATTCGATGATGAGTTTTTCCAAGGTATCCGCTCTATTTTCAATTCCAAACAGATCCGGCAGTATGACTCTTGGTGGAACTGGGTGCGAGAAGACCTTCTTCAATGGCTGGACGCTATTTTACAGAGTCCAGCGGGTGTTGCTGTCTCCGGAAAAGATAATCGCGTACATCGGATCTTGAATCGGTGGGAGTCCAGCTGCACAGAGATTGTTGTCGATCGACTAAATACGATGTCCCCTGAACCCCCACTCTGCGATAAATTATCTCAGACGTGTGGCATGAGTGCGTCGCTCAACGAGATCTTGAAGTTGGGCATTAAGGCTCAATCTACCGACCCGGTATACATCCACACAGAACCCCCTCTAGCACCAAGAACCACCATTTCAGCCTCGGGCCGCCTCAAATACGAAGAGACAGTTCGCTCAGTTAGCAACTATCCAGATGTTGTGCGTCGAGGACGTACATCCCGAGCCAGCTCAGCATCTTTCGCTCCTTTCGTTCATCTCAAAATGCGCCATGGCGAAGAGTGGAAATACGACCCGGAAGCAACTGAGATGCTCCACAGAACATTGGATGTGGGCGTTACCACGGGTTTCAGCCACTCCGGCAAAACTGTACTCGTCACAGGTGCCGGTCCCGACTCAATAGGCGCCAGGATAATCCAGGGCCTCTTGGCCGGTGGCGCAAAAGTTGTGGTTACCACTAGCCGTGCGATCTCTGAAAGCGCCGGGTTTTACCAACAGTTGTTTAGGAAATACGGGGCTCGAGGGGCGACATTGACGCTACTTCCAATGAATCAAGCCAGCAGGCAAGACTGCGAGGCCTTGGTCGAATATATATACGGTGCAGATTCCCCGACGGGCAACGACTTGGATTACCTCATTCCATTTGCCGCCATCGCACAGACAGGTGAACCAGACACCTTAGGCAGCTGGCAGGAGCTTGCACTCCGAGCGATGCTTGTGAATATTCTGCGACTGATAGGCCTTATCCGCCGGGAGAAGGAAAAGCGACGCATAGACACTAGGCCAACAATGGTCATTTTACCGCTGTCCTGTAATGAAGGTACATTTGGTGGAGATGGTCTCTATCCAGAATCCAAGATCGGACTCAAGACTTTGCTCAACCGTTTCTACTCCGAAAGCTGGTCAACATATGTAACCATTTGTGGAGCAGTCATCGGATGGACCAGAGGAACCGGTCTAATGCGCTCATCTAACGTGATAGCAGCTGAGGTTGAGAAGCTTGATGTTATAACTTTCACACAGGCCGAGATGGCTTTTAACATCCTAGGCTTGATGACGCCAACCATGGTCTCACTTGCTGAAGAGGCGCCCGTGTATGCAGATCTAACGGGCGGGTTTGGCGCCATGTTGAATGTCAAGGAACACATAGCAGCGAGCCGCAAAACAGTAGCTGAAGAGCTCCGCTTGCGGGTTGCCCTAGCGGAAGAAGAAGTCCACCATCAAAACACGGTCCAGGGATCGCAAATACGCTCTGAAATTGAGGAGACAAACAGTCATATCAAGCGCGTCAACTTGAAAATTGGATTCCCACCATTAGTGCGCCACGAAGAAATGACCGCGAGTCTCCCTGATCTTCAAGGGATGATCGATCTCTCGCGCACCGTTGTTGTTGTGGGCTTCTCCGAGCTTGGACCGTGGGGCAGCTCTCGCACACGATGGGAGATGGAACACCAGGGTCGATTCTCACTAGAAGGATATGTGGAAATGGCGTGGATAATGGGATTGATCAAGCATATCAATGGTGACCTCAAGGGGCAACCGTACGTGGGGTGGATTGATGCACAAACGGGTGATCCGATCCGTGACGATGAGATCCCTCCGAAGTATGGCGGGCAGATCATGAATAACTCTGGTGTGCGCTTGATTGATCCCGACGCGCTAAATCCCTATGACCCGTCGCGCAAGGAGTCCATGCACGAAGTGGCTATTGAGGACGACCTACCCCCGTTTGAAAGCTCCAAATCAGCGGCAGAGGCATTTAAGCTGCGTCATGGAGATCTGGTTACTATCCAGCCGATCATGGGTTCTGAAAATTATCGTGTGTCTATGAAGAAAGGAGCGGTGGTCATGATACCGAAATCAGTTCCTTTTCATCAAGTTGCCGGGGGGAAGGTCCCCAGGGGCTGGAACCCGTTGCATTATGGTATTCCAGAGGATATAGTACAGCACAGTGACCCGACCACATTGTATGCGCTTTGCTGTGTCTCCGAAGCGCTCTTATCTGCCGGGATCAAGGACCCTTACGAGATGTATCAGCACATTCACGTATCTGAGGTGGCCAACTGCTTAGGGACAGGAGGTGGCACCATGAAAACTATCCAAAGCATGTATCGCGACCGTTTCCTTGATCGGCCGGTCCGAGGCGACATTATTCTGGACCACTTTTCCAACACCATGGGCGCATGGGTTAATATGTTGCTCTTATCTTGCACGGGACCATTAAAGACCCCGGTCGGTGCATGCGCAACGGCCATTGAATCCCTGGATAGCGGTTGCGAAGCCATTCAGACAGGAAAATGCAGAGTTGCTGTTGTTGGTGGTTGTGATGATTATGGAGAAGAGGTCGCTTATGAGTTCGCCAGCATCAAGGCCACAGCAAACAGCACAGAAGAGTTGGCCAAAGGCCGTTTGCCGGGTGAGATTTCCCGCCCTACCACAAGCTCGCGGGGTGGGTTTGCGGAATCCGCGGGTTGTGGTGTACAAATAGTAATGGCTGCCGATCTTGCCCTGGAAATGGGACTACCCATATATGGAATTGTTGCGTACAATCAAATGGCCAGTGACCAAATCGGTCGGTCAATTCCAGCCCCCGGAAAGGGATACTCACGGCTGCACGGGAAGTGGCCGAAGCTCGCCATTCACCGTTGCTTAATCTGTCTTTCCGACGCACAGGATTCGAAAATGAGATAGCCGACATTAAGCAACGAATGATGGATGGACGACTTCACACGTTGTGTCGTTCTGCCACCGCCACACAACAAGTGATCGATCAAGGAACAAAGTCAAGAGTACGCGAAGCCCAGCACCGATGGGCTAGCGACATCCGCCTGCAAGACTCTGGAATTTCCCCCATCAAGGCAGCTCTTGCCACATGGGGTCTCACAATTGACGATATAAGTGTTGCGTCGACCCATGGGACTTCAACCCGCGCCAATGAGATCAACGAAGGTGAGGTGATCAATACTCAGATGACGCACTTGGGAAGGCGCAAAGGAAATCCATTATTGTGCGTGTGTCAGAAGTCCTTAACTGGGCATCCGAAAGCAGCTGCGGGTGCCTGGCAGTTGAATGGTTGTCTACAGATGTTCCGCGAGAACGTCGTCCCCGGAAACCGCAACGCGGACAATATTGACGGGGAACTCCGGAAGTTTGAGCACCTCGTTTACCCAATGGACTCCATAAGGATATCAGGGATGAAAGCAACGATGTTAACCTCCTTTGGATTTGGACAGAAAGGTGCTCTGAGCATTACAGTGGCACCCAAGTATCTCTTCGCAGCTGTTCCAGTTGCGGCTTTTGAAGAATACCGGGCTCGGGTGACAAAGAGGCAGCGGGCTGCAAACCCAGAGTTTGTATCTCGGTTGCTGAAAAATTCCCTGGTCCAAGTAAAGTCCGATGCACCGTGGAGGAGCCCTGAGGAGATGCGGAGTGTCCTTTTGAACCAAAACAGTCGATTGACTACAGACCGATCTTCCTTTATGAACAAACCGCCCCCAGAGTTTTATAGCCCACACATTATGGGCGAGCAAATACTCAAAGACTTTGGGGAAGGGTCAAAGGTGACGTCTGAAGTTGTTCAATCTCTGCTAGAAAGTGTAACGCAGCGATCCACCGCATCTTTATCCACTAGTGTGGGGGTCGACGTACAGGATGTCATCGGCATCAACATTGACAACCAAAATTTTATTCTCCGCAATTTCACACTGGCTGAGCGTGAGTACTGTTCCAAAGCCCCGAACCCGCGTGCCTCGTTTGCGGGTCGTTGGAGTGCCAAGGAAGCCGTCTTCAAAAGCCTCCAAGCACCTTCCATGGGTGCAGGGGCTGCGATGAACGAGATTGAGATTCTGGGGACAAATGCAATTCCCTGCGTCGTGGTATGTTTGCCGTGATCATGCTTCTTCGATTGCAAGCATACTAAAAAAGATCAGCTCCATGGAAATGCCCACGCAGTGGCTGCGTCCAAGAGAATTCGCAGCATTGACGTGGCTATCAGTCATTCTGCAGAAACAGCGATTGCCGTCGCACTGGCCACCAGGCCGTAAGCGAGGTGCCGAGGTTCAGGTATGATTTGGTTAGTGGTAATGGAGAGGGAGAGGCTTTCTATAGTGCTGGTTCGAGTTAGACCACGAGGGTATACACAGAGGAATGATCTAGATGACTATGTGCAAGATCTGTACATAACAGAAGTAATGCAGCTGTCGTCTTGTCCCTGTAGTTTGGTGGATGTCCTGAAAGCTGAAAGGTGAAGAGCTGAATGGAAGGTGAAAGCTGAAAGCTGAAGGCGAGCGACGCCCGGCGGGCGCCAAGCGGTGTTTCCCCTTTGGGTTGGCGTGTCGGCACGTCAGCCATGACCAATCACATGCCAGAGTCTCCTCCCGTCGGGTGCGCGTCGGCTTTGTTTTGCTGACCAGCAATCTTGAAAGCTGCGTCTGCCTACTCGGTAACCGCAGGTGGTTTCAAGCAATTCCCTTATCAGAGGAAGGCCGCTTAGAGAACGACCACGCGAGTGAAACATTTCAAGCAATATAGACACACACTAAAACCTGTTTCAGATACAGAGGTTAAGCCGAATCCTTCCAGTACTCCGCCCCTCCATCTCACGCCCATCATTTCACATATACAGTAAGGTCACCAAAAAAGTCTTCGGGGTCGAGAAGAGGTGACTTGATGTAATGGCTGACCATGTCACAAACGCGCTTCGAGTCGGGGTCTGTTATCAACGGGCTACAGCCATGAGCGACAGGGGACCCCACGTGAGGCAGGAGGAACTCACCCCATCCAGAACTCCTCTCCACTCCTTAGTCGCTTCTGCCATTGCTTTGTCTCTTCCCCTTCGCTGACGGTATTCCAAATCATTGCGCCCGGCCATTGGACATCAGCGACGATCTGCTTGACTGGTATATTGGGGCAAACAGAGAAGACCAGTGTGAACTCGTCGATCTCTAGGAATCCCTTGGGATCGTTCACCACGGTGATCCCGATACTTTTCAAGAACTCCACATCCGTCTCATCATACCACGGATCCTGCGCATAACACTGAATTTCTTTTCCCCCACTGATTCCTCTTCTCCTCAAGATTGTTGCCATAGTCGCGATCGCGGCATGCTGGGCGTAAGAGCGCATCGAAATGTGGTCATTTTGAACTTTGGCTAAGGTGCCTAGACCAAACGCGACAATCTTGTGGATGCGACTCGAGAATCTCATCGAGGACAAGTGGCTCTGCAGCTCCTGGCAGGTTCCACTTTCCAGCCACTCCATGCGGGTCTTGTTGAATGCAGCACAGACCTCCTCGAGCGTGCCGTCCGGGTGACTCGGGTAGTGGGTGTACAAGATGGAGACAGGGGCCTGGTCGCTCAAAATCATGGTCGGAAACGATGGGTGGATATAAGTCAACAGCTGGATGCTTGTATAACCAATGCAGTACGTGGTGCTGCACCAGTCAGATGACGACGCCTGCTTCGCTTCCGTGCAGCATGACTTACGCAAGATGTGAGCACAAGGCGGGAACCTTGAGGCTATGAGTGCTTGGTACATCGTCCAAATCATGGATACAGACCTCCTCCTTTCCCGCTTCGATTTGCTGGTTTAGGCCTTCCAAGAGCGCGCGTGGGAAGAGCAGTTTCCCAGAGTTGTATAGCCGGACCACATGCTCCAATCTGTCCTTCAGCTTTGCCACTATCTCCATATCCTCGATCGGACTTTCCAGGTCCTCCACCCCGAGGTCGATCATCGGGCCCTGTCGGGGCGCTTCCCCGTCAGCTTGGTGTTGGCGGGAGACCGAGGCTGGAGAGGAGGGATATTCAATGCTTGCCATTGAAAAGAGCGCAAAACAATGCCTATGTGTAGTTGTTCAAAGCTGACCCCCATGATGGATTTATACAACGGCTCAAACGAGAAACCCAAACCCTTTATTTTCTACGAAGATTGCCGTGCGCGCGGCTGGCTCAATTGTTTGCCCATGCCCAGGAATAGATAGCCGCATGGGCCTCACCGCTGTCAATCCCCGACAGGGGCGCGTCCCCGGGCGATCCAACCTGTTGGGATTTGGATGGGGGTGTGATTGGCCGCCGCTCGCCCGGGTAATCCTATTAATATCACCCGAACGGACAACCGGTGGTGTCTGGGCAGGAAATAGTGCGTTTCCAGAGATAGAACGTGTTGGCAGGCTCTAGTGGATTACTATACTAAGTAATATTGGGGTATTTATATCCAGATGCAGCCAGCGCCAAGAGAAGTTGCGGCGACAGGGGGGTATTAATTAAGGACGATTATTTTAAGCAGCACAACTGACATGCATGCGATTAGGGCTTCTTCATTCTATATCTGAATTACATTGTTGCCTGTTGGCATACAAGTTCAGCCTCGCTTTGCTTGTCAGGACGACCTCCAAGCGCCGGCACCCAACAGTTCACGGTCGTCTGATTGGAGTCGTTGCCGCGGCGTCATGCGCCAGGAATGCGACCAACAGCGACCATGATACTATTCTAGTCCACGATTGAGGCAACTAATGCAAAGTTAGGTGAAGGCTTCGGGCCGATGACGAGATACGACGATATCAATCCATCCATGTCACTAGTAGGCTAGGCTTCGCGAAGACGCGCAGAAACTAAAACCTCTAAACACCATCGTCTGGCCTTGCAGTTATCAACGAAAACTCCGAGCGTAGTAGTCAGTATCTTATGGGTTACTGGAGGAAATGGCCAAGTACGTATCGCAAAGTTCGTATCGCAGCTCTCGATATACGACAAGTTTACTTCTATAAAACCATACGCGCTGTCCAAGTGCGCGATGGAATGGTTTTGTTAATATATCTCTAGCCACTCTAATATAAACATATTACACTCCGTCAATGAGTCTTGAACCCGCCTCGTGTCCTCGCAACTGCGAAAAGCTCGACTACCTTACCAGAAAGTCTGTCAGGCTTCCTCTTAATGTCAAGATCACAACATCCGATATAACCAGATTTATCCGCGTTCTTAGGTAGCCAGGTATCATCACCACTTGGTCGTTCCAAATTATTATCAATGATTGGAGGATGATCAGAATTGCAAGAATGGCTAAGCATATCGTATCTACCGTATCATGCACTTTGTTCGCTTGCGGGTGGTTTTACCACACCCTGCCATCATGTAGGATATTGTATTGTGAATAGACCCGGAGGTCGGAGTTAAGAATTGATCTTTGCTTCTTCGATCGATCACTTAACGCGGGAAACGGGCGGGAACCCTTAGCATTCGGTACCGTAGATTTGTCCCTGATATGGACAATATATATATGACAAGAAGGATAAGTCCTGAGACCTGCGATCCTCCTTCCTCCGGCTTAGACTGTAGCCTGTCAATAAGGCCAGGCGTCAAGAAGACCATGAAAAATGACAATATGAACTAACTCTCCGACGAATCCGGATGACTGGATTCCTGCAGATGCAAGGCATCAAACGTAATCACCTGACCTGCAGGTAATCAATAGCAGCTGAGTTCTGAGTTGGCAGAAGGGATGGCTGCCTTGCGTATGGACCCCGGCAGTTGAATTAAGAACCCAGACTTTGTCCTGTCCAGTGGTCCCATCACCAAGTCGATTTTTGACGACACCATGGCGAACCTTCCCCAGGGGATTCTCCCTACGCTGCCTTGTTCCTTGCCGCAATGCCACCTTCGCGAGGACATCGATGCGGCCGCCATCGCCAAGGAATTTACCACCCCGCTCAGCCGCTTGTCGCTTGACCATGTCACTCCAGATGCCATATGGAGAGATAGCGTTGCGTTGACAGGCACCTTCCGAACGTTCTACTCAGCCGCCACTATCACCAAGGCCTGGAACGACCGATGCCTCGCTCGCCAGGCGCAAGGCTTTCAGCTGACTCCCGAAGCTGCACGCGCGGTTCGCCCAGCTCCATGCCTAGGCTGGATTGAAGTCCCATTCACCTTTGAGATCGAGGCGGTGCCCGCTGCCACGTGCTCCGGCTTTCTTTCCTTGGTCCCGGATGGAACTGGCGGCTGGAAGATCTGGCTATTGAGGACTATACTGGAGGAGTTTCGGGATCAGCCGAGCGTGGATGAACTAGAGCCTGGCAGCCTTACGGCACATCAGTCTTTCAGTGATGGAGCATCCTATGAATGCGTGGTTGTCGGCTGTGGACAATCGGGGCTGAGCGTCGCTGGCCGGCTGCAGGCTCTAGGAGTGTCTTATCTGGTGGTTGACAAGGCACCTCGCGTGGGCGACTCCTGGCTCCAGCGATACGAATCGATGAAATGTACTTGATCTCCTTTATCTTTTTCTCTGTCCTTCTTACGTGTATAACGAGGCTGACCAAAGCAGTGCACAGTCCCAAAGATGCCGCCCAGCTCCCCTTTGGACCTACCTTCACCGACGAATACCCTGAATTGATGAGTAGACATGATCTAGCCCGGGGCTATCAGAACTGGGCTGAGAGATACTCCATCGTACGGGACATTATCCTATCCTTTCTAACCTTTCAGCCTAACCATGACAGAATATTGCATTCTCCACGGAGCTGACATCAGGATCCTGGGACGAGGACTATCGCAAATGGACTCTACAACTGCGTCAGCAACAGGGCGAACAAGTGACTACAAGGTCCATCACATGCTCCCACGTCGTAATGGCCGTTGGGGCCGGGGGACATGAGCCCGTCCGGCCAACCTATCCAGGCGAAGTACGCTACCCCTTCATCCTAAAACCAAACTAACCACCCCAGGACATATACCAAGGAGACATCCTACACACCGCCCAATACAAAAGCCCTCGCCAATGGGAAGGCAAACATGCAGTGATCATCGGGTCTGCTAACTCCGGTAAGCCATCGATTGTCACCTACAGCATTCCAATCTAACCAGAAAGCACACGACGCGGCCGCAGACATGGTCGGGACTGGGATGGCATCCATCACCATGGTCCAGCGCAGTCCGACTTGTGCGTACACTTCCAGTGTCCCTCTCTTCCCGCTCCTACCCTAACCCAACCCAGGCATAATTCCAGTAGAATACATGCCCAAACTCTCCAAGGGTACGTCCCTACCCTCGAACCACAGCCCTACCATCTCATCACAACCACAGGAACCATGCTCGCCGACCGCCACCAACTCTCCAATCCCCTCGCCGTCAGCCGTCTCGTAAGCCTCCTCAGTATCCGCGCCCAAATCGCACAAAACCCCGAACGATTCGACGCTCTCGAGCGCGCCGGCTTCAAGGTCGATCGCGACGGGGAAGTTGTCGCTCACGTTAACGAACGATACGGAGGCCATTACATGGACGTTGGGAATTGCGCCAATATAGCCAAGGGATTGGTCTGTCACGTCTCCCACCCCCCGTATCCGTCATTCCATGCAACCACTGACTGAATGTACTCCAAACCAGGTGAAAGTCAAATCCAACAGCCACCCCACACGCTTCACACCCACGGGCCTCCTCTTCGCAGACGATACCCATTTCCCCGCAGACGTGGTTATCTTCGCTACGGGGTATAAATGGAACGTGAGGGATACTATCGGGGAACTCTTTGGAAAGAAGGTCTACGACCAGGTGGAGGATTACTGGGGTCTGGATAAAGAGGGGGAGATCAGGGGGGCGTTTAAGCCGAGTCCACGTATGTCCCTGCCTATATTGATTATTCCTTTCCGTTTGATTTCGCTTTTGTTCCTCCTGTTTCTGGCAAGAGAAGGCGCAGATACTGACTGTAATACAAGACGGTCATATATGGTTCATCTCCGGAACTACGACCCACTCGCGGTACTATTCGCGGTTTATTGCGCTGCATATAAAGGCGGATGTTTTGGGGACGCCGGTGCCGGTGTATCGGGATACGCCTAGGGATGAAATACCGAGGGTGGTGGAGAATGGGGAGTATACGAATTGATGGGTTGGAAACTTGGCTTTTTTTGCAATTAGAATTGGGGGTTGCGGATTCAACATTGCGCGTTCATTCGTTTTGGTTAGAATGATGATTTTTAAACCTCTAAGCTATTGACAACTTCAACATCCTATATACTATATACACACACCCCTCCTCTCTCCTGCACATACTACAATGCATCAATCAGAAATTCCACTCTTGCCCCACCAAAACTCACATTCCTTCCTCCCCCACTCATCCCCCTCTAACTTCGCCGCAACGCCCTTCCCTTGTCCTCCGGCACGTTCATCATTCCCCTCTCCAAATACCATCACTTTCTCCCTTTCCTTCTTACCAGCACGATACCTCTCCCACGTCGGCCTCCCCTCCCATCGTCCCCCAAGGACATTTGGATCCCCAAATACCACAAAAGAAGTAACATACGCGTGAAACACGCCCGCCAGTTCCTCCTGGGTCTCCGAGATGTCCCTAACAGTGGGGTTGAACGTCTCGTACTCCATTTGATCGGCGTGGTTGGCGCCACCGAGGACGGTCTTGTTGAGGGCCCAGCGGTAGAGGAAGATGGGTTCTTCGGAGAGAGAGGAGGCGAAGTGCGCGGTTTGGCGGACGGGACAGGCGTAGGCGTAGTGCCCGTACGCTGCTTCTGTACGTTTGAACTGGGAGCCGATGTTTATGGGGCGGGTTTCGAGGTAGGGGGAGTCGGGGTTGGTGGCGGGGTCGGGGTAGAGGTTGTTGATGGTTTGGATGTCGGAGGGGGTGTAGGCCGGCAGCAGGTTGTGGAAGAAAGTAGTGAACTCTTCAGAAGTGGAGATATTGCGAGGAACATAGTAGGTCCCTTCGTTGGAGTTGAAGCCGGTTAAGATGGGCATTTTGTTCCAGTGGTCTGCGTGCCAGGCGTCGATGGGGCGGTGTTTGATTAGCTCGTGGTCGATGACGGGTTGGAAGGCCCAGCGGATGGAGGGGTTGTATTTGTCGAAGGTGCTGTAGGAGGCGGTGGTAATGTTTGCGGAGGGGAGGGAGCGCAGGCAGGGGAGGGTGGAGGTTTCGGGGAGGTTGGCGCACCCGGTGGAGGTGAGGAAGTTGGTGAATTGCGCTTCGTGGAGGGGTGCGTTGTAGGGGTGCACGGCGCGGGAGGTCGCTGCGCCGGATTCGATCACGGCGCGATGGAAGAGGGGAGCGTCGGGGGTGTGGTTCATGATATGGTGGGCTATCTGGGGGGAGTTAGTTGGTGGGTTGTGGTGGTGGTGAGTGGGAGGGAGGGAAGTACGGAGTGTGCGCCAGCGGAGAGGCCGATCAAGGTCACCTGGCTAGGATCGCCATTGAATTGCTCGATGTTATCTTGTACCCATTGGAGCAGAAGGACTTGGTCGTGGAGACCCAGGTTCAGAATGCCTTCTTTGGCGGTTAGAGTAGAGGGGAGGAATCCTAGAGCACCGATGCTGGGGTTGTTAGCTGAAGTCGGAGTGGAGCGAGTGATTAGTTAGGGTCTACCGGTAGTTGAAGCTGACTGCGACGAAGGGCTCGTCAGACCAGCTGACCATCGAGGCTGTATTGTGCATGGACGCTGGTCTGTTAGCTGAGGATCAGATTGGATGTCAGAAATACATACCAGTGCCGCGATTGTAGGCCCCTCCGTGCACGTACACAGCGACGGGAAGCTTCCCTTTGACGCCATGGGGCCGGAAGACGTTGACGGTAAGACAGTCCTCGCTACCGCCGGTATCTTTGGGATTCAGGAGCTGCTTTCCCGGGCATCTGAGAAGTTAGGATTGATCTCGGCGACGCGGGCAGAACGTACCGTGGACCGAACTGACTGGCATCGATGATACCGTCGGACTCTTTGACTGCGACAGCACGGCGGAAACGCAGATCACCAATTGGAGGCAATGCGTACGGAATTCCGCGAAAGGCATCCACGGGTATCTTGAGCGTGTCCGTCAGAGTGGTGCCAACGACGGTGCCCTGAGGGGTGATGATGCGAGGCCGGTTATAGAGCACGACATCGTGCAGTGGTGTCGGCACCAAGGAAGCAAGGAAAGTTTGGATCTGCTGCGTGGACTGTAATGCAGGCTGCTGGGTAAATAGAAGGAGGAGAACTGGCAAAACTGCCAGGACAAGTGAGCGTGTGTTTAACATGCTGAGTGGTGTGGTGGCTCACCTGGAGGATGTGGGAGGGACTACTATTTATCAGTCGGGAATACTTCTAAGGCCGAGGGGGATCCTTATCTCTCGCCCTTATCGCTATCTCGAACTCTCCGCAATCGGTAGACTGGAGCTACGCAGGCCATAACGGCCATCGGGTGACTGCCACTTCGTTTCCCCTGTATTCAGCAGGCGGTGTGGCAGCAGAGGTTCTCGTATGCCGCAACAGCCTATTCTGCCCCATCATAACACTGGATTGAAGATGACGCAGGAAAGAGGCAACATGGTAAGGTGACCAAAATTTAGCGACAGACACCCCCAGGTGAAAGAAGACTGGAAACCTTTCAGTACCCAGCATCCCTCTTTACTATCGCCAAGAGCACCAGTTTGAGAGCCGGTCATACAGATATATCCGGGCGATACAACTGCCTAGTAACTATCTACTTTGGGCTTATTTTATCGGCTTCAGTGCGACTCAAGAAATGTCTTGGAACCAAACATCACCCTCTTTTAGACTTTATAGACCTGCTGAGTAGATCCCAATATTATCTAGTGACTTGGTAGGTCTAATTAGAGCTAGCTGATCGGAGGCACTGCTCACTATGCTATTGCAGTACTCCAATTCGCTCAACTCAGTCAAGATCTTCAACCACATATTCAATCCAATCAATGCGAAGCCGACTGTGCTCAAGCCGTCGCTTTCCTCTAATCTAATGAGCGGCCATATTTCGGGGGCCGGTTGACCGTCCCCCGCCTCTCCATCTTATCTGCCCGGCCTTATCTTCGGATGGTGTCCGAAGTATCCCTTACGTGACCGGCCACTATCAGACACAGTCGACCTTGATACCTCCAACCCATCGTGAATCTTGCTGTATAAGGCAAAAGAACCCGGACACTTCAATCTTATCAGTCCAGCGCAGGTTCCAAGGCGGTACCATGCCATGTTATCGATTCACGCCTGGTTCGACACTTGGCTTCACAGCTTATCGCGAGGGGTAATGCATAGTTGAGACCATTATAATGTGCTTCATATCTATTTAATTGCCCAGGGTGCCGACATCCCGAAGGTCATCAGAGCCTTTCAATCCGCCGCAAGGATGGGAGCCATATTGGATAGCAAATCCCAAGACCCAGAAAAGACCATCCCGGTCACCACCAAAGTAGACGATGTCGACGTCGGTCAAATATCGCAGCTCGATGAAGCGGAGGTCTTTCTCCACGAGCATGGAGTATCAAATGATCAGCTGCAGGAGATGCTCGATGATCCAGTTCGGATGACGAAACTGCGGAGACGTATCGATATGATTCTTCTTCCGCTCATGTGTGGCACATACTGTCTGCAGTACATCGACAAGCAGGTAAGTGTCCTCATTCTATCGTAAACAATGCTAATAATCATAGGCTCTCTCCTACAGTGCTGTGTTTGATCTGTTCACAGATGCCCACATTGACAGTAATCAGTATAGCTGGCTGGCCAGCATCTTTTACTTTGGTATGTTCCTATCCCTGACTCACTACGCTGCTTGACTAACTCGCCAGGGTACCTTTTCTGGGAGTATCCCGCCAGTTACATCGCCCAACGACTGCCTATCGGCACTGTCGTCTCGTCTTTTGTGTGAGTCCTCCCATCACTACATCCACACATATACTAACCAGACAGAATCGCGTGGGGTGCCATCCTCATGATCACCGCCAGTTGCAACAACTTCAACGGCCTCGCCATCTGCCGCTTCCTCCTCGGATGCTTCGAATGTAGGCTCCATCACACTGCCCCGTCCCGACTCGGCTAATCCTCTAGCCCCCATCACGCCCTGCTTCATGATGATTGTGGGAATGTGGTACGTCCGTCAAGAGCAGCCCTTCCGCGCAGGCATCTTCTACTGCTGTAACGGCGTGGGATCGATGGTAAGCCCCTTCACATCCAATATAACACCATCTAACCAACCAGGTCGGCGGTCTCCTCACCTACGGCATCGGTCAACTTGATACCTTCCCCGTCTGGCGCGCCGTGTTTCTCATCTGCGGCGGCGCCACCATCTTCTGGGGTATTCTCATGATGCTCTTCCTCCCGAACAGCATTCTCTCCTCCAAGCGCTTTACTGTCGAAGAAAAGATCCTTCTCATCGGTCGTGGAAAGCAGAACCAAACTGTCGGTTGCCCCCTTCCTCTCTCTCCATCTCCCACCCTAACAAAAACACCAGGGAATCCTCAACCGCTCCATAAAATGGTACCAAATCCGCGAAGCCTTCATCGACCCACAAGTGTGGCTCCTCTTCCTCTTCACACTCCTCAACGAGACCATCAACGGGGGTGTCGCTAACGTAATCCCCCCCCCCCCCCCTTCTTCCCCCAACTATATCACCACCAACTAACATGAACCATAATCTAGTTCGGCAAACTAATCATCAAAGGCCTCGTCTCCAGCTCTCTCCTCACCACCGTCCTAGGCATCCCCCAAGGCGCATTCCAAGTCGTCTTCATCCTCACCGGAACCTACCTCTCAAGCCGATACAAGAACATCCGTACCTTCATCATGGCACTATATCTCATTCCCACGGTAATCGGGGTCTGTCTGCTGTGGAAACTACCCCGTACGAACCGCTACGGTGTGTTATTCGGGTATTACATTGTACGCTCTTCCCAAGAACTATCCAGTATTGAAAATACTAATGAAAGTAAAATAGGTCGGCTCCTACGTAACCTCCCTCGTCCTCTCCCTCCAAATGCCCTCCAGCAACATGGGCGGCTACACGAAGCGCGTCACCGCCACCGCATTCGTCTTCCTGGCCTACTGTATCGGGAACATCATTGGTCCACATGCCTTCCTTTCCAGCGAGGCACCAGTCTACGAAACAGGATGTAAATTGATTCTCGGGTGCGCGATCTGTCAAATCGTCTGTGCGGGAGCGCTAAGAGTTCTCTTGGTGAGGAGGAATCGTGTCTGGGATGAAGTTGCTGCTCTCCCTGGAGAGGACGCGGGTGTTGGAGAGGGGGAGGGGGAAGGGGAGGTGATGGCTGATTTGACGGATTTTGAGGTAAGTCTTGATCCTCACCTGCTTTCTTTGCAGTCGTTTGGGGGTGGGTCATGTTGTTAAAATGGGTTGCTAACTTGTGAATGGGTTAGAATCGAAGGTTTAGGTATGTTTATTAAGGTGGGGTTTTTATTTAGTATCTACGGAGTACTAGATGTGATGAATTGATGAACTATAACAATGATTGATGGTTGGGGGTTAAGAAGTATTAATGAGTATTGTGTCAGGGATACATGAAGTCCCCGGAGTCAAATGAAAGGCTACGGCAACATGGAACAGTCCATCAGTTTAAATTCGTAAATAAGTAATAAATATATTTATCTATGTCTACAGTATGTTCCAGGTCCTCAATGGAGGTGTGCCATCTCAATAAATTGTAGGACACACCTCTAGTACGTCGCTGGTAGAAAAAAGATTTCAAATCAATATAAGCACTTCTTCGGCACAACCACAGTCATGGACAGGCTGGATTGCAATTTGACATCCGTGCTGATTTCGTTTGCTATAGAGAAGGGAAGGGAAAGAACAAGGTCAGCAATATTCATTAGCTATCTAGAATTGTGATGCTCTACAGCATGTTCCAGGTCCTCAATGGAGATGTGCCATCTCAATAAATTGCAGGACACACCTCTAGTACGTCGCTGGTAGAAATGATATTCAGCTCAATATCAGCACTTCTTCGGCACAACCACAGCCATGAAAAGGCCGGATTGCAATTTGACATCCGTGCTAGTTTCATGCAAGAGACAGGGGTAGGAGGAAAGGGGGGAAGTTAGGAAGTAAATATATTAGTAAATAAAGCGGTAGGCACGAAGATAGGTATAAGACATAAGCCTCCGCAAGCTAGTAGATCAGTCAGTCGTAACTCCGTAGAAAGTGCGCTATAGCTCTCGCTTCTCGCGCAAGTGCGGCGGCGGCCGGAAGTTGCCTGAGCGCAACTCCTGCCACGCCAAATCGAACCGCGCACCCAGTAGCCAGGCCGTGAAAATCTATTCCAATCAGCTTGCATCGAGCGACACATAAGGAAGCGACATACCATCACAATCGAGACGATGAACACAATCACCACCATGAGACCCATCATAAAGTACATATCCTTACGCGTCTCAGCATGCTCCTCAGCCTGCTTCTTCTCCAGCTCCGTCTTCTCGCCAGTGACACGACGCTGGGCAGCTTCGGCATTCTGGGTGGGGAAGATGGTCTCGATCCATTTTTCAATCTAGAGTCGTTAGCAGTGGAATCACCAAGTGACGAGGCAGACTTACCCTTCCACAAACCAGGCTAATCTTGAGAAAGTTAGGATCCTTGGGCGTGTTCTTCTTGTGAATCTTCCGGGCATACGTGCGGAAGGTCGAACTGAGAATGCGCAGGTTCTGCGTCGACTCCATCATCAAGTGGCAGGCATCACCCTTGGTGATCTTGATGTTACGCTCGAAGATCGCTGGGTTGCGGAAGCAGAGCTCCAACGTGGCAATAGCCATGGACTGCGGAATGGCGCAGAAGTTGAACACACTCTGCTCACGTAGTCCAGCCAGGTAGAACAGGCAGTCCTCGACATGCTCCAAAGCGTTCAATACCATCTCGGAGCTGCAGTTTAGTGCAGCTTCACGGTGCTCAGGCTTGAACAAATCTTCAAACTCGTTGACGTGCTTGGACCAAATCTCTTTGGGCCAGAACCGACGTCCATCATCTTCGTCCTCTCGGATGTCTCTGATGATGTTTGTCTTCTGCAAAAACAGTCCCATGGACTTGTGCAGGCGCTTACGCTCCAGCAGGGCGGGGTTACCAAACTCGGCCTCGACGAAGAGGCGCGTCAGTCCTTCACCGACCAAGCCCGCGACGTAGTAGCAATAGAGATCATATTCCTCCTTGGTGACCACGCTGGCATCCTCGAAGGCTGCCTTGCGACAGTAGTCGGCCATGCCGTTACCCATCCGATCGGTGATGTCCTTGATGATAATCTGGTAGGCCGGCTTCATGTTCTTGAACTCCGTGATGACGTTGTGAAACTGAACCAGCAGCTCACGGTCCTTCTCCTCGGGGCGGTTGCCAGTAAACGTCCAGCCGTCCTGCTCTAGGAAGTCCTTAAACCCACGAAGCAGGGGCTCCTTTGTTTCCAAGGGGATTGACGTGTCATCCTCGATGGTGTCCAGACCACGAAGGGCGAGGTAGAAGACGCAGACGGGCAGCAGCAGCTCGGGATGCAGTTCCTTGATGACCGCGCTGAAGCTCCGACTGGTCAGGTCGAGGAATTTGAAGCAGGCCTTCTGAGTCTCAGTCTCTTGCTTCTCATTGCGTTCATGAACAGGGGAGTGCCAGATCTTCCTATGACCGCGGGCAAAGCCTCCGTAAGCGTTGGCACAACACACTAGACCCCATCACAGCGCTCGAGGACATGGGCCGGAACCAACCATTGCAGAATCGACCTCAATTGCGAGGGATGAAAGGTGAAGTAGACGATATTCGATGCGAGACCCATGATGTGTGGTTGACGACCGAACAGTCCAGAGGGTAGGTATTAGGTAAGGGAATAAATATTACACGTAAACAAGGGAACGAAAAGCAAGCAATGCGGAGAATGACCGAGTCAACGGATTTCGCGACGCAAAGGGGTGGTACAGTAATGTACAAGCACAGTGAGTGAACGCCTCACAGGCTGAAGGGGAGGGAATGGGGGGAGATGGGGAATCAAGTTGAGGAGAGGAATGGAGAAAGAGGGGAAGACGGGGGAGAGAAGGAAAAGGTGAGCACTAGGGAGAATGTTGAATCCAATCAGGGGGAAATAGAGAAGAAGAAGAGGAAAAGAACAGCGCGACGACGGAATTTTTTAAAGGGCGGTTTTGCGGCTAGCGGCTCAGCCTGGTGGCTTAGCGCGTGCGGGCGCCATGACCCGGTATTACCACCAATTTGACGTGGCTGGAGTGCCATCGGCAGCTGATCTGGGAGGATGGCGCTGCTCCGTGACAATACCGAACGAGGTCAGCGACCGCTCGCACCGCAGGCCAAGCGGGCGACAACCTAAGGCCGCTAAGGCTTCCCCGCCATGACGGAAGGCCATCGGAAAAGCATCATCAGGCAGAAAAAATTACTTGATTCTGCGCTGAATCCGCTGCACGGCCAGCTCATCACTATCTTACGCACTGTCGCGATTCCTGCCACCTGGCCTTGGATTTCCTGCATTGGTCACCGTCAGACTGCCGCGTGTGGTTGGGTAAAACTCACGACCTTCCACCATGGTTGCCGATACCTCTTACTACGACGCCCTTGGGGTGCCGCCCACTGCGACGGAACTCGAGATCAAGAAGGCCTACCGCAAACTGGCCATTGTTACTCACCCTGGTGCGTTCTCCGCGTGGAACGCATGGTCCCCCACCGCTGACGGACGTAGATAAGAACCCCGGTGATGAAACTGCGCACGCGCGATTCCAGGAGGTGGGCTGACTTCTTGTTGTTTTGACCCCTGAACCCATACTCACGCTCTACTCGATGCTAGATCGGAGAGGCCTACCAGGTTCTCAGTGATGAAGAACTGCGCAAACGCTACGATAAGTTTGGAAAGGAAGATGCCGTCCCCGGCGGTGGTTTCGGTAAGACATCACAGGACGCAAGTACAGACGGGTGCTAACCCCCTCCAGAGGACCCTTCGGAGTTCTTTGGGATGATCTTCGGTGGCAACGCTTTTGTCGACCTTATCGGTGAAATCTCGCTCATGAAGGACCTGACCACCACGATGGATATCACCATGCAGGAGATGGAGGAGGACGAACTAGCCGCATCCGCCGAGGAGAAACTAAACATTCACGAGGAGGAGACTCAGGCACATGCCGCCGAAGGTGCCGCCGAAGCTACCTCCGCCGAGTCAACGACTGCCGCGCCCGAGAAGCCCGCTGCCGCCCCATCCCCAAGCTCGGGCACGAGCACGCCCCGCCGCTATATGGGTCAGCAGGCCATCATGGACAAGTCGGAGGAAGAGGCCCGCATGGAGGCAGCTGGTCTGTCCCAGGAGGAGAAGGAATTACGCAAGAAGGAAAAGAAGAAGGGCGGACTGTCCCGAGAGCAACAGGAGCGCCTGGCTGCCTACGAGCTGGAACGGAAGAAGGCGCGTGATGACCGGGTCAACACGTTGGCGACGAAGTTGGTGGACAAGATCAGCGTGTGGACGGAAACCGACAAGAGCGCTGATATGACCCGGGCTTTCGAGGAAAAGATCCGTCTGGAGGTGGAGAACCTGAAGATGGAATCGTTCGGTTTGGAGATCCTTCACGCCATCGGTGCTACCTACGTGCAGAAGGCCACCTCCTTCCTCAAGTCGCAGAAGTTCCTCGGAATCTCCGGGTTCTTCTCACGGCTTAAGGACAAGGGCACGCTGGCCAAGGAGACGTGGACCACCATCTCAACCGCCATCGATGCGCAGATGACCATGGAGGAGATGGCCAAGCTGGAGGAGCGCGGTGGCGAGGACTGGACGGACGAGAAGAAGGCCGAGTACGAGAAGAAGGTGACAGGAAAGATCTTGGCAGCCGCGTGGCGTGGCAGCAAGTTTGAGATCCAGAGTGTGCTCCGCGATGTCTGCGACCAGGTGCTTGGTGACAAGCGCATCAAGCTAGATAAGCGGGTTGAGCGCGCTCATGCTTTGGTGATTGCGGGCAATATCTACTCCAAGGTAAGAACCTCGCTACAGATGACTAGCGCATGCTAACTGGATAGGCCGAACGTGACCCCGAGGAGGAGGGCGACTTCATGGCGTTTGAGCAGCTGATGGCGGAGTCGATGACGAAGAAGGGCAAGGAGGACAAGAAGAAGAAGAAGAAGCACGATCATCACCATGAAGACGTCCCGGCCAGTGCCTGATACCTTGCATATGTCTATCGATTGCGTTTTTCTCTGTGGATTCAGAACAGTTGGATACGGATATTAGTGTAGCGAGTTTGACCAAGCACATCTACGAATGCGTATGATTAGATGCGATAATAGAGGTAGGGGATACCCTAGGTAGTTAATCAGAATGAGAGTGTTTGCTGCGATCTCCAGAAAATCAGCGCTACAGAGTATTCAGGCAGTCTGGTAAGTTGCAGTCGGAGATCTCCGGATCATCCAGGCAACGATGCAGCAGCACGGGAAGATATCACCGCTAATCATGCAGCGACCAGGGTGGCTGCAGGTGTGGCCTTATGTTGGATGAGAGAATAGTTGCCTGGTAATACTATAATCATTCCACATACTGAGTACTTAACAACACTGATAGATCCAGCACAACACTCAGAAGTCCAATACGGTCAATTGACCCCAGCATAACTACAACTTTCCACAAGACAGTCCAGACATTCACTAGAATATTCTCCGAAAGAGAGAAAGCCGATCCGATCTCGCTGGCTCACTGATAAGCAAAACGACTTTTTCACCGTTCCCCGCTTGGGCAGGATTGGCGGTCTCTCGCACGCGACCAATTACCGGAACCAGCGACGGAAGGGATTCCCGCTGGAAAACAAGGTCCCGCAGCCCTATCAAGGATCAATAATGAGCTTCGACTCCGCTGTGGTGCTGGATCCAGCAATTGATACGACGGACTCCGCATCCACTACTCCGTAGATTGTAGCTGTTTATCCCGCACCACCCACATACTTATATCCACCCTCACCACCACCCTCTGTCCTCTCCAGCCCACATCCCCCCCCCCCCCCCCCCTCCCGGAGAGCAGAGCCAAAATGCCCCCTCTCACTCCCCTGACAGCAACGGCCCTCTCCCTCGTGGCCACTGCCACGGCCTCCTTTAATCTCCAAAGCACCTGGGGCAATCTCAGTCCCTACACCCCCAGCCCGGGCTTCACTCTTCCCGCTGGAAACCCCATCGGCTGCGAACTCACCCAAACACACATCCTCCATCGCCATGCACAACGCTACCCCACGTCCTACCTCCTGGACGCAAACAGCATGGAAGCCTTCGCCGAGAAGCTCTCCAACTACACCACCGCCCACCCCAACTCCACCCTCGGCACCGGCCCGCTCTCCTTCCTGAACCACTGGGAGTATGTGATGGGCACCGAGACACTTCTCCCCACCGGTGCGGCCACGGAAGCCACCTCCGGTGCTTGGTTCTGGTCCAAGTATGGCCGGACCTTGTATAAGGCGCCTGCGGGCATGGCAGATTGGAGTGAAGACTTGAATGTGTTCCCCAATGGAACCAAGAGAGCCAAGCCCATGTTTAGAACGACCAGCCAGGCAAGAATCCTGGAGAGTGCGAGATGGTGGTTGAGTATGTTCCCTCCCATCCTCCTTGCTTCAAACATATGCTAATAGAAACTATAGGCGGCTTCTTCAGCAACATCGGCGCAAACAGCTCCTACCCTCAATACGACCTCGTAATTATCCCCGAAGGAGACGGTTACAACAACACTCTTTCTGGCTCTTGTCCGGAGGCCACTTACCCAGGGTACGTCCCCTCCCCCTCCTCACCCTTCTCCAACCCAATCCCTAACAGAAATACAGCGACGACACCGCCGAACAATTCATCACCATCTTCACCCGTCCCATAATCACCCGCTTCACGCCCTACCTCCCGGCAAACCTCACCCTAACCCCCTTCGACATCCTCAGCATGATGAACCTCTGCCCCTACGAGACCGCCGTCTTGGGCTCCAGCTCCTTCTGCGCCCTCTTCACCCCCTCCGAATGGTCCTCCTACAGCTACCAACTCGACCTGCAATTCTACGGCGACTACGGCTTCGGTTCTCCCAGCGGCCGGGCCCAAGGAATCGGGTACGTCCTGGAACTCGCCGCCCGGTTACAATCCCACCTCATCACCTCCCCGGAGGCAAACATCAACATCACCTACGACAGCAACCCCGCTACATTTCCCCTCCATCAACCCCTCTACATGGACATGTCGCACGACGATGTGATCGTCTCCGTCATTGCCGCGCTGGGCATGGAGTACTTCAACTTCGGACCGAAGGGAATGCCCGGGAATATCACGGGGAGTGAGGTGCCCACGAACCGGACGTTTAAGTTGAATGAGATTGCGCCGTTTGGGGCGCGGTTGGTGACGGAGGTGTGGAAGTGTCCCGTTGGTGTGGTGGAGAGTGGTGGGTTGGGACAGTTGGGGGCTGTGGTGTATGAGAATCCGGGTTTGAGTGGTGTGGGGAAGAATGGGACGAAGGAGTTTGTGAGGTGGGTGTTGAATGAGATGCCTGTGCCGGTGGAGGGAGTGGTGGGTTGTGAGGGGGCGCAGAATGGGTTTTGTCCTCTTGAGGGGTTCTTGAGTGGTGTGCCCAGTATGAAGAAGAAGGCGCAGTTTGATGAGGCGTGTGTGGTGGGTGTGACGGGGAGTGGCATGGTGGGGGATGGGTGTCCTCATTCTTGAGGATTTGTATATTTATGTCTACTTAGTACGTCGTGGTGGTGGTGGTGGTGTAGAAGTGGAAGTGGAAACAAGTGTATAGATAAATGAATTCTAATCATTGCTCTAGAATCAATCACGCAAGGGTATCTAGCTTCTGAGCTGCGCATCTATCGCTACCAACGATCAAGAAATGCAAATGAGCACGGTGATTAACGGGTGGACTAAATGCCAGCTTTAGTCGCCAGAGAACAGAACAGGTACACCACGGGTCCGCCGTATTAGTTAGTATCGCAGCCTAGCTGCTCAGCTCGCCCTCAGAGGGCGTGTCCGACGAGCTCGGACTCGATGGCCGAGACAGATCCTCGAGCTCGCGCAGCTCGTGCAGCTCCAGCTCGTTCAGCTCTTCCGGATTGAGCACGCGTCCGCCCAGTTGGACGTCGTTCACATGCACATTGTATTCCAGTGCTCGCTGCGCTTCTTTAATCAGTTCTTCAGTCCATCCCAGACACCGCTTGAGGCTCTGGTTCATTCGCTGACTGTCCGCGAGGAGCTCCTGGTGTTTCGCCAGGTCGACTAGGAACCGTTTCTCGTCTTGCGCGCGATGCTGGGTGTCCTGGTCGCCCTGCGAGTCGGGGCTTATCACTCCATCGTCCACGGATTCTTCGTCACTAAAGTCGGACAGCTCTTCCGCTGACCGCACGGACGAGTGTTCGCTCCCCTCGATGATTTCAGTCGGGATCGAGAGAGCGTCCGATACGGACCGGTTGGACGCCGCCATCGACAGACGGCCTGAGCGACTGAGGCGGCGGTATCTGCGCAGCTCCGTGTTCTGCTTCCGCATCTCACGTTCGAGCGTGCGGTTGATGGCAAGAAGCGACGAGTTGCTGATTTCCAGATCCATGATCTTCCGCTCCGTTCGCGCATTATTCAGGGCGACGCCAGGATTGCCTTGTCCGCTTTCTGATTTGGACGGGCTTTGCATACCCGAATTGTGTGTGTCCACCGAAGTAATAGATCCGTTGCTGAATACCCGCGGTCGGAGGCCCGGAAGTGGCTCCGACGCAATGTTGCTGGCATCAAGGCGGGCTTCCGACGGGGATATGATAAGCGGGCTTGGTCGTAGCCCTTCCCGCTGAGGGGGGGAAAGCCCACTGCTGGCCGAGTCAAGACTCGAGGATTTGATGTGTCGCACGGCGGGAATCGGTCGCGCAGATACGCTGCTCAACGGTGGACTGTGACCCTGTGATCCGGTTTCAAACGAGTCGTCTAACTGCGACCCCACTTGGGAGGGGCCGTCTGACAGCCGCGGATTCGAATCGACCCTGGCCGGTCGCAACCGCGGCGAGGCCGACGGTTTCGCGGAGACCACCGATCGTGTCAGACCTATCGACCGACGTTTGTAGGTTGTGCCACCAAGCTCACTCACGGCTGTCGGTCGCTCCTGTGTCCCGTTGGCGTAGATGAAGGTTGTAGCGGATGGTTTGCTCTGCAATTTCGGTCGGGGCTCCTGTTCGGAAGACGTCGACCGTGCATCGGACGCATGGAAGAACATCGGTGCCCCGGAGGAATTGTCCGACGACGAATTCGGTCGGGAAAGATGGTTGGACTCCATCGTCACCGTCCTGGCCCGGGTTGTCCTCGCTGGTTCCAGCATTCCCCCGCGAACCGGACTCCGCTCCGTACGGAGTCGCCCCGTACTTGACACCTGGCCCACATGTGGTTGTGCCCAGGAAACCTGTGGTGATTGTTGTCCATTTGCAGGGGTGTTGTTTGGGGAGGTGACAGAGCCATCGCGTCTGCTGGTGCGGGAACCGGATCGAGGGGTAACATTGGCACTGAGCAGGGATGGCTCGGGATCCCGCTTGGAGGGGGCGGACGAGGGATGTTCGGAGGGGGTGAGGCGCTTGGGAGTGCGATATCCACCTGGGGTGGCCAGCCGGGGAGTTAAAGGGGCTTTTTGTGATCGATGAAAGGCCGCACTGAGGGCAGGAGTGAGAGGTTTGCCGAGATGGCCGGTGTTTTGTTTATCGGCGGCGTTCATAGTTGCGGGAGTCGAGGGGCGGAAAGGAGAGCGACTCATGGCATTGCGACAGTGCTCGAGAGTCTGCAAGCATGATGGCGCCAGCCAGGCGACAGCGGAATCCAAGACCGTCCGGGGTGGGAGGAGGGCACCGCTGAGGCTGGAAGAGGCGAGGAGAGAAAAAACCGGGTAGGATGACGACGAGGTGCGTTGAATTTGTTGTCAACACCGCCAGAAGCCGAGGAGCAGCCAGTGGAATTATAATGTTTGGGTGCAAAAACATCCCCGCCCAATCCGGCTAGTCTCCTCCTCTCCTGCCGCCCCTTTCACCGCAACTGTTTCTTCCTACTACTTCTCGCTGCTGCTTGCTGCTGTCTTGTCGCATTCCCACCACCCCCATTTTCCCCCTCCAGCCTCTTTGTTCAACGGCATTTGATCTCCTCGTCAACGCAAGATTCCCCCTCACACCCCAGACTCGGGTGCCCTTGCGCGTTGCAGGCCAGGGTTGCATGGGCTGATGCGCGGCCCCCGACCATGGGTGAAGTCGGAGCTGCGGCTCAGTAACCGGACAACCCACGACGATCACCCCATCCCCGGAGTCCGGAGTATATCCTCTGGCTTTCGCATGACAGATGCGAAGGATTGCCATTTGCCCGATCTCATGCGGGTGTAATTTGTTATCATCTCGGATCTGGTCGATCCACGGGGGATCAAAACAATGGTATCCATGGCGAGGTGCTCACACGTGATGCCATACTGGCTGCAAGGGGCCGATGCTCGTCCCTCCGCCACGTTGACCCTGACGATGCTCGACTCCACATTCCATCATCTTGTCAATCTGGGAAATCGACATTCGACAGCCCCGGTTGTCTCAGATAAATGGCACTGTCTCAGATGCTTATCCGCTATCGTGACTGTCATTTAGATACTACGTAGTACAGTCGAGGCATAGCGAGCATCATCATCGGGGACTACTTTGACTTGCTATACAGTGTTCATAGCAACTGCGCAACTGACCGAAGTGTGCTGTCTACCAGCAGTGCTTATCTGGCGACTGCCCAAATAATATTCCAGAAACCCTATTCTGCAGACCAATTAAATCTAACTGGATCTCTAGTCTAATAATAGTATCTCAAGCCCTAGACTATATATAGAAATGACTATCCAGCTATAATTTATTCAAACCAACCCACCCCCGACCAATCCAAACAAGAAACACCTCATTCCTCACCAGTGAGAAAAAAACCTCTTCAGTGAAGACCAAACTTCTGGGCATACCCCACCCCAAAGATTATCTTGGTGTGTCTTGATACACATCATAAATCAGATGTGATCTCGTACTGAGGAATGCCCAACCGGTTGAGGAATGTTATTGCGTTGGGGCTAACCGAGACGTCAGAAAACAATAACGCTGGCTTCCAATGACAACAATAGCACATAAGATGGTTAGAGCTTCGCTATCCCATGGCTTATTATGTCATTTTGCTGCGATGTAGGTTGACTGGGTCATTTCAGCCGCCCGGGCATTATCACATCAAGTTGAGCAAATGAACATGACAGCCTGAGAGTTATTCGTGCTCAAGTGCGTTGATTGGTCATAACAGACTTGATCTGTTCTCAGGAAAAGAATAGCCGTTTCTGTCGGGGGTCTGGTGATTCTGGTGCCGTCGTTCTCCTCTTGCGCGGCTTTGATGCACCCGGTGCCTCAAGCAAAACGTCGTTTGACGCACCCTGAACAACCTCCTTAATTGTCTCTCTCGACAGACAATAGTCCACGTGATCGTTGAAAGCGCGATCATCTGCCACCTGGGGTTTCGAACATATTGGGCAATACCAATAGACAGGCTGCGGTGACGCATCACCGGCAGCTGGCGGCTCATTTTGTTTCACGTCTGCCAACTCAGATACTTCCTGACTGAGTTTCTCCAAGTCATTGAGTTCCTCCTGTAGCTCCGCACGCGCAGCCCTCTCGAATGCTTCCTCGGCCCCAATTTCCTGCTCAACAGGAAGGTCGGTCGGCATTTCTGAAGCCGGCTTTGGGCGCGCGGTGAAACCGAAGAGTTCGATTCCAACCTTCTTCGTGCTCACAAGGTTCGTGCAGCGAAGGCCCAAGAGTCGGAGTTTGAGATCAGGAATCTCCTTCTCAAGCTTTTCCAGCATTGGGAGGGAGAAGGCGTACAGGTCTTTGGCGGTCGCTACTGCCCTCGGAGGTTGGCATTGTCGCGACAAGACCTCGAATGTGGCCAGCTTGACTTTGAGAACAAGCGCGCGACCTCTGAACTCGGTTCGCGCCAGGTCCTTCTCAAGCTCCTCGGCTATCGACCACAGTTTTTCTCGGAACTCCTCCTGGTTCCCGATTTCATGAAACGTCCTCTCTGTTCCCACACTCTTCCGCTCATAGTTCTCCACTGGCTGGATCTTTGTTCTGCCCAACCCGAGAGAGCACTGCACCAGGAAATGGAATGCTTTTTCGCCAAATAGTTTGGCCAAGATGGCACGCTGAGGATAAATGTCCCCACAGGTCTTGATTCCGATTGCATCAAGCTCGCGTTCGAAGACGCGACCAACTCCATTCACCTTGCGGACAGGTAAATCCTCCATGAACTTCAAGATAGCATCTCTCTCGTTCGGTACGCAGAATTGGCCGTTTGGTTTATTCTTGTTTGATGCGATCTTGGAGATTTTTGCATTAGCCGCGATACCCGCGGAAACTGAGATCTTTGTCTTTTCCAAGACTTCTGCTCGCATGCGCTGGACTGCTTCCTCCGGGTCAAGTTCATTTTCGGTACAATATGCAGTCATGTTAAGATAAGCCTCATCAATGCTAGCGCTCTCGAACATGGGATCGTACTGTGCGAAGATCGCGCGAATCTCCTTCGCCTTGGCGGTGTACTTGTCATAGTTTTGAGGCAAGCAGATCAACTGAGGGCAGAGTTTCTTGGCTATGAATGATGCCATGCCACTCCGACAGCCGAACTTCCGGGCCTCATAGTTACAGGTTGTCAAGACCCCCTTGCCCACTGCCATCGGAACAGTTTTCAATTCGGGGCGGTCGAGTTCTTCGACTGCGGCAAAGAAGGCGTCGCAATCGACGTGGACGACGTGTTGCGATAAGTCCCGGGTTAGTTCCAGCTCGGCGATAAGCTGGTCAGCGCGTCGTAGATCAGCCGACAAATCCAACTTTTCAAGGCGGGCTTTCTCCTTCAGAATCCGTTCGATCTTTACCGTCAAAACCTTGTCGCGGTTTTGCTCGTGATTGAAGAACTTGGAGCCCTTGGACGCGTTATAGATAATCTCGGAAACCTGTCACCCTTAGTGTCTAATCTCAGGATAAGGTGACCATGCCCGCTCACTTTGCGCTGGTCCACGGCATCCTGACCCGCCTTGGTCAAAGATGGTCCTAACAGTTGATACTTCAAGCTGTCATAGTTCTCAGCAGGCTCCGCAGTGTTGGAAAGCTTTCCATCATCCCCTGGCTCGTCGCCCGAAGGCTCCATATTTGCTGGTCAGAAAGAACGTCTTTCCACGATCGGAGCGTGGGGGCATTACCCAAGGCGGCAGCTACTGCGACGCCTGATCACGTGAACACGCGTGGCGGGCCGCGATAACAACTCCGATCCGATGGGGAGCCATCTTGCAGCCCAGGCACATTACCGCTCCTCATGTGGATCCTGGACTCGGAGGGAGACTTCCTTGGTGGTGAGCATCTTAAGTCTACCGCCATTAGAGTTCTGGCTGACTTTCGACCAAGGCAGGCGCGTGTGGCTGCGACCGGGGAAGAAGTATCTCTTCGGTCGGATCAAGCAAGATGGCGGTAATTGTGAACTCCGATAGCTGGTCGATCCGGACCATGCTGACCTTCTTTTGATGCAGTTCGACATGCAATCGATCACAAGTCAATCTCACGAAAGCATATGGTGATCGAGGTATCACCGGTTAAACCAGGCGATGGAGTACGACCCCTCGGTTCTTCCTGCGTTCCCCGCTGACCCGGCTAGTCGCGTATCTACACCAGATCGAAAATTGCTGTGTGCGACCTGAAATCAAAGTTTGGCACAGTCGTGGACGGAGACACTATCAAGGATGAACGCAGATTGCTGACTGGAGAGGAGCACGAGATAAAGCTTGGGAGATACGACTATATGCTCCGGTAAATACCCCCGCTCAGGGATAATCATCTGGCAGGTGGCTAACACAGTGTTTGCTTAGGATCAAGTGGCAGCCTACCGTGCTCAGCTTCTCCTTTACGTCCAAGGAACTCAAGGCGAAAGATCCGTTGGCACAGGTGCGCTCCCTAGTTGAGGACCTGGATATCAAGACGGTCGTCCCGTATGTTGTCGATCAAACCACACATGTTGTGCAAAACAAGCGGAACACTGCCAAAGGTCTACAGGCACTGGTGAATGGAAAACACATTGTGCAGGATTCGTACATCGATGCCTTGGTATACGCGGCGACCCCGAGTGACCTGGAGAACCTTGAATCCCTGTCCCCGCTGGAGGCCGATTTTGACTCTGCATGGCCGGATGCCTTGGCACATCTCCCGCCGCCTGGCAAGGAGACCACACAGAGACCCAAGGAGGCATTTGCTCCGAATCCCGCCCGGATCAACGTGTTTGAAGACCTTACATTCATATTCACTGATCCTGCGCAATTTGGCAACCTGCAGGATGCCATTGCGAACGGCCATGGAAAGGCTTTACTTTACGAGGGCGAGCAGGGCGTTACTAAGGCTGAGGAGATTGTGGAGTTCATGAGGAACACGGCGGGTGACAAAGGCCTTGGGAGTCAGCGGGACGACTCCGGCGGCGTGGTGCTCGTTCGATACCGGGCCGGTGGACGCCATGAGGACTGGTGGATTGACCTGAGCAACGAGGTTGCTGTGATGACCGGCCAGCGTGTCATCGAACAGAACGAGTTCCTCGATGCGATCCTGGGGAATGATGCTTCTCCTTTGTGTCGATCTCTGCCCGAGTCCAGTGCACGTCAAGATACCGGTCCGTCTACTGCACAATCCCAACCGGCTTCCACCGCCAACGATGCCCAAATAGTCGGAGACTCGCAGCCTGCCGAGGAACTAACTCGGCAACAGACGAAGAAATCGAAGCCAAGAGTTCGAGGGTTTGTCAGTAAAATGAAAACATTCGACGACGGCTTCGACATAAATTCTATACCTGCTCATGCTCCCGATGCAAGCATTGCGGACTCACCCCCATTGATGGAAATTGAGCCCTTAACCCCACAACAGTCACAGGCACAAAGTAGTCTCCAAGAGGAGGAAGATATGGTCTCTAGCCTACTACCCGGTGCCCGAGCAATGAAACGTCAACGAGCCCAGACAATGCAGAGAGGTGCCGAAGAATCGGTTCCGGAAACTAAACAAGAGCCCGTACCGCGGGCGAAACGCCAGAAACTGGACGTACTAGAGGCAGCACGGCAGCATCGTGAGGAGGAAGACGCCCAGCGCCAGCGCCTGGCGGAAGAAGCGACCCTGCAAAACTCGCTCCAGGATGTCAATGTGGAGAAACTGAAAGGCCTCGCAATCGTAGAGGAGATGGAAGTAAAGCCGAGGACCATTGATGAAGACGACCGTCGGTGGGACGATAGGTGGAATGGACGCAAGAACTTCAAGAAGTTCCGAAGAAAAGGGGACCCTAGCCAACCTCGCTACCGCATGCAGACGGTGATTGTTCCGCTGGAGGAGGTGACGCGAAAGGCCTTTGGCATTGGGGACCATTACTGGGCCAGCAGTCGCAAGTCCAGGGAGCACAGTCCCGCCGACAGTCCAGCGGAACGGGAAGTCAGTCAGGGCGAACCTGCGGCGGCATCCCGCTCGCAGTCCTCGGCCCGCGTGGAGTCGGAGACGCCAGCGCCCAGCAGCCAGACTAGAAACCCGCCGAGACGCGAGAAACGGGGGCGAGAAGAGCGGGACTCAGACAGCGACGAAGAGCTTCGGTTCCGGTTCCGTCGCAAGCGATGATCCCCTCAGCCTCTGTACTACTACTGGTACAGGTTTCGGCGGATCTAGATAGGGTAGTAATCAATCAACGGATCCATAGCAGCGGAGGTCCGTGGGAGGCCACAAACACATGGCAAGCGATCGGAGGATGCGAAACGGGATGATGCTATCATACTCGATGAGATTCGCTGTTGTGGGGATTTGCATGCGGGGAAGCCGAGTATCCAAGGAAGTGGGTATGCTGGGTATCCTGGATGACGCTGTTGGGCACGAAGTATAAACAACAGGCACTGTTGTCTACTGCAACCGGGTGATGTGCGGTGAACAACGATTTTTCAATACAATTGACCCTGGTATCGTGATTGAATCCACCGTTCCTGGAAGTACATGATTGTATAGAATCAGATGGCTGAACCCGACGAAGGATAAGTGGATGACAGCCCTCCCAGCTGGTGGTCTGTGCAGGGCTTTGGGGGACCGGAATGGAGCCCGCCCACTGGAGCTTCCCGTTTGAAAAGCGTTTCAAGGATCCGGTCAGAGCAGGCCCAGTGCTTTACCTGAAACATTCGACTTTTCCATGATGCTAAGTAGGGTAGATAAATACCTAGATAGACTGTAGCACTATTCTTATCTACAGTTTTATTATTCCAGGTAGTGTGATACATCATACATGGATCTCTAGATGAGGACTTTCCGTAGGAGTACTAGTAGATAGGAAGGCAGGGAGGGAACAAATCGTCCTCAGCCCTCCCCTGGCCTTCCCTGCTGGGAACAGAATAGATAACAGACACTGGTGGTGGTGTGATCACCCAAGTTTGGGATGGGAGCGTGACCTGGCTCCCTTTCCAGGTAAAGAAAGGCTGTGCTGTGTTCCCGCCCGGCGTAATAATGACCGGTAACACCCCCGTACGAGGTCTCCTCTTCACTGCCAAAAAGTGCGCCTGGACGTTTCCCCCCCCGGTCATCCTCGTCATCCTCGTCTGGTCTTCTCCTCCTCTTCCCTCTTTTCCCTCCTACTACACCGTATCCTTCCCTCCTCGCCTGGCTGCGATTGCTTTCTTTACTCTTCCCATCCCCATCCTCTACCTCTTTATCTTCATCGTCTTCAGGCTCGCTACTATCACACCTTCTTTGACCTTCCATCACACTAAATCAAAGAACCACCCCCCAGCTGCCTGACTGCCTAACCGCCGATTATCATCTCGCCCGCTCACTTGACTGGCGACAGATTCGCTCCAGCGCACCAGCATTGGCACCGCCATGGACCACGTTGGCTAGCCCTGGCTCCAATTCATCTCATCACTCGTTTACCTCATCGATCTCTGGCACTGCCTATTTTTACTGCCCTTATCGCGGACCAGAGAACGTTTTTTGACACCCTCGTCCGCTTCCCTAGCCTTTCCCGTCGGTAGTATGTCTCGCAGCGCGCATCCCCTCAAAAATTTCCCTGTGCCTCTTTTTTAGACTTTGGCGTCATTGCTTTTTTCCTTGGATCACCAGGTAATTGAAATACTAACTTCCGACCCACCCGCAGCTCTGCTCTAACGATTTACGACTCCTGATTCCCCCGTTTGGCGTTGTCGGGTTCCCTCCCTATGCTTGCTGTTCCGCTTTAAATGCCGTCTGAATTGCTATCCTCCCCCTCGTCGCCCCTCATGATTTCAACCATCCCCCCTCCCCGTCCTGTCTCGGTCAATTCGCTGGCCAGAGCGTCGGCCTCGACAGCCATTCCCTACTCCAAACCGAGTCGCTGCACCAGTGCCGAAATCCAGATACCTGATGGTCCCATCAACCCCCCAGCTGTGGGGCCTGGGCAGCTGGTCTGCCAGTCCCCGGTGGATACCGAAATGGAGGATGCGCGGATAAGCGTGGAGACGCCTCGATCCTGCCGATCCGAACTGCACTTCGAAGACCTTCCCATCGAAATCCACGAAGCCATTCTTGATTATTTATTTGGCGAACGGGCGTCTGCATTCACGTCGTGCGCGCCGGGCAAGTCTGTGCGCAGCTGGAATAAGTCATTGCGTCATCCGCGTCGAAAGGCCCTTTCCAATCTGGCATTGATCACCCCTGTCTGGAGAGCACTGGTGCAGGACCGGATTTACAGACACAGTTAGTGCCCTTTTCTTTCTCCATTATTCTTCTACGCGATACACATCACATTCTGGTCTAACTCGATGCCGTCCAGTCAAGATCAAAGGTACCACAGATGAATTGGCAGAAAGTGCCCGTTGGTTCCGTGCGCATCCCCATCTAGCCCCGTATGTTCGCCATGTCGAATTGTGGATCCCGGTCTGGGGCAAACGAGCAGTCAAAAATTCCTCACATCTTCCTCCCGCTAGACGGTTCAATGATGAGGATGCGGACTTTGATCCCGTTGCGCCCCAAGCAACGATAGCGTGGGATGACTCCGATACTAATCATAGCACCGATTATCGGTACCACTATGCCAGCCACAATGCAACACTGGAAGAGATGTTTTCTCACGTAAAGTCTAACTTCCCTGAAGCACGCATTCTTACCCTCGAAGGTGGCCACTGTAAACGACCGCCGATGGTACGGCAATTCCGCCAGGACCCGTCCGGTCAAACCGGACGGCTGCGTCTGCCTACGCTACCGGATATTCAGACATTTGTCATGCGTGGGGCCTGGAATATCATGCGCGAATATCGGCACTGGTGGAACATGTCGCAAGCCTTACCAGGGGTGCGTGAGTGGCATTGCGCCTACGCCAAGCCCAAGATCGAGGGCTATCAGACTGTGGCAGATATCCTGTTGCGGATATCCCCACCTTTAGTTCACGTTAATATTAGCCTGGAGGGCTTTTATAACAAGGACAATACTCAATCTGGCTGGATTCACGATGGCATTAGCCCACCGCATCTCTGCCGTTTGCTCGGAGAAGCAGCCCCGCGTCTGGAGTCCCTTGCATTCACCGGCAAAGTCTGCGCCTGCCTTTTCCACTCAACGCGAGCATTCATGTCCACCTGGACCGCCAAGTCCAAGCTCAAGTCGTTGGACTTGGTCGTCAAGACCTGCTGCCGCGAAAAACGAACCAATCCGGGTCTCGGATTTCTCGACGACTTTTCCGGCATCACTAACCTGAATTTTATCCGCTCATTTGAGAAACTCGTCCTCGGGGCCGTACACAGTTTGCAGGTTCACTCTGCGCTGAGTTACATGCGTATACGCTTTATCGACCTTGATTCCGCCTGTCCACCCCTGAACCCCTACTTCCAGCTCGTGGACAACGAGTGCACGGGTCTGTGGAGCGAGCGGATCCTGGAAACTCTGCACGAGGCGCGTCCTCAGGCACACTATGTCGAGCTCTCGGATGGAATTTATCCCCAGTATGGGCACAATCGGCAGATCGTGGGAGCTGTGTACCCGCGAACCCGGCCGTTGAGCATCCATGCGTCGACTTACAAAGTGATCGCCGATGTCTCCAAGCCATAGCTATTTGGCAACCGGCAGTCACATAGATTGACAAGTGACGGATGACAGCAGCAAAAGTCATTCTTATGTACCCCTTCCATCTGATGATACCTAGGTCCCGTGGGCCGAGATAATGAAGAAAATATATCCTATTCCATTCCTGTTTCGTCACATTGTACCATCATTGATGTCCTCCAGCTACGTGATGAACCAGCATGTTATTGAAGTTGCGTAGTGCATCAATCATATCAATTTAAAAATTCTATGCAAAAGATCTTTACTTATCACCATATACACAGCCCCCTCCCCAACCAATACAAATACAGCAAATCACATCATCTATTCTACCCACCCAAACCCCACACCAACGAAAAGCTAAGCGGAAGAGCCAACATCATCAACTATAACCCCCAAAATCCACACATTCACCGCGAAGAACCCTATCGAGGCAAGAAACAATCCCGGCACGAAACTGCTCAGACCCAGGAACTCGAGGTTGTAGCCTTGTTGGAGCCAGAGGGCCTAATTATCGCTGTTAGTTCGTGGATTGGTTTATTAGGAGTTTTTATAAAATTTGAACTTCATGAAGGATAGAGTGTATGAGGGACGGAAGATGGGAAAGCAGGGATGAACAGATGGGGAAGGATGAGTACATACCTGACCAACAACCCACAACGCAGCTACTAGTCCCCCGAATCTCGGGTTCCGGAGCATCGACGAAGTGGGAAGATAGAAGGGGAGGAATATGATGTACCAGAGAAAGTACTATCGTTTTCATTTATTAGCATATCGGTTGTGTTGTGTTGAAATAGTGACAGGGAAGAATGGGAGGTGTATGGGGCAATAACGAACCTGACTCGTACAAACTTTGTTGAGCGTCACGAAGGCGAAAGTCTGTGCGAGCATTGCGCCAGGGAGGCTCTTCTTCGCTAATGCTAGCGGAATCACGATGACAGAGAGAAGGAGCTGCGGGATAAAAGCGAGGGATTCGAATTTTCCTTGAACTTCGCCGGCAGCGGAGAGGTAGAGGAGGGTGCTGTAGGGGGAGAAGTTGTGGCGATGGTCGATGCGGGTGAGGTGGTGGAGGTAGGTGTGTTGGATGAAGGGAGTGTCGTAGAGAGAGTACATGAGCATGTTGAGGAGGATGAAGGTGGTGAGGGAGGTGAGGGTTAGGATGATGCGGGGAGGAGTGATGAAGGAGAGGACTTGGGAGAGGATGGTAGTGTTGGTTGTTGACTTTGAGGGGGTTTTGGTAGAGCCATCATGCTCGCGATCTAACCACCAGATGATTGAAACACCATATATGAAGGGATAGATTTTGAAATGCACGCTCACTCCTAGGAGGATACCTGCGAGGATGACCCTTCGGCGCAGAACAGCCCATAACAGCGCAATCACTAGCACGCCGAGAAGACCCTCGGAGGATCCTCGGGTGCTGATATTCGCGACCATAGGGTTGAGAAGCCAGACACTGGCGTACTTGAGTGCGCGGGGAGCGTCCATTCCGTACGCAGAGACAAGTGATCTGGCGATGAGCCACCCGGCGAGGACATCGGAGAGCGCGAAGAGCGCCTTTCCAAAGGAGAACAGGAAGGATGGACCGGTCCAGGCTGTTGGGAGGAGTAGCCAGGCCAGCAGGGGCGTGTAGCGATAAGTGTCTCGTGCGTAGGGCGAGGCACCCTGCGAGACATAGCGCGCTGCGTCGGTGAAGACGAGGTAGTCGATGTCGGTGTATTTGACGGCGGAGTGGGCGTCTTGCCGGGCACCGTAGAAGAGGAGGATGACACGGAGGACTATGGCGGAGCCATAGACCAAGGATGGTGTCTGGAAGAAGGATGCCGTTTTGGATGACATGGTGGACTTGGGGTGTTGGTGTATGTGGTTACTTCATCTGTAATGGCGGTCTCCTGAGGGCCTCACGATGAAGGCTTCAGCCGGATAGAGTGCGTGGTGTCCCGGCAGTGGGCAATTGATTTGCGTGGGTATATATGTCCTAGAGTATAGTCACGCTATCTATATGCCCATAGTCATGGACATTCTAGATTCCGGGGGGGAGATAGATGAAGCTATCCAAACGCCGGCGAGGAAACGTGACCCGTCCGGTTGGCGAATTCCGGATCTGGATGAGTCAGCAACACAGAGACTTTACCCAAATGGGACACATTCAGCACTGCTTCATCAATCAAATGCTGAGAGGGGAAACAAACTGGGACTTGATTGTTTTACGGGTTACTGCTGTACGAGATCAGAAAGAAAGATCAGATATCACTCATTATTGTTGTGCTTTACGACCATTTGTTACGCAGTACGAGGATTGTGCCAAGAGGGCTTAACCGACACTCGTCATTATTCATGCTGTTGCTATCAAAGATATACAGAATCTCGTTGATACATTGGTTTTTTGTTCTTTTGGAAGCAAAACCCGAAAGAAACATCAGTCCAACAACTTCCTTCAACATCCTCCACCATCAAACATCCTTGTTGAAAGGACTTCTTTCCTCCCTTCCTACCAGCCAGCAGTTCCTCTGCATCAAGGAAAGCGATCATTCCCCCCACACCAAGCCATTTCTAATCTGTAGATCGAAATACCGTAAAAAATGGATGTCAAAGATCTCGTTATACTTTGCATTATCGGTAAAAGTCCGGTCGGCGTTACTTGGTGGATTGCGCCTGGCTTCCTGCTTGAGCCACCTCTCGATGATCTTCTTATCATCTTTGTCCCGGGTATCATATTCAAGCTTAGCTGGATTATTTGGGTCCAGGCGGAGATCTTCGAGACAATCCGCCTCGACTGGGGCGCCCTCTTCACGCCGCCGTTCCACGAAGAATTGCACTCGATAGCCGTCCTGAAGAAATCCCCGGAATGGATCGTACTGGGGCTTGTTCTCCCGTTGGTCGTTCATCCAGGCAGACAGAATCTTGCGAAGCGTACTCTTCTCCTCGTCCGTGGGAATTACGGCAAGAATCCGTTGCAATTTGACGATTTCATTCCGAGGTCCAACCCAGTAGGTCCGGATCTCGTCCGTGACAATTCGTTCTTCGTACCCCTGTGCCTGTAGTCTCCCATTGATCAGAGACTGCAGTTCTTGCACGTTCGGAGCTGGTTCATCCGTAGAAGACATGATTACGATAGTCGATAGAGGTCACGTAGGGTTTGTTTGTGTCAAGGTGAAGGGTAATCCGGTCAAAGGTCTTCGAATCCGTAAGAGGTAGGTGATTGAAATGTGAGAAAGTGTCGTAGTGAAGGAGTCTTCCTGAGTCGATCCATCATTGGAAGATGGAATGCGTTAAACTCTGCTAGACTGAAATTTTAGTCAATTGTGATGAGATCATTGATATTCAGCTTTGTACTCGAATGAAGTTATACAGAACATCTCCCCGTATAACAGGAAGGCAATTAGATAAGAATTGGATAATGCAATGAAGACGTGAGACACGTCCTAAATCCATGAAAAGCATTGGTATGTTTCTTTATTCGCCAAAAGTTGGTGCAGAGATGATCAATGACTTTACTGACATACTCCCGCTTTATGGGCTAGTAATGAAGAGTCTGCGTTTATCTCTCTTTTGTGTAATCTTCTCACTTCGAGGGGTTATACTGGCTTATCCTTAAACAACAAGACCCTGGATTTTGCATAGCAAAGATACCAGTTGCATGGGGAATTTCTTCATAACTTTCACAAAGGCACACTGGACTGATTCGCCTCTCAAGGAAACTCGGGAAAGAACAATGTAAACGGATCAATGTCAGGGTCAGTAGTCTTCTGAACATAAACCTCCTTCGCGCCAATTCGCTCTTCTTCTGTCAATGTTATGCGTAACAGTTTCCAGGGCTGTGATCGACAGTGAAACGGTGCTGGCCGAACATTATATAGCTCAATAGCCATATATTCTTCATTCACATCAGTACTACTACCATCCTGGCAGTCCAGGACAAGGTAGGCAAATCCTGTGACAGCCTTTCCGCGTACCACTAAAGGGCATTTGATGCGAACTCCTCGACTGGTCACAGTGGGAGGGATATCGTTTCTTACACGCCAGCCTCGCATAAGGTGGTTCGAGCCTGCAAAGTAAGCCGGAGAGGCAGCCAACAGCCCACTCAAGAAACTCCTCCTCCCGGATTCTTCACACTCCCATGCGAAAATGGACTGGTCGTCGGTTTCCCGCAAGATTTCCTCTTGTAGTCTGATGAAGGCTCTCTCTCCCTCTCCATACAATAACGGCATGTTTACTTCGAATATTCCCAGGAGGCAGTATGCCCTATCCTCCACTCGTTTTGTTTGTCGTTGAGCAGCCCAAGACATCCTGCTTGCAACACTGTAGAGTTTGAATGTAGACCGGCTTTCGAGTGCGACTTCATTGATGTTCGTGATGGCTGATATCCTTCCCCTGAGTTGCTGTCTTGTACCATACTCGGTCCACGCAGTGCCATAGAAGACAACGTTCTCAGGGGCAAGCAACTCCTGCAGCGTCCAGCCCCGTGTGAACCATCGGCTTCTTTCGAACGTGTTCCCGCTATCATTTTCTGCGGTGACATGTGCAGGCACATCGGACAGATAGGCAAAGCACACCGCGGATTTTCGATACCAAGCAAACATGGAATTGATTGCTTCGCTGAGCTCCGCGCTTGAACGTTTATCGATGCAGCAGGTATCAATCCAGACCCAGTTTAAGCGATGCTCGTTTGCTAGCCTGCAGGAGTGCTCTACCTTGTGGAATGCTGGACGCGTTCGTGCATATTCGAGGTTATCGTAGTCGGTGAAAGTGACTTCTCCTTCTCCCCATGTGTGGGATAAGATGGCATATTCAGGGATATCTCGACCTTCAAATTCATTCATCTCGTACGTGGACGTGTTGATGAGACGCATATTGGGAAGATTAAGAATATGAATCTATCATGAAAGCAATCAGGATGAATAGGACTGTGGTTTGGGATCTATCGTGAGCCGTCCCCGCGGCTGGACAATGCGGGGCAATGCCAGAGCACGCGGGATGTCCAATCATCGCATAGCTGAAATAGCTGAACATCAGATCGGCTTGCAATCTTTCGTATCAAGAAGACCCGTTCTTGCACAGGCTTCTGAGTTCGAGGTGGTCTATAGTAGAGATCTGGTATAGGCAAGGTATTCCGTAGGAGGAGCTCCAGTGCTGCACTCAGCCTACAACAAGCTCATACTCCACCTACTGCTTTGGGAATGGCTTGATGATTCTCACTAGCACAGTCCTTACTGTTTTGGGATTCATCCTGCCTGAGGCTGTAAATGTATGCCTGAGGCGTTGTTATTACGCCTGAAACGCTCCAGCTATGCCTGAGGTTGCTAAGACGCTTTGACAAATCTGCAACAATCGGCAGTTCTACTACTCAGCTTCGAGCTTTAGAGAGCCTGATTGATGTATGGACTATAAAGTACCATGCAGAGCCTAGCTGGTATACCCCAGTTAATTATGAGACTGTCTAGTCTGGCTGGACAAGACATGGACCCATCCGTGTGCTACAGCGTACCATTTGACCTTGGCAATCAGGCCGGATCTCTGAGTATTACTGACTTACCGACCCAGCGATTTTGCTTCCTAGCTATCATTTACTAGCCTCGGGAGATAAAAGAAGTTTCAATCAGCAAAGGCCCAACCCGCAGACGTCGAAAGAGGAGCACGAAAGCCACATTATTGCCCAAGGGCCGTGACACATCATGGGCCCGCTGGGTCAATTATTGACATTCCTTCTGGAGGACCACGGTCAGGTCATGGCGTCCTTTTTCAGACCTGGGCAGCACCAAGATGTTCAAAGGCCATTCACTGTTCTTAATCCAAAGCATCTAATCTAAATCCCCAGTGCCTTACAGCATGATCCAACGGCCTATAATCTAAGTACATGATATCTGAAAGCTCTTGAATGAAGAACCATCCGAGCCGCCTAACTCCCCTGCACCGGCGCCAACAACACAAGAGGGGAGGATGACAGGTGCTATTGCTCTCGAAGCCCCAGTACAATTCTCTTGTGCATAGACATACGGAGTACAGTTTTCCGCAAGTCTTGTCACCCATAAGGTATAACTGTTGGTAACGGTAACACACTGGCCCGGGAGAGTTGTCTGACCAGTGAATCGTTCTGCCGAATGGAAGCCGCATTCAGAGTCATAAGGAGACCAATTTGAAAGGGAATATGCTGTGCTATTGAAGATCCGCTCCAGATCAGTGACAAAGGTTGATGATCTGAAGGTGTCGAGCTTATTGGCTCTGTGCGTGGAAATGGCAGCGAGAATGAGGGCAGCCACGGCACAGAGCGAGAGGAGAGTCAGGTATGCCTTGAAAAAAAAAGCTGCGAATCCTCGAAGGGCCTGGTTTGGAGTAGGACGGGGGCTCCTCGATAGAAAGATGTTCAACCATTGTGTAATTGTGTGGACTCGAGCTGGAAATCTTAAATTTGTCCTTTACCGAATTCTGTTTAATCAATCAGGGAATTAAATACTCACAGGCTAACAGGCGCGTATCTCCAAATGATGCTGATACTTAGAATGCGTCCCAAGTCACAGTGGAGTATGTGATCTTATTTCATTCCAGCACGGAAGCTCCTATCCTTATAGTATTTAGATATCATGGGGATTCCACTACTGGCTTTGGACTCCAACTCAGACACAAGCAACTAATGTTTGATGACGTAGTATTCTGTACCAGCAAGCGGTAGTGACTTCCGCTAACCAGTGCCAATTTCTTTTCCAAACCTTTGCATATTTTAGTACCCCAGCCCAATATAATAGTCTGAAACCCATCCAATCGCAGGTATTAGGGGTATCTTACCGATTTCTCTAAACTTTAGGACCCTTTAAGACTAAAGTCTTAACCAGACCGCCAGCCTTGTTGACCCACCGACCCACACAGTATGAACCATAGGTAGCCTGTATCTAAGTTATCTAACATATTATACACTGCCCGAATATGGTTAGGAAAACCTCTGAGCCTATATTAGCTGCTTCTCTAGATCAACCTCGATATTTTAGGGCACTAATATGACGTCCTTATGTGGGATGTGAAATGGCTGTCGGCTCGTGCGCATAGAAAGGCAATTCCAATGGTTTGAGAAACTTCACATCACCCTTTTTTCCCGTCGACTCAATTGAAGACCTTTTGTTGCTGAGGGATGATATTATCACGCTGAACATGTCAGTTATAGTCCTTGAACGCTCGGGCAGAGTATTAGTATCCGGTTTGGGCTTCTGAGACATATCAATACGCTAAGTCTTCTAGTGCAGGTGACTTTCTACTGGCGTGATATACTAGCCTACCCAATTCCCATTTGGACCATAACATCATAGCAATACACTAAGTATAAGCTAGGTGATGGGGAACCCTGGCTCAGCCCCGCAGTGGAGGCCAATTTACACCCCCTGAATGGCGTCCGCCGGGCATCCGGGAATTTATCATCTTGCCAGTGGCTCCACGAATATCCCCAGCACAGCACCAAGTAGAAAGACACAGCTTAGCCATGGCTTGCCCTCGGCTAGCGCCCGTCTCAATTGATGATCTCTTTGGCCTTGCTGGTTCGGACTACTCTCCACCGGAGAAGACGAGTGATATGAATACCCTACTAGAGGCTTTTGCTTGGCCCTTCTAATACCTACCATTTGGCCGACATAGCAATATACCGTCTATCTGAACTGAGCTGTAAAACAGGCGACATGTACTTGGCTCTCTGTGATTGACATCTTGGTTCAATCATTGTCGATCATCTCATTCTATGTACTCCACGCCACATGATATTATGAGGACTATAGACGGTTTTATGTCCTTTCCACCCCTGACGATGATTAACTCCTGGGGCTTTTGGTTGGCCACTTGAAATGGTTGCATCATCTTGCATTATGTTGACTTATCAGGATCTCTGATAACATTGTGTCTATCCAACTACCACAGGGGAAATATGTGGGCATCGAATTCTTTTATCACTACTCACCACGTCTCCTTTTTCTCTTCTATTCAATATGTTGACGAGTTTTATCATCTACTTCAGCTGCTCTCAACAGTCTTTGATATTTGTCCCTGCAGTAAGCTTTCAAGTAATGGTTGGTCTCCCTCCGTTATTCTATCATCCACTAACATTTTATAAATGCATGCCGGGATCTACCTCTCATTGCACTCTTCTACACCTTGACCGGAAATATCTATCTCTCTTGTTCTATAGGGGACTTTCTGACAGCACATATGTTCATTTTACACAATTATTTAACGATAGATATAATTAAAAGATAGTGACCGCATGGCTAGTCTAGGCGGATGACTATCAACTGCTGTCCACACCACAGACCAAGACGTATTGGTCTAGAAACTGCCCAAGTCTGAGATATAGTTGCTTTTTGCTTTCTACATTTATCCTTTCTCGCCCAACTTACTCTATCCTGGCTAATCTGGTGCCGAATATGACCGGTCACCTGACTCCTTTGTCTATTGCCCTCCCGGTGCGATATGCTTCATCTTCTTCATATCCTCATTGATCTACTACTTCTGCTGTATCTCACATACTGCCTGTGTAACATGTACACTCCTTATACCCTCGAACCCCTCCAAGCTAACAAGGACATACTTAGTTTCCGAATGGCACAACCCCGCCTACCGATGTCGTGATCTCGCACCACCCATTTGTCATGTCAGCACCTTCATTCCATTTGTAATCCTACAATGCCTTTATCTCTATATAATCCTTTGCTCCTGTCGCATTCTATCCACCACAACCACATCATAACTCTCACCACATCTACAACCCATCTCCCTCTCTCACATTGTCATCCTCATCCTCAACATCATCACCATGTCCGAACCCCGCAAAACCCTCCACCTCACAGCCTTCATGCGGCCCGTGAGCCTCCACACCGGCGCCTGGCGATACCCCGACTCCTACGCAGACGCCAATTTCAACCTCACGCACCTCAAATCCTTCATCACCCAACTCGAATCCGCCAAATTCGACGCCTTCTTCATGGCCGACCACCTCGCCGTTCTCAACATGCCCACCGAGGCCCTCAAACGCAGCCACACCATCACCTCCTTCGAGCCCTTCACTCTCCTCAGCGCCCTCTCAGCCATCACCACCAAGATCGGCCTCGCCGCCACCGCCTCCACCACCTACGAAACCCCCTACCACATCGCCCGTCGCTTCGCCTCCCTCGACCACCTCAGCAACGGCCGCGCAGCCTGGAACATTGTCACGACCGCAAACCCCGAATCAGCCAAGAACTTCAACCTCGACTCCCACCTCGAGCACAGCTCCCGCTATAAACGGGCCCGCGAATTCTACGACGTCGTCACCGGCCTCTGGGACAGTTTCGCCGACGACGCATTCCTCCGCGACAAGGAAAGCGGGATCTTCTTCAACCCCGATAAAATGCACGTGCTGGATCACGTTGGCGAGGATTTCAAAGTCCGGGGTCCGTTGAATATCGCTCGTCCCGTACAGGGCTGGCCGGTAATTATCCAAGCGGGGCAGTCCGAACCGGGGAGACAGTTGGCTGCGGAGACGGCGGAGGCGGTATTTTGTTCGCCGAGGGATATTGCCTCCGCGAAGGAACTGTACGCGGATATTAAGGGACGGGCGGTGGCTGCGGGGCGGAAGAGAGATCATATTAAGATTTTGCCCGCGGCGTTTATTGTCATTGGGGATACGGTCCAAGAGGCGCAGGAGAAGAGATTACGGTTGGATTCGCTGGTGCATTATGATAGTGCGATTGCGTCGTTGTCGGTGGTGTTGGGGACGGACACGGCAGGGTTGGATCCCGATGCACCTCTCCCGGAGGATCTGCCGGAGACGAATGCGAGTAAGACGGGGAGAGAGGGGGCAGTTAAGCTTGGGAAGGAGGAGGGACTCACGGTTAGGCAGCTGGCGCAGAGGTATGGTGGGTATTCTGGGTTGGCGTTTGTGGGGACCTCTGAGTCGATCGCGGATGAGGTAGAGCAGTGGTTGGACCAGGAGGCGGCAGATGGGTTTACAGTCGTGTTTCCATTCCTGCCGCAGGGATTGGAGGATGTCACGCGCCGGTTGGTGCCGGAGTTGCAGCGGAGAGGTATCTTTCGGAGTGAGTATGAGGGGAGTACGTTGCGGGAGCATTTGGGGTTGCCGCGGCCGGAAAATCGGTTCTTTGCGTAGTGGAGATGTTTGTCGACTAGGCTTGGCTGATTGAGATGAAGAGGCATGTGTGTAAAGTACTGCTATGGTCATCTATTGAGCGAAAGTGCATGTCATGAATCCTCATCTCATCATGGGAGTTAGTGACTATAATGTCATAGGCTAGTATTAAAATACTAGTTGCTGATTGTGGGAATATGAATAGACAAAAAGACACTTATATTCACATCCTATTGCCATACCTAAGACTGTGTACTCGGTAGATGACATCCATAACATCGCCCGTATATGCATCGTTCATAACACATAACACGAAGGGAAACCTGAGATCGCTAGCAGAAAGGTAAACAAACAAGAGTATAAACAGCGAGACAGAAACGAGTGGGAATAGTAAAAGAAACCCGGATTCCTATACCAAATACCAATTGCGATGAGCCTGCACCAATGAACACCCAACTGTTGAGCTAGTAGAAAGGTGTCACTGAGTTAAGAAAAAATGTTGAATCCACCATTTGGGTGCCAAAATATGCTGCCTCGTTATTGCCAAACTTGGCACCTCTTTCCTCCTGAGTGAACAAGGCAGCATGATTAACATTGTCAATATCGACCAAGCCTTGTAGCAAGTTGCTGTCACTCCAGCTCAGGAAATCCCAAAGATATTGTCCAGCCGAGTCATCAATAAACGGTGGTTCAAATGGATCGACATATCCTTGTTCGTGCATCATCATTCGACTCACATCGACTTGTGAAGGAAGAACTCCCGGGACCATTCTAGGGGTAGTGTCTTCACATGATGTGGCAGAGCTACCACCGTGAACGCTTTGGGCTTCTCCGACAACATTGGAGCCTCGTTTACTGGCCTCAAATATCCGGGAGACAGCCTCCAGCGTCGATTTCGCGGCTGGGCTCCAAGGTTCAAGACGTTCCAGAACCAGCATTGTTGTCTCTACTTGAGCCTGACAAGCTTCGATGGTGGCTCTCGGGTCATCGACCGTGCTGTCATTGAGAAACAGCCCGAGGAGCGGAACCATTGCGGCTTGGAAGATAAGCCATACTGCGTTCCAGCCGGACATCTGATGAAACTGAGCTTTGGTGGCCACGTCCTGGATGGTGGCCTCAGCAATTTCTCTGCATCGTTCGATTGCTGTCCGCTCCTCAGACCTGAGCACAATGTATGGCACTCGGCGCATAGCGTAGCTCAGCAGCGTGGGGCGGTATAGTAGCATGCGCTGGTTACAATATCGCCATTTCATGACGGTCCTCGTGATTGCGATCGACTCGGAGCATGGCTCATGATCCTTGAGAATGTAAGGGAGATTATTATACCATTCAAGAAGCTGGCTATCAAGGTGCGCCATTTCGTGGGGTTTTGTCAAAGGGGCTACTGCCAGAACTTCCTGTATCTGAGTGGCAATCTTGCAGAAGCGAACGTTCTCCAGAAGTGGCAGGATGTCGAGCACATTCCCCTGAGTATGTTAGTGGTTAGGGTTAAATTCATATGTTGGGTCACATACTGTTTCTCTATAGTGTGGCAGCTTAACCGTGATTGTCGGACCAAGGCGACCCATACTGGGTCGCCCCAGAGTCATGCCACCCCACGTGTCTAGGCAGAAGAGGGACCACCATACTCGACGTCTCTGATCAATTGAGAATAGTTTCTGTCTGCTGTTGCCATACTGATTGTCGGAAACTTCCTTATGCAATCCCAGAGCAGCCGCCATGCGTAAGGCGGCCCCCATGATGGAGTACGCTAGGTTGGGCTGGCTGGTATAGTGAAGGTAATAGCCACCCATTAGACCCAGCGCTTGGATAGTCTCCACGTGCGGAGATCCAAGGCTTTCCAAAGTGAGGTAGCTCTTGCAGCGCATGTAATAGACTTTGTGAGACAGGTCCTCCGCAGGGCATGCTGCTATGCTGCCTAACGCAAAGACAATATTGACTAATGCAAGCCATTGCTCATCTTTTCGGCGTCCAGAAAGGTAGGTTTGACGAAAGGACTGCTCATCCAACATGGGTACAAAGGGTTGGAAGTAGGTGAAGTAAGAGTCGAGCAACTGCGACTCGGGCACTTGCAATGGAGTATGTGTTGGTGTGTCATGCCGTTGCTGGGAGCCGTAGACCTGCCAGTTCTGGACCTCAGGAGAAGCAATATCCATGATTGATTCTCTTTGAACACCGACCGCTGGAGCGCGAGAGAGGTGGCAAAGGGATCCTGGTTCTAACCAGACGATCACTTTCAGCACGGCATGAATGGAAGACACGCCGAGATAGGAGGATGGTTGCTTGGACGAAAGAGACAGAGCATTGACATCGTCAGATATAGCACCCGTAAATTCGGGAGTCTTCAAGTCGCGATTGTCGCTTATATGATCGGGTATTGTCTGCAAGGACTCGAGGTTGCCATCTTCGCTGGACGCCGGGGATGTGTGTGCCTCCATCGATGCCGAGGTTGCTGGAGATGCCGGATGTGGCGCTTGCGTCTGCACCTGGGATGCCCCCTTGCCTGTCAGCTCTAGGAGCTTCTCCCGAGGCAAGTTTACTAGGGTCTCCGCTGCAATGCCCGGGAAAAGCTTTTCCAATACCCCGCGAAACTCATCGAGTGTGGTTGACAGTTTCTCCACATGCCTGCATGTCCGATAAGCTCGTTAGCCTTGTTTCTGATCCCGGTCCTCTCGAACCCCGTGGCAAAGAAAAGGGGATAATCGCACCTGCGAGACGGCCGAGGATCTGAATACTGACACAAGTCTGCTTTTTTATACCATCTACACGCTTCACATGGCTTTTCGCCATCACATTTGATTTTCCGATGCCGACAGGATGTGCAAGCACGAAGCGTAGTGACCCGGCGCCCAACGGATTGTTGGCGTTGACTGCGATCTCGCGCAGCAGTCGACGGGAGACCGGGGTTCTCGAACCCTTCGAAGGTGTGGAACATTGCTATTGCGATCGGGGGTTGTTTGTTGTGTTGCCTTGGGGATGGATAGGGGCGATGTGCCACCGGTTGACACTCTAGGGTGGTGTGGTTAACTCAAAGCGGCCATTGGCACCTAGTCGCAGGGAGGCCAGCAGGTTGGATGCAACAAAGAGCAGGGATTCGGTTTGACAGGAGAGGAAGGAGGATAGTGGATCGAATGGAATCGAGGGAAAAGGCCCCAGTACGTTATGCAGGTAATCAGTTAGTCGCTGCAGTGGCCATGGCCTGGTCTGGGGAAAGAAGAAAGGTCAAATTGTCAGATGCAGACCGCAACGAGGAAGAAAAAACACGATATATCAGTGAGGAACGCCGCCGCCCACGTTTTCGGAGGTGAGCAGGATGACCACCGGGAGTCTGGGTGGAGAGCATGGTGATGATCATCGGCACGGTTGACGCTCTGGAATCGACGGTGTGAAGGGAGCCGAAGCGCGCTGGCGGTGCCCAACAGGGCCCTGGAACGAGAACCCTCGGGGTGGTGTCAGTGGTCAGCTTCGCCTCCACCCCCGCATTTCGCCCTTTTAATTTATTTTATGCAGGAAGCGACCGTTTCTGTCTGGTCTCTGCATCCCTGGGAACGAACCGACCTGCAGGCCCCGTTGGTTGCCTACTATATTCCCCCCCGGTCCTAATTATATCCAGGGTACCTACGAGGCCGACTATGCGTCCGAGAAAGGGTTGTGTGATGTGCCCACAGACTCGCCAAACACCACGCGGTGGTCTGTTCCCCTTGGGTCGGAGGTCGTCTGTCCAGTAGCGCCCCCTTACTCCAAAGGATACACCCTGGAATGTGATGGTGGTGCGATCCTTCCACCTATCAGCGAGGCCTCATCAGCCTCCGGGTCTCCGAGTGCTGGATTGAGGTTCTGCGTATCCTGTAGCCGCTTGGCTTTCACTCATCTCGACGATAGCATCGCGCACTACTCCGTAGATGGTCGATGTAAAGGACCTAAGGATCCATGGTAGACAGGAAAGGATTCTTACTATCCTTCTTGTACTTCACTTGCTCAATGGTGCAGCGCCTACGATCCATCGCAGAGTTTGAAAGATTAATCGGTCATTTAGGTGCCTAAAGACCATACAATCGACTTCCGCTAGGTTCCGCTTCTGCAAGAACCAAAGGGCCCCGCTGCAATGATGCAGGACAATGAATACATGAGTGTACGCCCATTGTGGTCACAAAGTGTGGTGCCACCTGATTGCTTAGTGGCCAGGAAGGCAGCAAGAACGTCGATGTGGATGACAAGGTTCGCCGGAAGTTATCGGCGCAGAGCTTCTTGGAGACTATCCTTTCATCCGCGAACTGAAAGCTTACTGCTCCTGAGTGGTAGCGACATTGACCAGACGTTCGAGGGGAAAGATCAGGGTTCATGAGTCTGCCCCTTTGCAGGGCCTTTACCAAGCTCGATTGCTGGGCGAAATTTGCCTCCACCAATTGCAGTTGTGACCCCGCATAAGGTGGCCAACTTTTCATCTCCCAGAATAAATTAAACCCCGTGCAGGAGGAGTGAGATGCCGGAACACACTCGTCGAGAGACTTGTTTGGATGCTCTCTGCCAAAGACCTGCAGACGCTCGACTACTCTTGCGTCCTTGCTATAGACTCAGACCTAGCAGTCAGCCGGAACTCCAGTTGAAGATCTGGGGAAACTGACAGTGCACATCAAGTCTGAGAGGCAGTCTTAGCAGTATTCTAACAGCTGGAGACTCGGGACGAACCGAACCGTCTCAGGGACAGGAGGCCTTGCGCACGACAATCATTTCGGCTTGTCGGGAGAGGGACGGCCAATCGCCGAAATGATCTCCAAGGGTCAATTTCTTTGCTGACGCGCCGCCGTTTAATCAGCCTAAAGTCACCGGACGCCAAGAATGCGACATTTTATCCTTTTCACATGCATGCCAAGGGAAGACAGCACCTGATCGGAGAGGTAGGCCGATTAACCCAAATGTCCTTCTATCCAGGATAGCAGGCACGAGAACGCCGAGGTAAGATGAGGGGGCCGTTCGGTTACTGCCGCCCAAGATTTGGGCCGTCAGTCCACCCCTAGTGTCTTGCAAGGCAACGATTGTAGTCCAAGCGACGAGGGGTAGGCTAGTGGCGAAAGCCGCCGGATACACCTTGCGATAGCCTTCTCGTGATGGGGTCGTTTATTTATTTGGTGCGCCCAGACCATCATGGTGGTCGAAACCGACGCGGCAGAAAGGAGGTGTGGTCATTGTGGAGGTCGGTGACGGGCGATCGATTTATCTGGAGATCTCGAGGACTGTCAGGTACTATCTATCTCGGACGATAAAGAACCACTCCTACCGAGCGACACTCCCAGAACTGTGCACGGAGCCTCGTCCGTGCCAGAAACGGCAAGGTGTGTCTCAGTCGAGAGACATGCGGTTTCGAATAGAAGGTGAATTGCTTCACTCTGTCCCGACCAGGCCGGGGAGCACTTCTCAGTAAGACTTCTTCTAATGAGTTAAGGCTAACAACAGAAGGATTTGATGTCGGTTCTTCTGCCTGAATTGACAGGATGGTGAGAGTGTAGCAAGAGGGGAAGGATAATGTCGGGATAGCGAGGGAATGTTGGGCCGATGCCCCTTTGGGAAAGGAGCAGTCCCGTAAGGAGATGGCCCAAAGAGGAAAGGCCAGCACGTGGAGGCGGGGAAGCCTCCGCATAGCTTCCCCAGGCACAGAGCATCACCGTTGACCGGTTGATGAATCTATATCCAGAACTATAGACGTCGCTCCTAGTTGAGAGGCTATGGGCCTCTATTTATTCGGCATTGATTCTCCTCTGCCCGTTACCTAGTTCGAGCAACATTCAGGCGCCAAATAGTCTGTCTTTAACCCCTCCCAGGCCACGCCATGGCAACGTTTACGCCGTATACTCTGTCAACAGGATGGTACTTCAAAGACAGCGAAGACAGGTGTCCAGACGCATGGATGCCTGTCCCTGTAGTACCGTCTGTCGTCCATCAGGACTTACAGGCGAATAATAGGTGCGTGTCAAACGAGACCATCCACTAGACTTATCGCTAACATCCAGGGTGAATTGCCTACAGGCTTGATAATCCATACGTGGGGTTCAAGGAACTAGATGCCAGATGGGTCAACGAGAAGTCATGGGCGTACCGAAAGATCTTGCAAAAGCCAGCCATACCCGCAGGCTCGGTTGTTGTTCTGGCATTCGATGGGCTGGACACATTTGCCAAGGTTAAGCTTGACAAAACTATCATCCTGGAGAGCAATAACATGTTCCAAGCACATCGAGTTGATGTCACCAAGGCTCTGGAAACCGAGGGTGAGCACGCTCTGGAGATTGAATTCGATTGTGCGTTGCGGCGCGCCCAGGAGCTTCGGAAGCAAGATCCCAATCACAAATGGGCGTCTTTCAACGGAGATCCTGCCCGGTTGACCGTTCGCAAAGCGCAGTATCATTGGGGCTGGGATTGGGGGCCAGTCCTGATGACGGCGGGTATCTGGCGGGAAGTGCGGCTGGAGGTTTACTCTGCAAGACTAGCAGATCTCTGGACGGACATAAACCTAGATCCCAGTCATGACTCAGCTCATCTATCTGCATATGCGGAGCTGGATGCTGTAGGCTTTGATTCATCGTACAAGGTCAAATTCACACTCAGTCTTGAAGGTAAGGAAATTGCTCGAGAAACAGTCACGACAGAAAACAGAATCGCAAACGTGGAGTTTGATATCCATCAACCTCGCCTCTGGTGGCCTCATGGGTATGGTGATCCGAGTCTCTACGAGATTTCAGCATCGTTGGAGAAAGATCAAGATGAACTTCACAATATTACCAAGATGGTTGGTATAAGAACTGCGGAGGTCATCCAAAAACCTGACAAACATGGGAAATCGTTCTTCTTCCGGATTAACGGCGTGGATATTTTCTGCGGTGGCTCCTGCTGGATTCCTGCGGATAATCTTCTCCCCAGCATTAATGCGGACCGGTATCGGAAATGGATTGAACTGATGGTCGCTGGTCGCCAGGTTATGGTCCGGTTTGTTTCTTCCAATCGAAAGATCATGATAGTGAGCTGATGCGTTTTAGAGTCTGGGGCGGCGGCTGCTACGAAGATGACAGCTTTTACCAAGCTTGCGATGACTTGGGTGTTCTGGTGTGGCAGGACTTCATGTTTGGCTGCGGAAACTACCCAGCCTGGCCCGAGTTATTGGAATCGATCGAAAAGGAAGCGATCTATAATGTACGGCGCTTGCGTCACCATCCCTCAATCGTGCTCTACGCTGGAAACAACGAAGACTACCAGGTGCAGGAACAAGCAGGGCTTGAATATGACTTTGAAGACAAAAACCCGGAAAATTGGTTGAAGACCGACTTCCCAGCCCGGTATATCTACGAAAAGCTATTGCCATCCGTGATACAGGACCTGTCCCCAAGGACCTTCTATCATCCAGGCAGTCCTTGGGGAGATGGTAAGATAACGTCTGATCCGACAGTCGGTGATCTTCACCAGTGGAATGGTAATGAGCCTATCCCCTGCTCAGATACACCTTGCTGATAGCCTTAGTTTGGCATGGAACACAGGAAAAATATCAGATTTTCGATACACTAGGCGGTCGATTCAACAGTGAATTCGGGATGGAAGCATTTCCACATCTGTCAACTATTGATTATTTCGTCGAAAACGAGAAAGACAAATACCCGCAGTCGCATGTCCTTGATTTCCACAATAAGGCTGATGGGCACGAACGTCGCATCGCTACGTATCTGGTGGAAAATCTGAGAACGGCAACTGACTTGGAGGTATGTAATGGCTACCTGATTTACGATATGTATTAACCCGCTATAGACCTACGTCTACCTCACCCAAGTTGTCCAGGCCGAAACAATGATGTTTGGGTACCGTGGGTGGCGTCGTCAGTGGGGCGATGAAAGACACTGCGGAGGTGCACTACTCTGGCAGCTAAATGACTGTTGGCCGACGATCTCGTGGGCCATTGTGGACTACTTTCTGCGGCCTAAGCCTGCCTTCTACGTTGTAGCCCGTGTGTTGAATCCAGTTGCCGTGGGCGTGCGACGGGAACACCACGACTGGAGCATAACGCATGCACAACCTCCCAAGACAAGCAAGTTTGAGCTCTGGATTGCTAGTTCACTACAGGAGGAGCTTTCTGGAAAGGTGGAGCTTAGATTCCTTTCTGTGGACACTGGGCATGAGATACGGGAGCGCATTGTGCGTGAGGGTGTCAAGATAGTGCCCAATGGCACTACAAACATCATCACAGATGGTGTCATTGACCACACAATTGATTCCGAGCCACATGTCCTCGCCGCTCGGCTCTGGGTGAACGGTGACATTGCCGCGCGGGACGTGGACTGGCCACAGCCTTTCAAGTATCTTGATTTTTCGGATCGTGGACTCGAGGTGGTGAGGGTATCCCAAACAGCTGATCAACAGACATTCCAAATCAGCACACAGAAGCCAATCAAGTGCTTGGTATTTGAGGAGCGAGATGGCATCCGGCCTAGCGATAGCGCGATGGACATTGTGCCTGGTGATGACCAGACGGTCACGGTTACGGGACTGCGACCGGATGAGATCCTGAAGTACAAATTTCTTGGTCAATGATTGATAGGTTGGACGGGTTTCTTTACCAATGTCACTACGAGAAATTTTTTGATCTACTCTACGTAGGCTTCAAATGCATCTATTCAAGCAACCTAATGTAAACCGGTAGTTGAAGTGCCAACGGCAGACGACAGCGGCCATCGGGCACATAGTCTGCGCCCACAACCTATCAGACCCCCAATCCATATCCAAGCTACTGCAAAGCCATTCTATCTAGAACGGTTCTAAACGCGAAAAGGTTACTTAGCCTCATCAAGAGGCAAAGTTATCCCCCCTACCTATACCACTGCTGTCGCCCCCATCAACCGATCCACCAATGCCCTCGAGTTCGGTGCCCGGCCCAAGTACTGCGTCATTAATCCCAGCATGTCTCCATTTCCTCCACCAATCTGCAAGAATTCCCTCCGATACTCATCCCATGCATCGCGGTTGAAGGGATCATGAGCGAATTTAGTCTGAAAGACGTCTTCTGCGAAGGCGGCGCAACTAATCAATGGGTTGTGGTCAGATAAATGAGACGCATATGGCAGGAAGAGTATCATTCCTAGAGGGAAACAAAATATTCTTTGTAGTAATAACCGGAAATGAAGAAGAGAGAGGGTATTCCCATACCATAGATAAGAGTAATAACCCGCATCATAGGCAGCACACAGATGAGTAAAGGCGCAGTAATCGAACCCGTCTCGACATTCAGAGAAATCCATACCTTCGAGCTGGTGACGAAGGTCGTACCAGAGTTTGTGCATGTTGAGGGATGATAGGTCCTGGGGGTTTCGGAAGGAGTGGATTTTGAGGTCGAAGAGCGAGGTTGTTCTGGTTCTTGTTAGACACGTATATAGGGCAAGAAATTAATGAGTAAGGGAAGTTTTACAATTGCTCCAGATGATAAAGCCCCCGTCCCCAATAACGATATTTGACGAGGTTATCAACCAACTCGTCGGGAATCTTCTGCGGTGGGTCAGGCAGGCCGGGGTTCTGACTTCGCCATTTGGCTAGATAGTTCGAGTTCATAGTGGTGTAATGACAGCTTATACTCTTTAATACGTCAGGTATCCAGCACCAGTTTTCTAGATTAGTGCTAGGCATCTCGGATAAGTCGCGGGGGAGGTTGACACCGTGAAACCGGACATATTTGGTTTTTGAGAGGAGGTTGTGGATACCATGGCCGAGCTCTAGAACATTTCATATTGTTATACAATGAAAAGAGAAGCCTTTGGGGTATACAGACCATGAAATAAGGTTATCACTTGATGATGCTTGAGTAGAGCGCAGCTGTCTGGGGTGGGAGTGGGAAACGCGCACATGAGAATGGTGGAAGGATAAGATCTGCTGCCGTCGGACTTGGTGTATCCCTATCTTATTGGGTCAGTAAATGCCAGACTTCCTGTCTATAATTGGCGTGGGACCTACCGCCTCGATAGTCACGTTCTGGTTTCCTCGATACTTGTTCTCACGCCACAAGAGGTCGAAATGAAGATATCTGATGAATTCAGAGGAACGGTCATCCCAGACCGCAAACACTTGGACGCTCTCATGCCAGAGCTGGTCAGACTGCGCGGTGATGGCATCAAAACGCAATCCCAACACAGATGCAAATATCTCCAACATAGCTGCCGCTGTTCTCTCTACTGGAAAGAACTCAGCGATCTGGACGTGGTCGATTTGAAACCCCTTCTCGACCAGACGCTGATAATACATCTGATCCCATGCCGGAAATCTTCCTTCCACTTCTTGGTCTTGTGATTGTAGATCCTGGAGCCTATGTCTCTGCAATACTTCGACTTCTGTCTTTCCCCGTGCCACCAGATCATCCTGGATCTGACTCAGGAAGGTTTCCACCCATTGTGGTGTCTTCGCTATCCTTCTTTCCAACACCACTGCCGCATGCGAAGGGTATCCCAAAAGGTGCGCCTGAGAGGTACGTCGCTTGATGATCTCCTCAAAGATGGGACCATTGACTGCCAGCTTTCGGTTGTTCTCCAGGTACATCTTCTTACGAGTGTTCGGATTATTAGCCAGTGTTCCCACCGTCATCATCCCCCCATTGGCAAAGGGCACAAACACATAAATTTCTTGACTTGGGGTTTGCGTATTCGTCATCATCTTCCACTTGGCCAGATCATCGGCCGGGATGCCGTCCAGCTCTGACTTCACAAACCACACCCCGCCGTCCTCCTGGGCGAGATTGCGATTGAATGCGCTCTCTAACTTGGATATCTCTCTTTTTTCCTGTAGATATTCCTCGCGCTGAGCAGCACTCAGGACGCCCCATCCAGCTCGTCTGTACACCAGCAACTCTTCCTTTAAGAAGAGCGCCGACTCGGTGTCTAGTTCTTCATGCTTATCATGAACGGCTTGAACTAGACGATGGAAGTCTTCGTTGGAGGCCCATTGCAACTCCGCCGCCAAGAGAAGCTGGCGAGCCTGCGTGAACGCGTCTTGAGTTGCCATGTCAGGAGAGCCGTATTGAAGCATGTAGATCATGCCCAGTTCACCTTGCACGAGATTCTCGACATCGGCCCAGGGACGCAGCACTGTATCGAAGCTGGCAGTGAGAGGGCTGACGGTGCAGATAATCTCATCTTTAATGGCGTTTTGCTGTGAGACAATGCGTTGCATCGTTGGGATGATCTCGTGGACTTTCAAGACCCGGGGGAGGGACTGAGGGGTAGACATTTCGTGCTTGCCACATAACGGAACAGGAAGGTTTGTCTCCTCCATGTGAGGGGGCTGTGGGCTTATAACTTGGAAATCCCCTCTCTGTTGACTTCTTATCAGTTGGTTTAATGTATTATGGTTGGACTAATGCAGTTGTATCAGTGCACATGACTCGCTCCAACCAACCATATCGCCTCCCACGCAGCAACTAGTGCAGGGGTTGTCTTCCAGGTAGACACATTTTGCATTTGCTCAGATACGACAGAGCAGATAGAGCCCTGTGACCGTATGTGCTTATTTCTTCTTTGGAGTATATTATCCAAACTAAAGTCCAAATGCTGATAGCTTGAAATAGCTCGCATTTTTCACGGCGGGTTTCTGGAAGAAGGATACGGCTTTAGATAATCGCCTAGGGAATTATCACTCTAGAATAACATTAACATGGTATACAAGAAGCATAAGTAGTGTGCATTATATGATAACAAACAGTATCACGAGGTAATTGAAGGGGAACGAATGCTATTGTACTCTCAGTACTGGCATACAATCTCCCAAGATCTGATAGGTCTTACCACAATCATTAAATCTCGGGCTCCCAATACCCTAATTCAGTGAATCCACGAACAATTTTAATTATCAGTAAAACAGAGTAATCCAAATAAATCAGTGAAATACAATATAATAGTCTACAAGTCACATCCAACACCGGGCAGAGCCCATTCAATCTCCGCCACCAACCGATCAGATAAGATAACATCACCCCAAAGCAGTAAAGCCCCGCCGCAACTGAATGACATCTTCTCTTCCAGTTCCGTTGCATCACAATCCTTTCCTGCATCACACCACTCCACCACCCACCAATTCCCCTTCCCTCCCATGGCCGGAACCAAACGCACCTGGGACGGTCAATCACTCCACGACGAACCCACCAACGCCACCATTGAAACGCGCCCCCCAACCCAAGACCAGCCCACCATGGCAACCCAAGCCACAGAAGACCAACCCCAACCAACAAACCCAATCATCTCCATGTTCGAGACCTTCCGCGACGAACTAGACGAGCACCATGACCGTCGCGAACGACTGATAAAAACCAGTCGGGACATTACAGCTCTGAGCAAGAAGATGTATTACTACCTCCCCCTCCCCTTCCCCTCCTCTCACCTCTATCGCAACCGCTAACAATCTTTCTCACACAGTATCTTCTCTCTCCAACGGTACCTAACCCCCCCCCCCCCCCCCCCCAAACCCACCACCACCACCACCTAACCAAAAAACAGAATCCGAACCCTCAAAACCGCCCTCCCCGCAAACATAACCAAAGAAACTACCACTCGCTTCACCCAAATCCACAACCTCTTCACCTCTCTCCTCCCCGACCTCGCCGCCCCCCAAACACCTGGCGCTACCAACGACAACTCAGCTCCGGAATCCAAGAATTCATCGAAGCGCTCTCCTTCCACCACTACCTCACCACGCAGACTCTGATCACGCTCCCGGAGGTGCGCGCGCATTTACCTCCCCAGATCCTCGTCACGGAGGAGGATTATCTCCTGGGGTTGTTTGATTTGACGGGCGAGATGATGCGGTTTGCGGTTACGGCGTTGTCGGCTGGGAGTGCGGATGCTGGGGCTGGTGGGGAGGAGGCGGTAGGGCTGGGAGAGGAGCAGAGAGGTATTGTGGTGGATTTGAGGGATATGAGGAGTGGGTTTGAGGGGTTGAGTGTTCCGAGACGACATGTTATGTTGAAGGATATGGGGAAGAAGGTGGATGTTATGCAGGGGAGTGTCGAGAAGGTGGAACGTGCTGCGTATGGGATTTTGGTTAGGGGGAGGGAGAGGCCCAAGGGGTGGAGGCCGGATTTGGTTGTTGCTGGTGGAGGGGGTGGGGAGGAAGGGTATTGATTACTTTTCCCTCCCCCTTTGTTTCGTCATTGTTTGTCGGTTGCAGGTGGGTGTATGGTGATGTGTATATGCCGCGCTATATCCCGGGGCCATAACCCAAAGACCACAAAGCACACAAAACATCAACATCAATATGAATATCAATCAATACAATCACTAGTCCATGTGTGACTACCCATTACCGAACCCACACCCTTCATCCATATAGAAGAGAGTCATAAAAACCAATCACCACCTAACGCCCTTCATCCCTCATCCCTCACCCCGAATTAAACAACCGGAAACCTCGGATCCTCATCCTCCGTCAAAATGCCCTGCGAGATCAAATCCTCCGGGTTCGGACGATCCTGTATCTTCTGGTCCAGGTGATTCGCAATCATATGTTTCTCGAGTTCGCGCGCATGCGCCTGCAAGGCCGGGGCAGCGTGCGTAGTTGGAAGAATATTCCCTGTCCAATTTATCTTAGTACCTGTCCCCCATTCACTGTGGGTGATGGATATTATGTAGATTGAAAACGGGGGGGAGTACACCCACGCTCAACAAGCTCCTCGCGATCCGGTCTATGCTCGAGATGTTTCTTAAGACTGTCTGTTGTGTGATGGCGGGCGAGTTCTTGACGGGCGGCTTGGAGGGAGCTGGGATGGGTGGGTTACTGTTAGTTGGGGTGAAGTTGGAAAGGGTGTTTTGTAGGTGGGGGCATACGGAGCAACGTTCGTGTCGAGGAGAATGTGGCGGTCTTTGAGGACTTGCATGTCGGGACGGGTCTGGAGGTGTTTCTCGAGAGAGTTGCGACGGTCTGTGGGGGATGCGGAGATGGGGGTCTCGTCGATGCTGGGGGTGGCCATGGTTGGGTCCATTGCGGGGATCTAGTTGGATTGTGTTGATGGATGGATGGATGGATGTGGTATATACAAGGGGAGAATGTGGGAAAGTAGAGGAGAGAGGTAGGTAGATGGATGGATGGATGTGGGCTGACTGAGAGAAAAATAACAGATGCGATGGTTGCTCAGGAGATGATGAATGAAAGAACATTCATTGATGGGGGAGGGGAAGGTCAAGTGATGCATGCGGAGGATTCCACGGGACTGGCGGCGAGTCCCACTGGACGATGTCATCGACACCTGGTCGGTGGACAAGTGGACACCTGCACACCTGGACAGGTCACTACTACTCACTCACTGTACAAACAGGTCACTCCCTCCTCGGCTTGCATTCATAGTTGGGTAGATAGCTAGCAGTGAGCTAGTGATAGGTAAGCATTGTAATATACACACACACACATATCACCCTAATCTGCTTCTCTCCCCAGCCAACCAAGTATTCTCGTAGCAATCGAAAACATGTCCAACAAAAGTAACGCAAAGAATGACGGCTATATCTGTTTTGTAACTCCCAGAGTAGAATGTCGAACAGCTGGCTCGGGAACCCATTATTGTGCATTACCTTCTCCACCCGGCCACTGGAAGGCGAAATGAAAGCAACCGCTCATCCCTCCAAAACTGAACGGAAAGCAACGCCACGACATCAGGACCGTCATGAGCAACCCAGCGTCTGACTACCGCCTCGCCGACGGAGCGCATGCCACATAGCCCTAACGCCCTTTGTCCCCCCGTCAGAATGGTCATGTTGGGATCGAAACTGTCCCGTATCCGATTCGCTCTCGTCTACCGTATTTCGCATCCATGCCATCTGTCCAGGATCCGCTCGTCCCATCAATGTAGTCACAGTCGAATCCGACCAAAGTCTGACCATAGGCAGCCCGGGTAAGGCAGATCAGGACATCCATAGTGGTCTATTTCAAGGTTGAAAATATTCGGTCCGTCCACCGGCAAAGGGTCGACGGACCTCGACCATCGGATCAAGGAACCCAGAGCTTGCCACGACCCCGGCTGCTACCACGAGAAGGACCCCGAGATGCCCCCCGACGATTGTTTGAATAGTTCCGAGACGCGCCGGCAATGCCACGTGCGGCCCCGGACTGGGTGCTAAGATCAACGGTGGGCTTTTGCTGCTGCTTGGCCACCCCAAGCGACCGGCTGAAGGAGTTGGGGTCGATCGGCTGGGTAGGGATCTCCATCGTCGCCTCCACGGGCGGGGCGGCAGTCTTCAGCGTGGCAGCTTTGCGAGGGGCGCCGCCGCGCGAACCACCCCCTCTTGATGCTCCATTTCCACGTCCACGGGGAACAAACACAAGCTCATCCTCATCGCTTTCATCCTCGTAGGCAAGAAGGGATTTTGGTTCCGTAACCTGAGTCTTCTCCACATATTTGCACCGGTTTTTGTATTCTCGCTCTTCGTACTGGATCGAAGTCCGCAACTGGTGAATGTTCTTGACGCCAATGCCAAATTTCTGAGCCCAAACTTGGGTAGGTCGGTCGTTCGTAATCAAGATACAGGACTTTGCTGCATTGGACGCATCAGGGCCGTGGTGCAACCGCCACAGCAGGGCGCTGAGCAGAGGTCGGAGCATCAATGGCACTGTTGGGATAGTTGACCCAGACGCAGAACGGCGATGGCCGCTCTCCGGCTTCTTTTTGGCGTCCTTGAAAGCTCCTCCGTTCGCAAGTACGTGGGAATTCGAGCACTCCGGGCTGGTCCGGGAACTTCTGGTCGATGCGCGTGATGCAGGAGCACTGTGGGTGCCATTTGATGTGATCGAAACGGCATCGGACTCTTTCTTGAAATTCAGCTTGTTGAGAAGCATTTGCGACAGATCGTCCGGGGCAGCGCCGTTCTTCATGTCTTTGGCCTTATCCTCGCGATTCCGCTGCGCCACCTGATCGTCCGGGAGAACTCCGTTGGTGGTGGCCTCTGGCTCCTCCTCGAACTCAGGAAGGAAGAACTTCTCCGCCTCGGTCCAATTCTCATACTGCTCCATCGGGCCTTGCAGAATAACCCGCTCGGCGGAAATGTTGTCTTTGCCGGACGTGACACGGTCGAGGAACCGGACGGCCTCCCGAGCGTTGATGGCGACCTGAGAACCGGCTCTCTTCAAGGCATGGAGGCGTTCGAGGGCTAGAGGAGGCCTCAGTCAGCAGATGGAGGGTGTGTGTCGTCGGATGACTCACTGTAAAGTGGAACGATGAGAGTGATGGCACCGTTGGTGGTCCATTTTTTGATTTCGCTGATATTGGTGGTTAACGCCGTCTCGTCCACGGCACAGTGGAAGACCTTGCGTCCGGTCGACATGGCTGACTCAAAACGGTCGACAGAACCGGTCGCGTAGTTGAAGGGGGGGGGATACTGGAAAGGCACAACGGCCCTAGACCGAACAGCTAGCTTTGACGACTGCGACCGAGCCGCAGGCGTGGTTAGCGTGGTACTGAAGCCCGCGAGAGAAGTTTGGATTGGGATTAATGGAGGCGGAGGGCCTGGGAATGTGGGGGCCCTGCGCTCGACGACAGAACAATAGGCCTCCAGACCCCCGGTTGCCAGTCCAGAGACCAGGTGAAGAAAATAAGGAAAAGAAGTCTCACTCACAATGAAAACCGCGTTCACCAAGGAAGATCATCTGCAGCATTTTGTGTTCGGATTAAGTGATCGTGGATGGGAAGAATCGAGGCGAGATGGTGAGCGAGGAATGAATCCATCAGCGGATCAACTGAAAGCCGCGGGATTTGCCTGGGCCTGACTAAGCGCCGGACGAGCAAGACCAAACAATCATCATCATTCATCATTCATCATTCACGCCTCATCGCATGCACACCTCAATGGCTGAGTGACTCAATGGCAGCCCCCTGTGAATCTCCGGCCAGTGCACTCATCACTACACGTCTACCCTATCCGGTGGTTCCCTGTGTACCGTCTAGATGGCTCATTCTATCTCTGGTATCGGCGGATGCTGTAACGAGCTCGAAATGGAGGTGGGAGAAAACGCTATGTCATACAGGACCCGATGATCATCAGGTCATACCAATATCCTCCTCGCCTTTAGCAGCAATGTCAGCTGCCTTATTTTCCCGTCCCTACGTTTCCTTCTTGATGAGACCCTCTTCCGGCTTGACACGTTGTGCCCATTCACTACCACCGTCGTAAGCTACGGAACGTTGTAGAAAGTCAAGGACCAGGGAAGAAACTTACGTCCAGCTCCCGTCGTATACCCTCCGCAGATTGGGCTCTCCGAACTCCGCTTCGCCCAATGCCGTCTCGATGATAGTCGCCGTCACACCAGTTCCACATGAGCTGATGATTGACTTGGACGTATCCAGATCTTTTCCTTCGAATATTTTGCGTAGCTCGGGTCCGGGGAGATATGTCTTGGTCTCCGGGTCCAGCAGCTCCTGAAAAGGCAAGCTTTGGGAGCCAGGAATATGTCCCGATGACAGCCCCGGACGCGGCTCAGGATCGCTTCCCGCCCAGCGGCCGTACGAACGTGCGTCCAGGATCTCCACTTCTTTGGCACCCTCCTTTCTGTGCTCCTTGGCAATTTCCTTCAGCTCCCGGTAGGGGATCACGAGCTTCGAGTCGTAGGTAGGCACAGGGTAGCTGGTTTTCTCCGGCTGGAAGGGCTCGCCAGTCTCCGTCGGGTATCCTTCGCGAACCCACAGCCTGTAGTTGTTAAGGACATGGACTCGGGGATGTCCGAAGACTCGAAGAGTCCAACCAACCCGGGGCGCGCTGAAAATTCCTAGCTCCTCCGTGTCGTAAACCACAACTTCATCGTCGCGTCGAATGCCAAGCTCACTCATCGCCTCAGCGAATGTCTCGGCGGTGGGAAGCATATGCGGGTAGGGCGAATCATGATCCTTGATGCCATCCAGATCAAAGAAACGCGCCTGGGGAATGTGGTGCTTGCGGAAGATATCAATTCCCTTACGACCCTCGGGGTCGTTCGGCATGAACCAGGCCGCGCATAGAGGAACTACACGAGGAGAGGTTGAGATCTTTGTGCGAGGGTTTTTCTTAAGCGCGGCATCGAGCTCCTTGGGTGTAATCAGGTATGAGGAGAAGGAAAATTGGCGTGTTTGGTGTGCAATCGACATGGTCGGCCGAGCCAGGCGAGTCGGTGAAGGGATAGAATTACGAAGGGCTGCGAACGCCATGATGAGGGGAAGAGGAAATAGATATGGAGGATCGAGTCAAGGATTATTTACATTCCGCTCAGACAGCGGCGTCTGATTAATCAATCCTCCTGCAGGCACGAACGATGGTAGGACGAGGGGGAGAGAAGGGCGTGGTTAGTGGGAAGCGCAAGATGCATGGACAATGACGGGAGCGTTTCCTATCAGTCCCTCCTCACAAATGCGGAGGCGGCCATGTGAAAATCGGGACAGGAAGGCCGCTTATCGCCCGCTCCACTTGCTCGCACCTTTCTCCTCTTCGTCCCGACACTAACTAGCCCATTGCTTTGCAATCCAATCCAATCATCCCCAGCTATGAAGGTCACCATCAAGGAGTGGAACGCCGTCGCCACCTGGCGCTGGGATATGCCTGATGATGAGGTCTGTGGCATTTGCCGGGTTCAGTTCGATGGCACTTGTCCAACTTGTAAATTTCCGGGCGACGATTGCTCCCTATGTAAGTAACTGAACCTGCCTTCCCTGTTCAATCAGTGGAGTCATTAACTTGGCAATTTTCGCAGTGCTGGGAAAGTGCGGTCATTCATTTCATATGGTGCGATTGTGGATTTGGATGTCCTCATACTGAAGAACCAATACTGACAGAACCAGCACTGCCTCATGACCTGGATTCAACAAGAGTCCTCCAAGGGACTCTGTCCGATGTGCAGACAGAGTATGTAACTGCTTCTCCTGTTTCCACCTACGAGTACTAAGCCTAGCTACAGAATTCGAGTGGAAGCAAAACGATGAGGAGGAAGAGGAGGAATAGCCCACCTCGATTGTTTAGTTTACAACCTGACCGGGCTGCTCAAGGCGTTGGAAGGTCCCTTACATATGATACCCTGCGCTTGTATTCTCCTACTGTTCGCATGAAAGCAATCTCCCTTCTGTGTATAGATCCTTAGCAACAAGGCATCCAGGCATCCTGTTTGTTTACCTCCGCAGATCGGGTCACCTGACGCTATCGATAAGCAGGCAGATGATCCGCGGCGAATCCGGCAGTTTCCCCAGATACGGGAAGCTTGCCTGGCTCCCAGTAGTGATCTCAGGTACCTGCTCTGCTGCCCTGCCCTGTCCTCTCCAAACCCACCCCATCCACTCCCCTGCTAACCATGTAGCTCCGAGCCACCAGACATGTCTCTCCCCAAGCACACCTCCCCCTCTCCCTTATCCTCCTCCCCCTCCCGGCAATCAATCCGCCGAACTTCAGGATCTCGCCCACAGAGCATCATCGACCGACCCGGCACAGCCCAGCCTGTGACCGACATCCCAGAAGAGCACGACCCTCATGACGCAGCTACAGCGCCACCAACGGCAAATATCCCCATCGATCAAGAAAGACCTCACGACATAACCCCCACCTTCCAACCATTCTTCACTCTAATCGAAGACGCCAACTCATCCGAATACTACCACCCCACAGTCCACTATATCTTCTCCGATGACGACATCGACATTGTGACCGAGGCCGCCCTGCGCGCTGTCGAATCCGAACACGACATCTTCCCAGCAAACGGGAAAGGCAAATCGAAATCGACGCGTGATCAAAGTCAGCACCGCCACGAGGCAGAAGGCCCGGAAGACACATACCACGACGACGATGAATACGCCAACCACAGAAAGGAACCCCTCCTTCCGGAACCTATCCCGGGCATCCGTGACAATTATGTGATCCTTGATATCGACTATGCATCTCCGGACGGCGCGCAGAACGAGACTATGGGCCCGAATACCGACGGTGCGGCTAGTTCTCATGAAACCCAGGGTTCATCATTCCCGCAGCAGCAGCGAACCTCACCTCAGAAGTTTACTGTGACATCCGCGCATAGTTTGTCGCCCGCATGGCAGGTCTTGAACACGCAAATCGAGAAGAACAATTCGTCCGGTGGTCAGCCGCCTAATGGGGGACTGGTGCTGAAGATTCAAGGCACAGCAGGGCTACCTATGACGATGTTAGGAAAGGACAAAGATAGGGAGAAGAGTAGTCAGCGATTGGAAGATATGATGGACCAGTTTGCAAAGAGACTAGCGGAACTCAGACAGGTTATTGAGGCAGGGGAGCAGACGGAAGAACTCGTTGAGGACACAAGACTCCCTGAGGAAACAAACACAGAGCATGGCCCTGCGGAGAACCCCGAACAGCCGATCGAAGCCCAGACTATTGTCGGGGGTGGCGTGGGGAACGACGGACAATCTGCAGAGAAAGATGAGCTGTTAACCACAGAGTAACCCTGGGCTTGTCGCCGGGAATACGCATTGTGGCACCTATCATCCATGGGCTCTAGACCAATTAATCTACGGTCTTACAAGCGTATATATATAGCCGTGAAGAGTAAATCGTGTTATCTATCAACGACAATCAAGGTATCTATACCAGAAACAGAATTTGAAAACGCCTGAACACCAGATCGTAGGACTTTAAGATCATCCCATCAGGTAGTAAAAAGCAGACCCAGATAGTAACCATCTCATCCAGCCGACCAAGGCTCAAAAATGGTTCTAGGCAACTGTCGTTCTCCAAATATTCCGCCAATTCCCAGGGGTATCCCATAACGCCTGCCACCACCAAGCGAGCAGTGTAATATCCATGCACAGGAAAAGAAAGAGATTTTAGCGTGCGGTTTAATTGAAAGGCTGGCTTCTCAGCTTTCTAGCGCTGGAGGGAGGAACATTCTCCGGTCCCTCCATCATCCCAGCCATCTTTCGCGTAAGCATCTTCTGCGAGAGCTTGCTCTCCGTTATGGAGAGATTCGAGCAGCGTCGTTTCGCGGGAGGTTGGTTTGTGCCCTCATTGCCAGGCGTGTGACCCATGGTATTCAGAGGCGTTTCCGCAATCGCAAGAGATGACTTGCGCGCCAGGGCATGGTCCCCAGCATTAGATGCGCGCGGTTTTACGACGTTTGCATCGACTTCCCTAAGTCCCGTGTTGGAAGGAGTGACCGCGGTTTTGGGTGGTAGAGTTCCTACCTCGTCCTCGGCATCGTTGAAAACGAAGCCTTTGGATGGGGGAGATCCAGGAGAGCTGTCAAGCGCCGGAAGCTGGTCTTCACCACTGAACGGCAATGCTGAGAATTGCCTCGATGTTCTCATCCTGGTTTTCAGGGAATCATGGGCCTCTGTCCGGGGCAAATCCGACGGATAGTCGTATCTGCATTTCTTGGGAGTTGCGCCGGTAGAGGCATAGTCCTCGAATTCCCGGTTTTGGATATTGTCGCGAAGCTCTGAGAGCGGCTTCCGAACATCATCGGACAGTGGCATGGCTGACTCTTGCAGGTTGATCTGCTGCTGAATTGCTCCCTCCTGTAGTTCGCTTAAACGACCGCCAAGTTCCGTGAACTGTGTATTGACCGAAGAATACGACTGGTGGACATTGGATGCCATATTCTGCAGGCTTGAGAGGTGGGCATCGCGGTAAAGGCCATTCTGAGAACGCGCCTTGGCCACGAAATCATCTAGGTCTTCCATTTGCTTGCTCATGTTGTTCATCTGAGCATCAACAATACGGACTGTCTCCTGATGAACGGACTCAGTGGCCTTCTGAATTGAAGCATTACGTTGATCGAAGACCTAACAATATTAGCACCACACTGACGGATATGAGTATCCATAGATTGAAGCTCACCTCCCAGTCGCTTTGCATCTTGGTTCTTATCTCGTCTTTCGATGCAGTGACATCCTTTGCAAATTGCTCCGACTTGAATACCCACTCGTCGACCTGTCGATCATATTGCGCGGTTGTATGCTCGAGGAAGTCGCCTGTGGTAGAAAGATCTGTGCGCATAGTCTCCACCCTGCCTTTCAAGCGTCCGAATTGCCTTTGACGAGACTCTTCAATCAATGACTTCATCTGCGAAAGCAGGAGCTCGCGCTCGGCTTCTGCATTCGCGCTTTCTTCTTCAAGTGTCTGTGCCAAGTTGGAAGAGGCCCTGCGGTTAGCCTCTACAGCCTTGATATTAGCCCCCTGCAGCTCTAGGCGCAATCTGTTGATTTCGGCCTTTTGTCCGTTAAGATGCGCGACCATTTCCTCGAACATTGACTTGAAGTCCTTTCCGAGAGCGCTGTAAGATGAATGCAGCTATATGAGTTAGCACGACTCAAGGCTAGATGTGCGTGGTGTTCAACTTACCTGTGCGTGAAACTCGGCGAATTCGCCAATCACTTCTTTAGATATACGAGCGGCGGCAGCTGATAGACCATTTAGGCCCTCTCCAACCTTGCGCTTGACTTCCTCACGGAGATCCTTGATCTCTTCGAGGACCTCATTCATCTCATCATGAGCACCCGAGGTCTGAGCATTTGCCTCTCGCTCTGCCCTCTCAAACGAACCAGCAGACTCCAACAATTGGGTTTGGTTCGTTTCGATATTACCAAGCTCACGCGTGACAAACTCATTGATCTTGTCCGACATGGCTTCCACAAGCTCTGAGTGCTGCTCCTGAAACGCTTCCACTTTGGAGTCAATAACTGTAGTCACGTCTGATACTTCAGCAGTGGACACCTGCCACGCCTGCTTGTTGGCAGAATCGAGATCTGACTTGCGTTGTATCTTGGCGTGTAGGCCGTTAATATCTTCGACAGCAGTATCAAGAGTTGACAAAAGGCCCGCGCCAATATCGCGAAGTCTTACTTCCGTATCCTCGTGTGCTTTGCGCAACATTTCTTCCTCCTCAAGCTGTGCCCTTGTATCCTTTAGGATAATCTCGGTTTGCTCAAGGATGTCGTTTGTATTAGCAAGCGCAGCACGCGTGTCTTCGTTATTCCTCTTCAGGTCATTAAAGTTGCTAGTGAGTGTAAAAAGTTCCTGGACTTTGTGCCGTAGGCTGGACTCCATGGATTCGATCTTGGCGCGCTGCTCCTCATTTACAATTCTTCGGGATTCGCTTTCCATGGTCATTTCCTCATAGGCATCCACGCTCATATAAACACCGTTCCGGTGTCTCGTAGCGATAAGCTCTCCCTTCAACTTTTCGATTTCGGACGTAAATTCACGCAGCAGGGTCTTCTTCGGCATGGTGGAGTTAATCTGGGGCTTGTTCCGGATGTTTTTGGCTCTAAACGCATAGTCCAGGGTGGATATCGTTTCCTCCAAGTTGCTCCGCGAAGGCGATACTGTAGCGATAATGCATGTCTTAGTCCGTCCTCCTAGAGAATCCTGTAGGAGACGGGTGAGCTTGGATTCCCTGTAAGGGATATGGGCGCTCTTGTCGACCAAGGCGTTGATGACGCGACCCAGAGTCAGCAAACTCTTATTGATCAGGCCAGCTTCGGTCGCACGCTTGTTTTCAGCACCACTCCGCTGGATATTTTCACTGCCGGCCAAGTCGACCAGGTTCAACTTTCCGGAGCTAATGTATTCCTCACCGGACTCTGTGGTTCGCTTCGTCAGAACAGTGATGGTGAACACTGTATGACTCCGTGAACTCAGGTCATTGCATTTCGTCGCAGCGACTTGCCGCTTATGGCTGCCCTGTTGTAGCAGCTTGATACCAGCTGATGCCGAGTCGATGAATGTTTCCTCCATACCCTGTACAAGAGTGCTTCCATGGCCTTTTTTCGACTCGTTCTCAAAGATCTTCAGTTTCGGGTTTTCTTCGGATGAGAGCAAATCGCGGAGCTCTTCATTATATAGCTCAATGAAAGAACACTTTACAGTGCTCTCTGTTTCCTGAAGCTTGTGAAACAAGGAGTAAAGCACTCGCGGGATAATACCGGCGTTGTCCGATAGTATGCCCAGGGTATCGGTCATGTCGCCGGACATTGTGTATGTCTTTCCGGTTCCCGTTTGTCCGTAAGCGAAGATTGTGCAGTTGTAACCAGCAAGCATTTCGTTGACAATCGGTAGAACCACATCTTCGTAAACTGTGACTTGATCGGCAGCTGCTGAAAAGACCTTGTCGAATGTGTATGCCTTGTTTGCCAAAGCATTCGGGCCCATTGACAACTCAACAGCCTTTCCTTTTACACCCTCGGGCGTTGATACCACGACTCCGCTTTTCTCTTTGATCTCTCTGTCATTGCGGCCTCGACATCTTACCACAACATGGATGCTGGTGTCTTCGTTGATCTCACGCTCGAAGTCTCTTTCTTTGCGCTTCGCAATAATACTCGATGGTTCGGTCGGGGATTTCAATGAGCGCGAACCGCTGGAAGAAGGCGTCTTGGATGTAATTGCTGGAGAGCTTGCTCTGACCGAAGCCGCAGTCGAACCAGCCCGTCTTGTCGGTTGGCGCGTAGTCGCAGTACGTCTTGTTGGCAGCCCAGAGGCAGGCCGTTGTGGGCCGGCCATAACGGACTATACAATAAGAACCAGTATCGAAATATGAGATCGCAATGAGGCAGTAATAGTTAATGCCGCGAGCTTGCAAACTACGCAGACAGCATAAGGCGATATTGTGGGTGGCGGTTGTCGGGGTTGTCGGGGTTGTCGTCTTAAGGAGGTCAGTTATTTATTGATGTTGTTGCGGGAATCTCAAAACGGAAAACGTAAACAAAGCCGTCACACCGCCCACGTGCCGCCCACCCCCGGTCATGCCCCCCTCTCACATGATCCCATGCGTTCATCGCCTCGCCTGTCCCCCGCCTCTCTCCTCCTGACTATCCGGCGACTCCTCTTCCTTTGGACTCTTTTGTGATCCAGAGCATCGAGCTTTCTTCTAGTCGGAGCCCTGCACAATTGTAAATCTGGCCCCAGTGGCAGTGCCCTGCACATCCGACCTCTACCCCTTGACATATATACGTACCACCTACTAACGCACCCGGCCCCTCATATCCCCGCCCCAGGATGAGCATCGGCAGCAATTCATCATGAGTTCCTCCAAACCTTCACCGCAGGCTCAGATCTTCCCGGGGAAAGGACTGGGATTTATAAGCATGTTGAGTCATTACCGTCCGTTTCGGACATGGCTAATCGGTGTCGCATAGCTCTCGGAGCCTCCCTTCACAATGTCCTAAGCCGCGTCAAGGCCCATCCCCAGATATACCCCGCTATTGATATTGCCTATTCCTCCTCGGAGCCCCTTCACAAACCGGTAACTTTGCAACTTCCATCAAGCGGTCTGCGTCTGCGGTTCGACGGACCCGACCAGCGGCTTCGTTTAATCGAAGTCCTGGACTTTTCCAAGATTACACTTGTTTATAAGAATCAGGAGGTGCTGAAAGGCGCAAAGCCGCAGGAGCAGTCTGTGGCACAGCAGGGTCCTAACTTTCGCCATGTCTACAACCGTCTCTTCGGGCCTTCCTATCCTGGGGAGTATATTCCTCCCGATAGTCCTCAATCACCGTATGGCACGTATGTGCTATCGTATCCTGGAGTCGCATTCTCTTTTCCGCTCCAGAACTCAGCATGGTCCGATCAATGTGACTTTGTAGCATTGCTTTCCTCTTCGGCAGCCTTACCGGCAACGTCTATGGCCATTTTCCAAGGCCCCTCGTGGCCTGAATCTCGAAACAAACTGTTTACCCAGCAGCCGCAGTTTCCACGCTCGCCCGCTTTGGCAAGTAAGAGCAGGGAATCGGTCTCGGACGAGATTGAAGAGTTTCTCGTCTTTGGCGCCGGCAAGATCGAAGTAGTCCGAAGGTCGACTCCATCTGCACAGATCATGCTGTCTGAAACCTCTCCGCAGGACCTAGTCGCGGAGTTCGGGCCGCCGGATGCCATCTACCGTAAACATGATCGGAGAATAGCTATCCATCGCGCCGCCGGTCGTAGCGGTGGAGAGGACCCTCTTCACATGGGTCCATCTCCAGGGAGAGGGATAAATGTTACTGACATCGACCAATCTTCAACTAACAGTGTTACTGATGACTCAGACGACGAACTCTTCCAGCCAAGCGCATTGGATCCTTCGTCGCTACCAACCGAGTGCTTTTTCAACTACTTCCACCACGGTTTTGATGCGTTCATCTCCTATCCGACCATGCCTGGCCCTGCCTTCCCGGGGTCCGATCAGAAAGATCCTACCCCACCTTCACCTTCTTCGCAGCTAGTGGTCACCAAAATCATTTTACATGGAAACGTGCCGGGGTCGTATCCTTTCAATCGTCACCGCCGCAGCCGATGGAAAATGATATTCAATCCACCTGATGATATTGTTACCTCGGAGACTCGCTACGAAGAGGTTTCAGAGCGCCTCAGGTCAGTTTGGAAGGGGTCTTATGCGAGCGCGGCGGAAGAGCGGGCTCTGCAACGGCCCATGGTTTTGAACCGAGGGTGGGGTGACAGCCCAGAGAGCAGCGTCGAGTTCCTCGGCGGATGGGAAGAGAGCACGGGCAAAGGACAAAGAACGGGCCACGACGCCCATGACGGCGGACTGGGTAACACGGAGCTTTTCGGATTCCCCGGCCTGTTGTTCGAAGTGATGAAGAATGGGGCGGTAAGCTGCTTGACTGTGTATTGACAGCGATCTTTCTAGCAAGGGTGAGCCGGAGTTTCGGGTTCTGCATATTTGGGCAAGGCATCAGTATCATCATTGACGCAATATTGCATGTTTCGATAGAAGTATTGTATTAATCACAAGTCGGGGACGCATTTCGGGTTTGCGCGGTGTATTTAATTTGATGGTGATATCGAATGACAGTCTTGCTACAGTGGATGTTGTTTTAATTGGCCACTTGGGTAGATTACCGTAATACCGATACCCACCTCTCCCGGCGCATCGGAGTTGAGATTCTTGAGACCTCCGCTTCTCAACCCAAGTCAAGCTCACTCAATTGACCACTCTCAGCAGGTGGGATATGATCCAGCGGTAGTATGCCGGACCTGCCACTGAAGCTCGCTCGGTCCTGGTCGTCGACGCTCAAGCTCCCCAAATCGACGTTTCCCGCACGCGTGACGCCGGCCGATCAGACAAAATACTTGCAGCGATGCACCGACGACCTTTACGCCTGGCAACAACGTCAGAGACCGGCCAGCCGGCCATTTGTCTTGCATGATGGACCACCATACGCAAACGGAGAACTTCACATTGGACATGCTCTCAACAAAATTCTAAAGGACATCGTCTGTCGCGTGCAACTGGGCTTGGGAAAGAGGGTACGATACGTGCCGGGATGGGATTGTCATGGCCTGCCAATTGAGCTCAAGGCTCTCGAGGCGCAAAAGGAACTACACCAGGAAAATGGACCTGTTAGCGCAGCTTTGATACGGAAGGCTGCACGGAAACTGGCAGAGCGGACAGCCAAGGCGCAGATGAAGGGGTTCCGGAGCTTTGCGGTCATGGCTGATTGGGAAAATCATTGGAAAACACTGGACAAGGCTTTCGAAAAGAGACAACTTGGTGTCTTTCGTGAAATGGTCGATAAAGGATTAATCTATCGGAGGTTCAAACCGGTCTACTGGTCACCGTCCACCGGCACCGCGCTGGCGGAGGCAGAGCTAGAGTACAAGGAAGATCATGTTTCAACCGCCGCCTTAGTGAAATACCCTCTTGCTAGCATCCCGGAACATCTGGCACAAGATCCTTTGCTCAAGGATAAGGAAATCAACGCTGTTATCTGGACCACTACCCCCTGGACTCTCCCGGCAAACGCAGCCATCTCAGTTCATCCATCTTTGGAATACGCGATCGTCGACTCGGATACGCAGGGCTATCTTCTCATTGCGCAATCTCGACTGGAGTATCTTGAGGCTATTCTGAAGGAGGATCTGTCGGTCATTGTACCGGCTATTCCTGGCTCGAAGCTGGCTGATCAAACCAAGTACCGACCCCTGTTCAAGGGACCTGATGCGGAGCCACAGCCCATCATTGCTGCGGATTTTGTCACTGCTGATTCTGGATCAGGTCTTGTTCATTGCGCTCCAGGCCATGGTATGGAGGACTACGAGGCTTGTCTATCTCGAGGGATTCCCGCCTTCGCTCCTGTGGACGATCACGGCAGATTCACCGACAAAGCCATGCCTAGTGACCCGAAGAGACTAAGTGGAAAGAGCGTCTTGGATGATGGAAATGCCGCAGTTCTCGAGTACGTCGAATCGCAAGGTCAACTGATAACAAAGCACCGGTACGAGCACAAGTATCCCTACGACTGGAGGTCCAAGCTTCCCATTATCATCCGAGCTACGGAGCAGTGGTTCGCCGACGTGGCCGATATCCGTAGCAGCGCCATGGCTGCGCTAGAAGATGTCAACTTTGTACCGGCCACTGGGAGACAAAGACTGGAGAACTTCGTCAAGAACCGTAGTGAATGGTGTATCTCGCGCCAACGCGCCTGGGGTGTGCCTATCCCTGCGCTTTACCACCGCGGCACAGGCGATGCTTTGCTTACGAAGGACAGTGTGTCACATATCATGAGTGTAATCGAGGAGCGCGGCATTGACGCATGGTGGACTGATGAGGCCAACGACCAGGCTTGGATCCCGTCATCTCTGCGAGATGCATCGGGCCCTGGTTACAGACGAGGAACCGACACCATGGATGTATGGTTTGACAGCGGCACCAGCTGGACTGAGATTGACATCCCTTACCGTGACGGTGGTTATCCTGCCGACGTCTACCTTGAGGGCACAGATCAACACCGTGGATGGTTCCAGTCTGGACTTCTCACCTTTGTCTCCCACCAGCTCGCTTCCGGACAGACCACTTCCCCTCGCGCGCCGTTCAAAAACCTTATCACTCATGGTTTCACTCTGGATGAAGAAGGTCGCAAGATGAGCAAGTCGATCGGAAACGTGATGCACCCACAGTCGATCATGGATGGAACCCTCCTACCCCCCCTCAAGCCAAGAAAGGGTAAGGGAAAGAAGCAGGCCGAAAACCAGGCACCAGTCTACGATGCGCTCGGTCCGGACGCTCTCCGGATGTGGGTTGCAAGCAGTGACTACACGCGGGATGTTGTGATTGGGAAACAAGTACTTCAGACCGTCAACACCAGCCTGCACAAGTACCGTGTGACCTTCAAGCTGTTGCTAGGTGCTTTGTCAGACTTCCAGCCACAGGATCATCTTCCATATGATCAGCTCCAGCAAGTTGACCGTATCGCACTGAAGCATCTGTCTGAGACGGTCTTGACCTGCCAGAAGGCGTGCGAGAATTTCGAGTTCTACAAGGCCGTGAATGCGATCAACCGCTGGGCCAACCTCGAGTTCTCTGCATTCTACATGGAGGCCATCAAGGATCGGCTCTACACATATGCTGAGAACAGCACCAGTAGACGTGCTGCACAGACGACGTTGTTCCATATTTACCACCACCTTCAAGAGGTGTTGGCTCCGATCACCCCAATGATTGTGGAAGAGACGTGGGAGCACACCCCTGAGGCCATCAAAGCGCATTGCGAACATCCTCTGAGACGAATCGCTTCTGCGCCAGCCTCCGAATGGCAGGATCAAGGTCTGGAAGCGGACTACCAGGATATTGTAGCAGTCAACTCGGTTGTCAAGACCATCCAGGAAAAGGCCCGGGGTCAGAAGCAGATGGGCTCTTCCCTGCAGTCATTTGTCCACATCGTTCTTCCGGAGGGTGCTACGCCTGACTCGGTCTTCCAGCGCAACCTCTCCGAGCTCCCTGATGTATTTGTTGTCTCGTCGGTCAGCCTCGGGGCGCACGAGAAGTCGATCCCGGAAAACATCAGCACCGCGGAGTGGCAGTACAGCGAGGAGTACGAGCTTCCGAACGGAGGGAAAGGCACTGTACATGTGTATACCCCGCAGGCGGGCAAGTGTCCGCGCTGCTGGCGGTATGTTGTGCCCGAGCCAGAGGCCACGGAAGAGAAGGTGTGTGGTCGCTGCGAGGAGGTTGTGCAGGAGCTGGATGCTTCGGCCTGAGTGGACTAGGTTCTTGGTCGCATGTTTTGCATGTATATTATAATAATAGGAACTGTTAATGACAGGTCGTGTACTATTACTGTCAAGCTGGCCGCTTCCTACATAAAGTGACTAGTGGTGACTTGTGGACTGATTAGGGATGGCGTCATTCCGCGGCAACCTCCGGAGTTTCACTCGCGACCAGCGGCGAGCCTGCGACCCTCTCGTATCATGCAACTTCCTCCGGGCCTCTGCTTCAGTCCAGCCAGGGTGCCCCCCCGAGTACCAGAGGACATTGGCCGGCACCGATTCCTACAGGTTACACCATTCCCCTCAATGCTGCGGCCGCATCCGCCATGATTGGCTCTCTTCCGAACCCGAATCTCAATGACGACAACGTCGAGGTCAGCATGACGACGGTCGCTGCTTGCTGTGAATCCCGACATTTTTCAGTCATTCCCAGACTCTCTGCTAAATGGGTGATGGCTAGGCGGCACCTCTGCATTCCCAGCCCCAGTTAAATACTCCAGTCGATCCCCGTTATATGCACATTTCCCCCGCAAGATTTCTCTACATCGAACAGTCTCTGCAACATCTTGAGTGTCGATAAGCCTGTCAAAAGCCATCAAAATGATCGAGTCCTTTGTCAGGGAGACTCAGTCTTTCCCTTGGCCTGAGCCCACTCCGACCTCGTCGGTGGCTCCAATTCCCACCGTCGTCCCCGGGAGTGATCCCATCTTCCAGATGCTCCATGACACCGGGAAACGGACCCTATGGTAGTCTTCCTCTTCTCTTGTGATCGAAAAGCGGCTAACTTTTGTCGAGCAGGGTGGTTACTGTGCTTATGGGTCTCTCCTCTCTCGTGTTCTACGTTCTAGGTGCTCGAGTGCCCCTTGTAAGTCCAACACAGCCCCAGCAATATCCAAGGCAGGCAAGACAGGCAACTAACCAGATTCCGTTCAGAGCAAACGCGTATTCCATGTCCTTGTCTCCCTAGCCAGTACAATCTCCTTTATCGTCTACCTCGCCCTCGCAACAGGGGAAGGCATGGACTGGAAGCTCGACGTCGTCAAAGAGCACAACAAGCACGTCCCTAACACCACACAAGACTACTACCGCCAGATCCTCTGGCTCCGCTATATCCTCTGGTTCCTGACCGAGCCATTGGGTCTCATCAGCCTGTCCCTGCTCTCCGGTCTTCCGGGCGCACACTTGCTCATCGCCATCGCAGCAGACTATGTGATGCTCGGCTCCGGCATTCTGGGCACCTATGCCGGCCATACCTCGCGCAGATGGGTCTGGTTTACCATTAGCGCGATCGGGTACCTGACGACAGTGTACCACATCAGTGTCCATGGTAGTAGGGCGGCAAGCAACAAGGATGTCCAGACGAAGCGGTTCTTTGGAACCCTTTCGGGCGTGATGTTGTTTGTCAAGGTTTTGTACCCTGTGTAAGTTCGCATCCTCCAGGCCTTAAGAGACGAACTAACTGAAATAGGGCCCTCGCTGCCGGAGCTCTTGCTCTGAAGATAAACGTTGATGTAGAGACTATTCTGTTCGCCATCTACGATATCTTCTCCCAGGGTATCCTCGGATACTGGCTGATTCTTGCGCATGATGGCGCTCCCGGAATGTATGTACAGATTCAACTGCACTGGATCGTGGAACCTGCACATTCTAATTGCTAAGACTGGATGCTAACTGTCATATCAGCACCCTCAATGTTGACGGCTTCTGGTCCCATGGACTGGGCAACGAAGGCGCCATTCGCATCAGCGAAGAGGATGGAGCGTAAACCACAAGCCATGCCCGGACCACCAGGTACATCGAGATGTACACGGGGTGAACCATCAATTTGACCTTATCCTGGTCTGGACATGGAGGTTTACTGACCCACACTGTCGCTACCGTGTCAACACCTTCCTTCCGCCAACTTCCAACTTCCAACTCACCTCCGCTCTTTAATCATGACATGACATGACCTGACACTTCTAGCATCATCAACAGCCAGTATGACACTAATATGAACCCTGAATACCACGCACTTGAAAAAAATGTTACGCAAGCGGACGGTGCATTTGCCTGGACGGGTGTAATAATGAAGCTCTACTTCCTGAACGATCGTTGCATGTCTTGATTCTGCACATCCTGTATAGCTTGTTTGGGCGTTCTGAGGTAATAATCTGCTTGAGGTCTTGTGTACGGTGTTGTTCGAAGAAGAATTATTATCGTAGTAACAATATCAGATTGTGACTGAATGAATGCTGCACTACCATGATAACCTACTAGAGCAATCTGCGTAACCCAGTCCGGTTTGATATCCTTGAAAGAAGAAGCGCCACAACAGTTTCACCATGTAGTACAGCCTTATTGACTCACCGTCAAGTGATCAATCAATAAACAATCTACCCTTGTTCAACGGGATATGCACATGAGCAATACTAGTACTGGAAATGGGCAGGCGCCTAGTTGACCTTTATTATTTCCTGTTTAGGTAAGGGAAAGTAGTCAATATTAATTCTATTCGTTGCCAAGATATTTCACAGCATCGAACTAGTATCTAGCAATTATATACTAGGTACGTCGTAGTCTATCCATGTAATTATCATAATCATGGGTCGAGAACTCTCTAGTCGTAGTCCTGGTACCTCATTCCCTCTTCTCCCAATTCAGTGCCTACTACCGGGTGCCAGGGATAGTACATACATAGTCAATATATTTATTCCCAACGTGGAAAAAACACCCTTGTGCAATCAAGTCCCAATCCGCCCCAACTACCTCAAAAAAAGTCAATGGATGGAAAAGAATTGAAGAAGCAACCAACCAATTGAGCTACAGAAATGAAACGGGTAAATAAAGTGAAGAGGCAAAGAAAAAATATGAAACAAAAGAAGAAGACGTCTGCACCGGATGGGGATTGAACCCACGACCTTCGCATTGCCAAATACGAGTGCGACGCTCTACCACTGAGCCACCGGTGCTGACTTAGTAAGCCGAGTGGCAAATTGTTGTTTTGAGGAAACTGGTATGACTATTATGTTTATTATTATGAGATTAAGCTAAATTAGAGGTACTGAGTTGATTACATAGAAGGTACAGGATTTTGTATAAGATAGGAAAGAAAGACATTGCTCAGACCTTGTTGGGATTCGTATTCCGGATAGAGTTGACAGGAGTTTCTGGCTGGGATTGCGAAGATCCATGGTTCAAGAGGTGTCATGTCATGTCATGTCATGTTGGAACATAGGTAGGAAAAGATCATCAGGTCATTCATCCATGTCGCATCGTAAATCATTTCTCATCAGGTTATTGAAGTGAGGATCGATACTATACCGCACCCTTGGAATCAAACTATCCTGCAGTGTTAGTACACATGGATATCCAGAATAGCGAGAGAAAACCTACCCAGCGATTCCGGTCCGGTATACTTCTTCTCACTCACTTTCTTCCCGCCCTTCAACTCAATAACCTTCAACTCGGAGAGCAAATCGACCTGTCTCGCCACGACTGCTTTCTCCGGTACCTGGTGCGGAAAAACCACCTTCACCTTCTTCATCGGTTGGCACAGCCAGAAGCCTGCGTCCACGCAGTAATCCTTGAAGTTAATGCACTTGAGGCGCTTCGCGTCAAACCAATGCAGGAACGGATCAGCGTCAACCACGAAACCGAAGAGAACCAAGGTGCGAATAGCCAGTTTCTGGCGCGTACGACCCATCGCCATGGCGCAGACTTTGGCCTTTTCGATGACCATTTTGTCGTGGTATTCTGCTTGGCCGAGCTTGCGGTCGAGGGCGCCACTGCCGTCGCCGCTGATGTCATCTTGCGTTAGGGGCTGTATAGACTATGGGAAAGTGCATGTGATGGAATTGGGAAGGTCACTTACTAGTAGACTGGTTCAGCGTAATGGGCCGGATTGAGCTTCCAGCCTCCCTTCATATAGGGCCAGTCGCCGGTCCGGTCCTTGCGGATACAGGGAGGCAGTGCCATGCCGAGTTCCAGCTCGTCGAGGTTGGGGTTGAGCCAGGCGGCCTGCCAGATGTACTTCTGGTACGACTGCATCATGCCGGTGATCTTGAGGCTACGGAGGTTGCGGAAATGGCTGATGGGAGACATTTGTTCGACATCAAGAATCACGGGCTTCGGCTTGGTTTTCTTGCCACTGGATTCCTCGCTGTTGGTGTTCTTGTCCGTTTCGTCTAGGTCTTGAGGCCAGAATACGTCGATACCCAGCAAGCGACGGTCATCAGCAAGACGCGGCCAGGTCTCGCTGCCACGAAACTCCATAAGCGGCTTCTCTGGGGTAGCCTCGTCTGCAGGGATGAGCTGGATGGGTTCCGACTCGGTCTCAATTTCGGAATCGAGGCTGATGATGCAGGCCATTTTGCTCAATGCGGAGCGGATGAGCGAGCTGGAACGGCTGGATGAGACACTGGCGCCAGAAGCGAGGGGCTGGGAGCGATCTCGCGATTGTGATCGAGGACGTCTGGAGAGCTCGACAACACGGGCAGTGGCCAGTGGGGCACCAGTGAATATGTCGCTCATGCTGAACCGACGACGTTGGGGTCTCTCTGTGACGGGGTCATCGCTGTCGGCAGCGGGGACGTGGGTATTCTGTTCATGTTCTAGGTTGAATGGAAATCGTTCGTGCAGGGGTTTATTTTCCTCATCTTCTTCCTCCTCTAAGAGGATGATTAGATTTTGGATATGGACAAAGATGGGGATTATTGTGAGGAAGAAGCACAAGAGGGGTTCACTGACCGGCTTCAATGCTGTCATGGATAGGCTGGTTATATGCTTCAGCGTCTTTCCAGAACTCCTCACCAAGCAGGGAAGCTTTCCAATGATTTGAATATTCTTCCATCTTGAGTTCCTGCTGGTGCACGCCGACGAAAGAGCTGGGAGAGAAATATTCTCAGATGAACGGATTGTTGCAGCGCCGAGAGTTGCCTGTGAGAGACCCAGGGGAGGGGGGAAGACTAAGAGAAAGAAGAAAGCCATGGAGGCAAGTGGATAAACACATATTGACAAAGCCGGGAAACCATTCACCGCTGCTAAGCAGGAAGCGGTTATGTCTGTGTCAAGGTGTGAAAAGGTGCTGTCTTTATTTTTCGCTAAACAAGGGCGTCACACAAACACAGCGGGATGAACAAAGCACTCATAGAACCAAGACTTTCATATTGCTCTTAGCTTGAAGAGATTCTATTATCTGTTGTTACATGTGCTTTGTATTATATACTGTCCTTGCTATGTCCCTAGATGCTTTGGTATTCAATTTCCCTGTGCTTTGCCAGCCATCCCACCATGTGTATACAACATTTCCGGAAAATTATCTCTTACGAAAAAGCAAGGGCACATTCTCCCTCATTGCCAGGGTTATTATCGTAGTACTTCCTGCCAACACACGTTCTGCATCTTGTCGGCCCTTTTCACTGGTGTCGACCAGCTCGATCCGGTATTCGCGCAAAAGCGCCGTAAGCGCGGCGACAAATTCGACTTGCGTGAATTTCTTGCCCAAGCAAGCGCGGAACCCATCGCTGAACGGGATGAATGCGCCTCGGACCGGTTTATGGATGGTATCGTATTCCAAGCCGGGGCCAGAAAGGCCTGGTAGAGCGGCATTTTGAGCCAGGAAGCTGTCTTCGTTGCGCGCGTCCCATCTCTGGGGTTGAAAAACCCTGACGTCGCTTCCCCAATACTCTTCAGAATAGTGAAGGCAGCCCATGTTCAGATTGAGATTGACATGGGGCTCCAAAACATAATCCTTGCCGTCGTAGTGGATGGTACTCGGGGAGTCACCCGTCCATTTAGGCACAGAAATAACTGGGGGGTAGAGACGCATTGTCTCGAGCTGAGTCCCAGTTAGAAAGGCAGCTCAACAGACACAGAGAGGGGAACGCCACGTACCATCATGCATAGAGGAGTAACGAGCTTGGGGAACACGCTATCATAGTCCCAGTTTCCGATTTTTGACGGCTCGTCCTTGGTTGCGTCCGATATGCCGCCGTATACCCAATCCTGCACATCTTGATGGAGGGCCAGAAGCACAAGCGCAAACCTCAATGTGGTTGCCGTTGTTTCATGCCCTGCAATGGTGAATATATGTATGTTGCTGATGACCTCTCGGTCGGACAGACCCCCATCCTTGGTATGCCCGGGCCTTCTGGAGAAAAGCATTCCCTCTATAAGATTTGAGGCGGTTTCGATATCGCTCAATCCGGCTTCTTTTGTACTGATCAACCTCTGTAGAAAGTTGTCCAAGTCCCGATGGGCCGCAAAGTCCTGCTTGAAAAACGGAACCAACACTCTCGGAACCCACTTAGGCAGTATATTGTTGGCCAATACCATGTTGACGATGTTCAGATTCATATAAGCCACAACTGACCGGAAAGTGAAATCGAATCCTGCCGGCGGCGTGGAACTGTCCTTGAAGATGTCCTCTGGGTTCTTACGTGAGTCCACTTGTATGGGCTTGAAGGGCATTGGCACTCCAAACCCTGCACCAGACAGCACGTTTAAAGTCAGTTTATGAATATCGTCTCTGGTGTTCTGAACCGTGAATCCCGGTCCTTGGGAAGTATCTACAGGAGATGCTCCTGCCCATTGCTCGACCATTTCCCGCGTCTGCTCGATGGACTCTTTCCAAACCAGGGCGTTGTTCTTCTCATTAAAGGTAGTTGCCGTGTGCCGGCGGTGGTGTGTCCACTCTTTGTCCTCACACTAGTCTGATCAGTTCAAAACTACTCTTCAACTATAGACAGGCTTGTGCTCACTGTGACAACGTTGGGTCCATACATGTCCAATATTCCTGCGACGGCATAAGCGCCTAACCAGATGACCAATGGAAAAGATTTGGCAACGACTTACGATATAGAAAGACTGGCTTGGGGAAGTCCTGGCGCGCGTTGACTATTTGACAGACCACCGACGCATCCGCGACGCTGACTGTAACACCTTTCGGGCTAACAAGCATGTAGACCTTCCCATACCTCTTCACCTGGCGATCCTTGATCAACCAGCGGTAAGAGCCCAGGTGGTCGTAGAGGACATCGCCCATCCATTGGGGAAGGCAGTTTTCGACGAAGTACGGGAGCAGTGGGCCGAAAATCGCAGTGGATAGGATGCTGACGCTGTACGGGGCCACAACATAGGGAAGCTTGGAGCGCTGTGCGATCCGAATGTGCTTGGCAAGCCGCCAGATATAGTCAAAGACAAACAGGCCTACAAGGCCTAAGATAAGTGTGTATGCGATCATCGTGCTAATGAGCACTTGAAGACACATCACATTACGAGAATGTAAGTCCTACCGTAGGGAGGGGGTGAGATGGAGTTTAAAATGCCCGACTGGTTACGTCTTACCCCATCGGATCATCGTTTTCCCTACTGAAGGATGCAAGGCTGTCAGGCATGCCTTTCTGCGGTGGTAAAGTTTGGTCCTCAACCCGTGATACCGTCCCGGCTCTGGATGGTCTCAAAAACAGGGCACATGTACCATGTTGTCCACGGTATACGCAGGACAATACGGAGAACGGTAACTTGACTCGATAAGTCTTCGTAGCATGTGGGTTAGTAACGCTGCTTCTTGAATCAGTGATACTACCTACCTCTACCGTGGCTTCCTCATTCCATAGTTACTATTGTAGGATAGTATATATAGCCGAGAAACATCCCGCCCAGCCGACCGCCACATTGCCGTTTCCGGTGGTGTCAGCAAAGGGACGGAGTACAGTGAGACATCAACTCATTCCCGAGTCTTTCCAGAAATTAAGATCAAATTAGTGTACTCCGTGCTTTATATTGGATTGGTTGGCTCGGTTCCAAGTTGATCGTGGCACGTAAGCAGAACGATTCCCATCATCTCATTGGAGTTTTAACAGCAGGGAGGAAGAGGTTGTTAGCCCCACATATCGCAAACTGACCTCGTCCTGTTCAGCAATTCAGGGGACAACGGCTCGAATCATTAGTGGATGCTTGGGCGGGCGAGATAAGCTCTGGTAATGATTATGCGGATTGCGGAGTCCTGTGTGGGTTGTGGAACACAATCCAAGCGCAATTCTCCACTATCTACACTGTTCGATGAATTGAAGAAGTCAACGGCTGTTCTCGCCTACGTCATATCAGGGCCTCTTCTGGGGATGAAATGGCATGCGGAGGGAGCAATCGCTGTGGGTGAGTTCAATGAGCCCTTAACATAAATGTGGATCTACTACAGGGCCTGGCCCTTCTTACAGAATCGGGTCCAGACAGGTGCTCCGGCAATATCCAGCGCGGGTGTCTGTGCCTTTGTGCAGCTTACGTACCGTCACTTGTCGGGTGGAGACCTTCGATCGACTCCATGTGGTTTCCCTTGTTCAATGTTCCCGTAATCATTACATCCATGGATACCGTAAATAGCGTAGCATAGCGCGAAAGTCAAGATTTGCTGGTACTGCCGATCCTACAACCAAAGAGACTTTTGAAACCCGTAGGAAAATAGTTCGATTCAAAAACAATCATGCAAGTTTATTCCCATCACAGCACTACCCTAGTACTTCTTGCCCTGGCGCAGGACATCACCGAACTCCTCCAGAGGGCTGCGGATGAGCTTAGTCTCCTTCCAGAGGTTGGGGGTGAGGAAGCCGTAGGTGTTGACAACGGCAAGGAAGGTAGCCTTGAGGGTGTTCTCGAGGGTCTTGGTGGAACCGGAAGAGCAGGTGTAGGCGTCCTGGACACCGGCAAGCTGGAGCAGACGCTTGACAGCGGGAGAGGCAACGAGACCGGTACCACGGGGAGCGGGGATAAGCTATCACCGTGTTAGCAAATTGATTCGTAGAATGCGAAGCCGGAATTCGAGACGAGTTGCGACATACTCTGACGGAGACGGAACCACACTTGGCGCTCTGCTTGACGGGCAGAGAGTGAGGCTCACCAAGGTTGGTACCCCAGTAACCTCTACGGACGGGGAGAACGCTGAGCTTGGCGATGATGATGGCGGCGCGGATAGCAGTAGCGACTTCCTTGGAGGTCTTGATACCGAGACCGATGTGACCCTCGGAGTCACCGATGACAACGACGGCCTTGAAGCGGGTACGCTGACCGGCACGGGTCTGCTTCTGGACGGGTTTGATCTAGATTTGCAACCGTCAGCACCTGCCATTTGCATATCCTCTCTACCTCATGTCTTCAATTCCGATCCACGTATCAATTCCACCCGCGCTTCCATTTTCCCCATCACTTGCGCACAACCGTAGATCTTCCTTGTCGACATGGCGGTATTCAAGCGTTCGTTCCGTACCTTCATGACCTCATCCTTCAGCTTAGGGAGGAAGAAGTCCACGATCTGGTACTCCTTCACGGGCAGGGAGTGCAGGTAGATCTGCTCCATGCTGGTGATCTTGCCAGCCTTGACGAGACGGCCGAGCTTGGTGACGGGCTGCCATTCCTTCTCCTGCTCCTTGGCGCCGCCGCGACGACCACGACGACCACGGCCACGGCCACGGTCACCACCACGGTCACCGCGAGAACCGAATCCTCCACGTCCACGGGGAGCGTCAGCCATGTTGGAAATATATGGCGATTGAGAAAGTCGGGGGGGAGAGGTATCGGACGGGAGGTGTCGCTGGAGGGGTTGTCGACGTCGAGGTTGACTTTCTTCTCGCTATCCACAACTGTTTTGGCAGCATGGGAAATTTCGCGGCCGGGTGCGCTAAGCGAGCCCGCAGCCCTGTGCCCTAAGCCGCTCTCCCAATTAGGTAACCCGATCGGGACCCCATCCAGACCATCATGTGACGGGTGGGCTACCCCATTGGTAGCTGTGCTCTCCAATAGCTGGCCGGCGTGGCGCTGATTTGTCGCGGGTTTGCTTTGTTTTTACCCTGGGGGGAGGGGGGGATTGACGCTGTTGCTCTTATCGGCGATCTGGGGCCTGGCTACCTACGTACTTGTATCATAGCTTCCAGGACAACTTCTTCCTTCCCCACCATCAGGTCAATTAGATCATTTCGACTTTCTTCCTGTTTTCTTCCCGGTTTCTACCGCTCCGTAGTCGACAATGCTGCGGTGGTATGTCCATGTCTGCTCCGGTGGTCATATTCCCCGTCCTGTCGCTGATCCAGAAACAGGTACCAGACGAAGTTGGCCAAGCAGCCCATCCTGACGGCCAGTCTGACGAGCGCTGTAAGCACCCCCATCGTGGTTCCTGTTTGATATATTATGAAGCTTCTATCTTGGCTTCTCATCACTCATGTCCTCTCTGATGGTCAACTCTTGAAGCTAACTTTGATCTGAACCAGGTGTTGTTCGGTAGTGGAGATGTTCTAGCCCAACAACTTGTTGATCGCAAAGGATTTGATAAGCATGACATTGCTAGAACGGGACGCATGGCCCTTTACGGAGGAGGTGAGTGAACTAATATGTGATATCCTTCTCGAAGCTATCAAATCTTTGGCTCACAACACATCCTCGCCCCCTCAATCGCTCCAAAAGGTCTTCCCACATAGGACATGGTCTAGCTAACATATGACAGCGATCTTCGGCCCGGCTGCCACTGCCTGGTACGGTATCCTCCAACGTCACGTCGTCCTGAAGAGCACCAAGACCACCCTCGTTGCCCGTGTCGTCGCCGATCAATGTCTCTTTACCCCGGCCCATCTTACTTGTTTCTTGTCTTCCATGGCTATAATGGAAGGCACCGATCCAATCGAGAAGTGGCGCAATGGCTTTGTGCCTAGCTACAAGGCCAACCTCACGATTTGGCCTCTCGTGCAGGGTGTCAACTTCGCCATCGTGCCACTCGAGTACCGTGTGCTTGTTGTCAACCTAGTCGCCCTGGGTAAGTGACTATTTCCCATGGAGGTTTTCTTCAATCCGGCTGACACCACTAGGCTGGAATTGCTTGTTGAGCTTGATTAGCAGCGGCGAGAATTGATTTGTTTGAGGCTGCCATATAGGTGAGTATTTTGGTCGTAAAATCGCCTTTCCGGGTTGCCTCAGTTGTCCATGTTGGGTATGTTCTCCGGGGTTCTAGATATCGCCCGATCTAATTGTTCATTCTTTATGGATTATTATACCTCTTTTTTTTTCTTTTTTTTTTTTGGTGCGTCATGTACATATATATTTTCTATATTGGCAGAGTTTACAAGTGCACATGCTCGGAGTATTTTGGCGGGATAGTTCTGGGGTGTTGTTAATTCGATCAAGCCCTCCAATTAGAGACTCGTGGGGAAGATCAGATGATCTGTGCCAGTGGATGAAATCGTGGTCGTTGGTGAGACCACCACACCCATGACCATATAAGAGTGATGTCGAGAAAGAAATGATGCCATTCCCCGGGCCGACAGAACCTCCCAGTACCCAGTTAGATAGATTAGGGCTGGGGTTGGGCAGCGGCGGCCTATGAGAGGTCTGGAAAGCGGCGTGGCCCAAAAGGGTAAGGTTTCACCGTATTGGCAATTGCGGCCATCTCCAAACCATCAAAACTTCATGTTGTGAATTTCCGTCGTCTCCTCAAGATCGCCTCCAACACGAACCCTAGCCGTGATTCTGCCTGGAGCAGACGACCCAAGTTTGCGTGGACCCTTTGCGCCATCCTCCGCTCCTACTTTAAAGCCCCTCACCACGGAGCTGCTCCTTCCTCCGACAACCTCTCCCTCCGACACAAAATTTGCCATCCGCTATTTTGTCTCTTCCCCTCCGACCACCGCTCACCCTTCCGTTACTACAATCTTGCCGCTGCACCCTCAACATTACCTTTCGCCCCCGCTTGATTTCGATATCAAACAATCATAATGGCCGCTGTTGCAGAGAACGGCCACGCGCCCGTGGCTGATGAGAACGCCGCCCCCGTTGCTGCCGCCGTTGAACAGAAGGAACAGACCGAGAAGACGAATGGAGACTCCGTCACAGTATTCCACGACGCTGAAAACTTCAACGTGAAGCATCCCTTGATGCACGAGTGGACTCTTTGGTTTACCAAGCCTCCCAGCGGCAAGGTATGGATATTCGCCGAATTGCTGAGCGCTTTATCAGGCAACTGACCTTCCCCGCGCAATAGGGCGACAACTGGAACGATTTGCTCAAGGAGGTCGTGACATTCAACTCCGTTGAAGAGTTCTGGGGAATCTACGTATGCTTCTACCTTCCGGTCCCCTGATAAATCATTCCCCGGCTGACCGGTGCTATCTCCAGAACAACATCTCGCCCACATCGGAGTTGGGCCTCAAAGCAGACTACCACCTTTTCAAGAAGGGTGTCCGCCCTGAATGGGAAGACCCACAAAACAAGCACGGAGGCAAATGGTCATATTCGTTCAAGGACAAGCGCTCTGTGCCGATCGACGATCTGTGGTTGCACGCTCAACTTGCGGCCATTGGCGAGACTCTTGAAAACGATGGTGACCACGAAGTTATGGGTGTCGTTGTGAATGTCCGCAAGGGTTTCTACCGTGTCGGTTTGTGGACGCGGACTGTTGGCAAGAGCATCTCCGGAGACAAGACCAACCGTACACCTGCACAAGGCAAGGAAATCCTCGAATCCATTGGTCGGCGTTTTAAGGAAGTCCTTCGTCTCAAGGAGGCTGATGCTGTTGAGTTCTCGGGTCACACGGACAGTGCACACAGTGGCAGTACGAGAGCCAAGGCTAAGTACACCGTCTAAAGCACAAAACTTGCTATGCGCGTTCCATTTACGAGGTATTCATTGCGGATTTGCTTCTTTGCTACGGAATAATGGAAAGGCTTTGTGATGATGGGTGGTAACGAATGAGAAAGGGCTCGAGTTCGACTTGCTGGCATTTGCAGTCATCGTGATGAGCATGTATCTTTTCCTCAGTACGTATTTCTGACGAGGTTTATACCATATTTCATCGAGTTATAGTTTTACGCCCTTAGCGGGCCGAAAAAAAGCGAAAAACTGTCAAACATCTTCCGTCACTCCATGTCTAGATATGTGTCATGTCGTTTATTGCGTTCCCTCTGACTCTGCCTCTTGCGGTGGCTATGGTCATACATCTGGGGTGTTCCCCGGCGGGCTATACTTGAATGGCGTAGTCCTACTGTAAGCGGGTGACTCATGGCGGTTGGAGCTTTCGATGTCTTCCGTGACTCAGACGGGGATGAGTATGCTGTTCACTAATGCTGTAATCTACATGGGTGAATCATGATCTGTTTCCGAAGTCCTCGAGTCCTCCAGCGTCTAAGGCATGGCGTAGGGCCGGAGCGAATGCCAGCCCTGTAGCCCAGACGTCACCACTTTGACTCACTTGGTCTATTAATATCTGGCTGTGACTATTTAGGCGCTTCGGATGCACATATGGATGATTCGTCGTGAGAGTCATACTGTCCGGGGCTTCCTATATAAGGCTGAAGCCTCTCCCCCTTCCCTTCTCCCTTTTCCTTTTGAATGTATTCCTTCTTATCTTCCTATGTGTGCTCCTTGTGCTTGTTCTTGTTCTTGTTCTTGTTCTTGTCCTTGTCCTTGTCCTTGTCCTTGTCCTTGTCCTTGTCCTTGTCCTTGTCCTTGTCCTTGTCCTTGTCCTTGTCCTTGTCCTTGTCCTTGTCCTTGTCCTTGTCCTTGTCCTTGTCCTTGTCCTTGTCCTTGTCCTTGTCCTGTTTGTCCTTGTCCTTGTCCTTGTCCTTGTCCTTGTCCTTGTCCTTGTCCTTGTCCTTGTCCTTGTCCTTGTCCTTGTCCTTGTCCTTGTCCTTGTCCTTGTCCTTGTCCTTGTCCTTGTCCTTGTCCTTGTCCTTGTCCTTGTCCTTGTCCTTGTCCTTGTCCTTGTCCTTGTCCTTGTCCTTGTCCTTGTCCTTGTCCTTGTCCTTGTCCTTGTCCTTGTCCTTGTCCTTGTCCTTGTCCTTGTCCTTGTCCTTGTCCTTGTCCTTGTCCTTGTCCTTGTCCTTGTCCTTGTCCTTGTCCTTGTCCTTGTCCTTGTCCTTGTCCTTGTCCTTGTCCTTGTCCTTGTCCTTGTCCTTGTCCTTGTCCTTGTCCTTGTCCTTGTCCTTGTCCTTGTCCTTGTCCTTGTCCTTGTCCTTGTCCTTGTCCTTGTCCTTGTCCTTGTCCTTGTCCTTGTCCTTGTCCTTGTCCTTGTCCTTGTCCTTGTCCTTGTCCTTGTCCTCACATTGAATAAATATCAGGTGGTTAACATTGAATTCAATAGTATGAAAAATATATTTCTATTATAAAAATTACTTGCTAACCAAAAATTACTTGCTAACCTATGTCAGGGCTAATAATTCAGCTTCTATAATAAATAAAGTCACTGTTTTTTTACTTCTTTACTAGCTAATTAATAGGGCCGTTATAAAGCTTGCAAATATATATCTCAGTACTTTTTTTGTTTACATTGTCTGCAAACACGGCGTTGCTAGTTATTAAAAAAATCAGTGGGTCAAATTCATTGATTTCTAAATTGAATTTTTGATTGAACTTTTCATTAAATTTCTAATGATTTATTTAGTTAATTTAATTAGTTTAAATAAATTCACTAAATTCATCAAATTTTTAATCAATTTTACCAGAATATTTAATACATAAAAAATATGATCTGTATAAATAGAAAATTAGTTAATTCACTGTATATTAATGTTTTGGTGAAGGGTTTTGTAAAAATTCACTGAGTAATTAATTTAATGTAATAATATCAAGTCTTATAATAATACCTGGATACAGTACTGAACTGACTTTTTATTAGTAAAATTAAATTTAATCAGGTAAAGCAGTGAATTTAATGTTCTTAATTTTTTCTGACATAAATGAGGTCTTTAGCAGTTCCTGATTAATCAAATTAAATTAATAAGCAATTTTTTCAATATATAAGATTTATGAAATCCATAATTTTTAATTTTTCCGGTCTCGAATCATATAAATATTTAAGAATTTTAAACATTTATCTAGATCCTTTATTCAAAATTTTAATAATAATTCATCTTTAAATTTTTTGGATTTTTCAGTGTTTTTTGAATAAAATATAATAATTATATCATTAACTAAAATTACTAAAATCATAAAATCATTGGTAAAAATACAAGGGTCTTCATTCACTGGTTTTAAATCTAGTTTTTTTTCAGAAATTCACTGATTATTTATTACTAAAGAAAGGGTGATTGAAGAAGACCATATAAAGTCTTAAGTAATTTTAATACCCTATTCTTTGTTAAAAAACCAGGTAGAAAAAATATATAAATCATATCTTGAATTAAATTATTCAAGAATACATTCACTGTATCTAATTATTATATTTCAAGATCAAAAGCAGCAATCAAGGCATATAGAAGTCATAAAATACAAGATATTAAGGTTAAAGCCCTAGTTTCTTTCTAATTTAGGGCTTGAAGATCGTCTCACACACAAATTCATGCTTTAAAACTGTCAAACCCTAGGATCGCTTTCCTGTCCCGGTTAGCTTAGCTTCACTGGTGTACGTACCGTCGAACTAGGTCAAGAAGGTATCAGGCTGATAACTATCTAAGAATAACTGGTCTTGGACAAGAAAAGAGAAGTAAGGCTGAATAGTGCTGTGTAGCTATTCATAAGTAAGTATAGATAAGTATTATTACTAAGCTTTTTAAACATATGATTACTTAAAGACAGTAGTATTAAGTATGAGGAACAGAACTAGCTAAGTACATGAAAGAGTGTCCTTCTATATCCTATCCTTTGTATACTAAGTCATATATCTTCCTATATACTGTAGACTATATACCATATACCTGTTCATATACCATCCCATATACCCATGGTCATGTTATGCGTAGCCATTCTGGGCGTCGGTTACTTAAACCGGGATTCTACTCGATAAGAGCTGCTGATTGTCCGAGCGTTGCCTCGTCGGCGCCTTCTGCCTAACGAGTCCGCCTTGCTAGTAGCTTAACTAGCAGGGGTCTGTAACAAAAACCAGATAAATTAGTGTTTCAATTAAATTTGTATATAAGAACCCATTCTAATAATAAAATTTAATGATTTTTAGCTTACTAAATTAGAACTGAAGTCCATATTTACATATTTTACAACTGTTGATATTCAATTTTGACAGTATTCAAGAATTTGACTGAAAAACGACATTTTTGCATTTCTGACCAGTTGACTAGTAAAGAATAATTAAAAATTTTTAATATCAGGATTTTGTTCAATAATTCAGTTGAAAAATATGAAAGAGTAAATAAAAATGAATTTGTTATTTTTTAATGATTTTATATTATTTACAAAGCAAAATTTCTTGCTGATTTTAATAAACTAAAATTAGGTGGTTCAGATTAATTTCTTTTTTCAATAATTAACAGTAAATATTCATGATAAAGATCAAATTTTGAATTATTAATTAAGATATTCAGCAGTATAAAAACAGATATAATTAATTAATTATCTAAAATTTGATCAGTTTGATCAGTTTAATCAGTTTGATCATTATTAATTTTAGTAATTCATTTATTTTAACCAGTAAAAATACAGATTGCTAAAATTATTTCTAGTATTTAAATATTTCTAGTGAAATATTAATATGGACTTTATCACTGAATTACTAGAAAATAAGAAAAGTATAAATATTTTAATTATTACAGATTAACTAATTAAGAAGATAATACTAGCAGTTATAAAGAAAATCATAGCTGAGACCCTAGTTTTAACAATAATAAATAATTATATAAGATAATATTATATATCTAGAATAATTATCTCGAACTGAGAAATACAATTTATAAACTAAATATAGATATATTTATATAAACTTCTAAATATTAAAAAACAGCTCTTGACAGCTTACTATTTTTAAATTAATAAAATAACTAAGAGAATAAATAATATAGTAAAAATATATCTTCAGACTTATATCTAACATAGTTAAAATAATTAAAGCCAGTTTTTTTATTATTAAATTTATTATTAGCTTATAGATCTTTATATCTACCGGAATATCTCTATTCTTCTTAAGTTATAAGTATAAGTTAATTCTCTTTAATTTAACGGAAGATTAGTCTGTCTTATATAATAAGATTTTTAAAAGTCCGGTGTAAGTAGGAGAGATTATTATCTATATTATAGAAGAAGCTAATGACTGGGCTAGAGTATCCTCAATATATATTTAATAAGTAGAAAAATAGATAAATAAATTATAGTTTTCTATACTTAAGTACTGAATAGATAATATAATATAGTTAAATCTGAAACATCAAAATCAACTGGCTAAATAAGAAACTAGACTGGAAGAATACTAAATATAAGATTATTAAAGTATTAAAAACTTATTTCGTCTGTCTGGATATTTTAACTAGTATTTATAATATATTTTATATTAATTTACTCTATTCTGCTGTAATAGACTAGTTTTTATCTTAATAAAGAAATAATTAGTAACTGCTAGTAATTCATGTTAATAAGAAAGATAAATATATAATAAAAGCTATTCTGGATGAAGTATGATATTTAAGAAAGAAAGAATAGAAATTCTACTATGAAGTTAAATAAATAGACTAGATTTAAAATATTTAAAAACTAGTTAAAGCTTTTTAAGATACTACTGTTATATATAACTGGAAAATTTAGTAGAAACTGTAATTAGAATTAAAATATTTTCAGAGAAATTAAAAAACATTTCATTCTTAATTATAAAAAAAATAATAGCTAATATTATACTCTGAAGAATAATCACGGGTGTTAATCTTGAAGAATAACAGCATAATTAGAAATAAAAAAAAGAAGAAAAATGATAAAAGAAATCCCAGACCATGCCTATTTTGAAAGATAATAAATTGAGAAACTAGAAGTATATATTTATTCTGATCATTAGTATATTTTTCTATGTATCTATACAGTATACTGTTACAGACCCCTGCTAGTTACACTACTAGCGAGGCGGACTCGTCAGGCAGAAAGCACCGAGAAGGTAATGGTCAGACAGACAGCAACTCTTATCGAGTAGAATCCTGATTTGAGTAACACCCGGAATGACCACGCGTCACGTGATCATCTACCATTGGATCTATCATTAGAAGTATATCTAAGGTATACTAGGAACCTTAGACCATGATTAGATCAATTATCAATCTACCTTAGATGGTATATGATATGGTATGCGAAGGATAGGATATATAAGGACACTCTTTTATATACTTAGTTCTGTTCTTCATGCTCAATATACTGCCTTTAAGTAACCATATGCTTGAAAGCTTAGTAACAATACTTATCCATACTGACTTACGGATAGCTGCGCGGCACTATTCAGCCTTACTTCTCTTCTCTTGTCTAAGACCAGTTATTCCTAGATAATCATCAGCCTGATACCTCCTTAATTCAGTTCAAAGGTACGTATAACAGTGAAGCTAAGCTAACAGGAACAGGAAAGCGATTCTAGGGATTAACATATTGAGCACTAGTCAGCACGAGTGTTACTAGTGATAACCATCCATTATGTTAATAGTTTTAAACTCATCGCACATCCCGCAGCAACAGGGCCCAATAATACAAGAACTAATGGATATGGTTAGTTAGTTATAAGAAAGCATCACTGCCTTAGAATAATGGAACCAGTTACTTGAAGATCGCTTAGTAATTAAGTCTATCAAAGTCTAACTACTGAAACTGTTTAACAGTAACTGAGCGAAGCTCAGGGCTTTCTTAACCCAATTGGACTTATATCTTAACATGAACAGAGAGAAGCTCAGAAATAAGGTTAACAAGATTCTTTTCACGTCCACCTACCTAACTGAAATAATGTTTAATTAATTTAAGCTATATATCTGCAAATATTAAGAAAAGTTGGTAAATAATCAGAATAATAATATTAAATAAATCTTTACTAGTTATGCCAGATTCAAGCAACATCTTAAACAAATATTCAGAGATATTAATATAGCATATAATACTGAGTAAAAGTTATAGTAATTCAGATAGACTAGATTAATATTTAAGTATATTTCTAAGTTTTTACAGGTTATTAGTTATCTGGATTAGGACGACAACGCCTATATTACATGATTTGAAGAAAGTCTCAAGATAGAGATCTAAGAGAAATTTATTTAATAAAAATAACTAAATATATTGTTACAGATAATCACAGCAATAGTTAAGATTAATAATAAATTATACAAATATAATACAAAATAAAAAGAGAGCTGATAGACTAGCAGGTCTGCACCTTGATAAAATAACTAATCAGGTTATTAAGCTAACAATAAGAGGTCGGCATAACCTAAGAACTTGAGATATGAAGATCTCTACAGATTAAAATCAATAAAGCTAGATGTAACACAGCATTAGACTTAACAGAACCAAGTATCTAAGGAGAAACTTGAACAGTATAAAAAGGACTACTTATACTTCAGCTGTAGTAAAGCAGATCATTAATCAAAAAACTGCTAGCAGAAACAGTAACAGTCTTAAAAGTAGTTAAAAGCTACGCACGAAGATTAAGATAGAAGAGTCTATAATATTACTGCTATTCAGTATAAAGTTTAAATAGAATCTATAACATGGATACCAGATAGCAAGAAGTTATATATTATTCAGTACGGATATGTCAAACCCTAGGATCGCTTCCCCTTGTTCCTGTTAGCTTAGCTCTTCACTGGTATACGTACCGTCGAACTTAGTCGAGGTAGTGTCAGGCTGACGACTATCTAAGAATAACTGGTCTTGAACTAAAGAAAGAGAAGTAAGGCTGAATAGTGCTGTGTAGCTATCCATAAGTGAGTACAGACAAGTATTATTATTAAGCTTATCCAAACATATGGTTACTTAAAGACAGTGTTATTAAGCATGAAGAATAGAACTAGCTAAATATATGAAAAATATTCTTATATTCTATTCTCCGTATACTATTTCATATATTATTCAGGGTAGATTAGGGATTGATCTAATCATAGTCCTGGATTCCAATATATCTTATATATATCTTTGATAGTAGATCTGATGGTAGATAATCATGTGACACAATGCTACTCCGGACATTACTCAGACCGGGATTCTACTTGATAAGAGTTACTGGTCGTCCAAGACTTGCCTTGTTATCACTTTCTGCCTAACAAGTCCGCTCTGCTAGTAACCTGGCTAGCAGGGGTCTGTAACATCACCCCCCCTCCTTCAAGGTTTCTTATTCTTAAAAAACATAAAGATGCATATTCTTCCTGCGTGTCAGTTAAGTCCCTCAGTCTTGTTTTTCCCATGATAGACCAACATGTCTCGCTGTCATGCTAATCATGATCGGGTGAAGAAGCACATTCACTAGTCTAACAAGATTTATAAGAATAGTTATATTATCAAGAGTTTCTATAAACACTGCTTCCTGAAAGATATTCCTTATATCATAGATTTAAAGAATCAAAATTGTGCTGCTTGTACTCGTCATGGTTAGAAGTATGAAA